TATCTACACTAGCAATCGAAAGGGAGTCGGAGGCCGACTTCATACGACGAGCCGGTATCCGTCTAGATTAGAAGCCCAATAAAAACGATGGTAGGATATTAGAATTCCTCTAGTTTTTACTTGATCAGGTGGCTGTTGGATTTCTGACTACCTTGCTCCTTTCTCTCTTTCTATATTTTGAGCGTCCAGTCATTTTACTAAAGGCCTCTAGTTGATTTATTCCTTATATGTGGCAGGAGATTGGATCCTGGATTATCTGTTGCTCATAGCAAACTGCCTACTTGTTTAGATTGGCACTTGAAGACAATTGACTGCTCTATCTATGTTTTCCTATTCTTCCAAGATTCCGAATCTGCGATTACAAGTAGTTCTCTTCTGGAATCTGCCACATATGACTCTATCTAGGCAAGACGATACCTGCGAATTAGCCAGCGTCAAAGGTCGCAGTGGTGATGGGCTGTGAGGGAATAATATTATATGCTTCTTATTTATGTATGTATATATGTCTATCCATCTATATACTTGGTTTTATTTTAGCGATAAGCTCTTAGCATTTCACCCACGCATCCCATCTACTGGCCAGAGCCCAGGTGCGATGCAACACGCCATAATCACCCAGCAGCATACGTACTCATCTTCCTCAGCCTCTCACCATAGAGCCACAAGAAGATAGGCGCCGGTAGCCCGAGTCCAATCGACACAAATGCCAGAAGACTATTCCCCCAGCCATAATCCAACGCCTGGTACATATACGGGGCAAAAAGTGGAAACCCGAAGCCGGCGAGCGAACGTAAACAAGCTACCGCGGCCAGTGCGCTGGCCGCGTACCTCGTGTAAGCATCCACGATGTAGGTCTGCATACATTGGTAAGCGGTGATGATACCGATGGAAAAGACGCAGGCGCCAATATCTGGTCCAATCCAGTGCGTGTGTGCTTGGGCGGTCCAGCCGTATATGAAAAGCCCAATGGGCGTGAACACGACGGCGACAACGAGCAGCGGGATCCGGAACTCTGGCTTCCCCTGTCCGGCTCGCTGCTTGAGTCTGCGGTAGATGCGGTCGTTCAGCAGGGCGCAGATCTGGGAGCCGGCCCAGTAGCCCAGACCTAAGGCGATGTAGTTCAAGGACCCGATGCCGATGCTCTCGTTGTAGGGGCCTGTCCAGAGAGTGGGGAATGTGGCCATCACGAGATACATTAGGCCGTACATGAAGGCCATGTAGACGGCGATGAATTGGACGATGGGCTGCGTGGTTAAGAGTTTGAAGGGACGGACTAGGGAACCACGTAGTATGTGGAGGGCAGTTTGGTCGCGCGACATCTCGGCCTCTGTTTGGTATCCGGGGTCTCCGGTTTCCTTACGAAGCCTTTTGGCTTTGCGCTTGAGCAGCACGGGAGTGTATGTCTCGCGAAGGAAGAAGAGGCCGAACAGCTGGATCACAGCATCGGCAATGGACGTGGCGTAGAAAATCCAGCTCCAGGAGGTATTTTCTGTTATGAATCCACCCACGATGGGTCCTATGGCTGGGCCGAGCAGAGGTGCAAGACTGTAGATAGCTATAGCTTTCCCACGTTCGTCGGATGTAAACAGATCGCTTAATACGCCGCCTCCGATCTAAGTACACATCGAGATTTAGTTAGTCATGCCATTAAATGGCGAGGAAGAACAACTTACAGCTAGAGGAGCACTGCCTCCTAGTCCTGCAAGAAAGCGAAACGCAATCATCTGGCCTTTGGATTTTGCTACTCCCCCAACAACGTTGAACACAAGGTAGAATAAGTTAGCCAGCTGGAGGACGGGCACCCTCCCATAGATCTCTGAGAGAGGGCCGAGAAAAAGTGGCCCGACAGCATATGCCAGGACGAAGACTGATAACATAATCTGAGACTCAATCTCGTCGTGGATATGAAAATCCTTCGCCATGGTACTAAGGGCAGGCGCTACCATGGAGGATGAGGCTGGGGATATGAATGTAAAACACGACACAGTAATCACTGCCATCCACTTTTTGCTTGTCTCCCAGTTCTTTGGATTTTCCGGATCGTCAAGACTTTCCCATTTCACCTGAGCTTGTCAGTACACCAGCTTCGAGAAGGGGCGTCCGGGTCTGGTATTGTACAAGTTTCGATGGTGGCTCTGAACCACTCTTCTCATGCTCGGGTTGTGCTTGCTCAAGGTCTCGGTCCTCCCTTTCCTTGGGAGGATTTTGATGAGAGTGTTGATTCATCGCATAAGTAGGCAGGTGGATCTCTGTGCAAAAAACTATGATTATATAGTTAGTTGTAGTTGTTAGTAGATATATGTTTGAGAAACTCACCAGTCAAACAAGCTTAGTAACTTAGTGTCAACAGACAACACGAGGACCACGAACTAGAGACATTCACTAGTATGTCCCAGTTAAGATTTGCTATGAATCGCATGTTTATATACCAAGTTCCAGAAGGCAACAACTTTGGATGAAAATCAAGCAACGGAGTGGATCTGGATGGTCTTCCGAATTAGGCAATTTTACTCCGGGTCCTCCGACCGGACTTCCGTCTTTCTGATTCTTCCCGACGACCACAATTCCATTCCTACTATACTATCATACCATTATACTAGTATCATACTATACCAGCCAGCCTGAACTAAGGCATGCATAATTCTGGCTAATTATGTTATAAGTCTTCATTTATATTTTTCCGCCCTTTTTTCTATGGACTCCCCTTCGCAAAGCTTGTTTCGTCGTAATGGCAGCCGACGTTCGTGTGAAGCATGTCGGAAGTTGAAAACCAAATGCGACCACGCATTGCCCAAGTGCGGTCGATGTGCACAAAAGAATGCTGTGTGTATTTATGCTCCGGCGCCTATGACAAGGGCTTTTCGACCTCTATCAGAAACCAAGAGCAGAGGACGACGGAAGCCAAGGATATCCGGATCACCCGCATCGTGGGTCTTGCCGCTTCTCTGAATGACTGTGAACCTGCTGCTCATTATTCTTCCTTTGCAATAGTCGTGATGTACACCCACCGGGATCGTTGGAGCTAATTCCATCGCATGGGCAGGCGGTCGTGGTGAGTACGCCGCCACTGGAGAGTGCTGGCTTCCTCGGTCCAACCAGCTATCGCTCCTTGATGAGTGAGGGCGTTAGTGATAGTGACCCTGGCGTAGCAGACACTGATCGTACAACGTATACAATCGACCCGCGGCAACTCGATCAGGGACTCAAGATCTTGGATTTCCTGGCCGATAATGCACAGCTCGTGAGCGGTTTAGTGAGAAAGGTGTATGTGTTTGGACGCTCGCCTATTGTCCCGGAAGTGCTTATGTTTCCCGCGCTCGATATGCTATGGGATACCTTTGGGGACTATATGACACAAGATGAACCATCAAGACTAGGCACAGTTGTTCGTGTTTTCGAAAACTCCTACCAACAAGTCCCTCGCAAATTTGCCATGCATGCCGGTGAGCTGAGCCATTGGATCAGTGGGAAGAATGTCAGGTGGGAAACCATCGGCAGCGTGATACAGATTGCCATCATGGGCTTGATCTATATGCCCGAGCGTGATGTTACCCAGATTGACCCCCAGCAGAGAAGCAAGGATGAGTCTCTCGCGCAGATGCTCGAGGTCATTGACCAACTCTTACCACTGAGCAATGCACTGCCCGTTGTCAATCAGCTCATGGTGTGCCTGAAATATTATCAGATGATGCTCGCCTCTCAGAGATTTGGTGACTCAAGTATGGAGCTGTGACGGCCCTGTTTCTTGCGAGAGTAGTATTGACCTTTGACGTCTAGGCCGCTGGTTATACTCCTCGCTTGGGGAACTCTCTTCATGTATTTACGCTACGGGAATCCACCAATACAACATCCCTACGGGACAGTATCCGGGGTTTATCGACCTGTGGCAGAGGAGATGCTTCGCCGTAGTATATAGTATGGATAAAACCATTGCCACAATACTTGGTCGACCACCGTCAATGACTCGACATTATTGTGTCTTAAAGCCGCCACTGGACATTGATGATGACATAGATCTTCCAGACTACGAGCGCAGTCTTCAAATGCTAGATAGCAATGGGTGGAATACTGACGGAAAACGACGTCCCGCGACTATAGTTCGTCTTCGCTTCCTTCTGGCGACAGTCCGAGAGGAGATTCTTGAGCTACACCTTGGGGTTAATTACGTCGACATCGAGGGAAAAACAAGGTATGAGGTATTTGAAGGGCCAGCACCATTACTTGAGCTAATACGTCTATAGCAATATCCTGCAAAGTCTGCAATCAATTTGGGATACGTGTCCTAGTCATATGAAATATTCACCGGACATGTGGTATGAACAGATGCCCAGCCAGGATATTATCGCTCTTCTCTCCATTTATCTGGATTACCTTCACTCAATCTTCCTGTTGCATCGATTCGCGAACCAAGAATGCCAAAATGAGAAGCCCAAGGAGCTTCTCCTTGTGGCAAAGACGATCCTCTCCACCGTCCTGGTGATCAATGAACACCGGGAAAGAGCAAGAGAGGTCAGAAGTGACTTTTCCAGCATTGTGCGTTGAGACTAGAACGATGAGCCCTTCACGGATAAGCTAACGCACGCTGCAGTTCCTACCATACGGTCTTCCCAGTGCCGAACTTCTTGCGACGGAGTTACTCCAATCCTCCAACCCTTTACTGGGTCGTCCCACCTATCCTGGTTTGCCCCGGGCAGAGGTAATACGGGAGTTGACCCTCTACATCTCCTGCCTAAGCTGGGTAGCTAGGCCTGGGAGTGGTAATCTGGGATTTTGCAAGAAGGTCAAGGCGAAACTGACCCGCATCCTGGACCAAATCCTTGACCCCTCGTATGTCGCACCGGACTCGAGTGGCAACCACGGTGGAAGCAGCGGCGATGTTTCGTGGGCTTTCCCGGAACTCCTTGATTCCGACTTTACAATCAACAGTTTACTTCACTCAGATGATGGCAGTAACTGGGACCCTGGATTTGATCTGTTCTGTGGGCCTGGCTTCTAAGTACTCAGCCGTATATCTGGGGTTCAAACTTGCCACACAGCTCACTGTCCACGTATAAAGTCAAGAGATTACTCGAGAAACCATTAAAACGAGTAGCTGTTGCATTAGTGTACGCTGTAATCTCTATCAGCCTTGTCCACAATCAGTGAACCTCAACTCACCTCCCATGTTCTTATACACCAACCAATCCCTGACCTTCGCCTCACACCGAAGAGTAGTATCTCGAACAACATAGTCGCATCCATCACAAGTCGGCCCCCAGATCGTATACCTATGAGGCCCGACCTCCCTATCCCCCAACACACTGTCATCCGGTATAAGAATGGGATGGAAAATCTCTTTCTCCATCAGACAATTCATGAAATTCCCGTACAGTCCATCGTTTTGGTATAACATGTCTGGCTGATCCTTGTATACCTCTCTAACCTGTCGCCGCCGGGATATCACCCTGCAGACTAGGGTATACGCAGATCGAGTGTAAAACCGACCAGGCTCTGCGATAAATCTGGTGGTGCTGGGGAAGTTGTCAGCTAACGAGTCACGGATTGTGCGCGCTATTTCTCCGAAGTTTTTGTCTTGGAATCCGCCCCCGACATCAACTATCCTCATTTTGAAGCCGAGGGCTTCGGCCTGGTCAAAGACCTGTCTCGCTTCTCTGATGGCCTTTCGGAAGGAGTTTAGATCGTTGGCACCGGTGCCTACTCGTTGGTTAGATCGAAATCGTATTATCCACAAAAAGGAGCAGGGTCTTCTCACCAACATGAAAACTAACCCCAACAACATCAAGACCGAGTTCCTTTGCCCGCTTCAGCAAATCCCGAGTCATACCTGCCGGCGCTCCGAACTTGTCTCCAAAATTAATCAAGGCACTGGCATCATTGGCATAAATACGTAGCAGGAGTTGTGCATGGGGCATATAGGTATGCATTGTCTCAAGCTCGTCTAAATTATCAAAGACGGTAGTCACAACACCAACCTCCCTGGCATAGTTGAGCGCAGTGGCTGGTTTACACGGATTGGCGAATATGATCCGGGATGGATCGACGCCCAGAGCCAGTACGGCACGCATTTCTTCTATCGAGGCACAGTCAAAGCCGGTGCCCAGTTCTGCGAGGGAGCGAAGTAACAGAGCATCTGAGTTGCATTTTACCGCTGGTTGAGCACTTAGAACCTCTATTTGTTCAGTTGACAAACGACCGCTTACCATAGAATGGTTGGACATTGGGAAGGTTCAGCTTCCAGTCTCTGTGTTGACGCGTAACCTGCCCTAGGTCTGCGACGAAGAATGGATTATCTTCAACATTTGGCACGCCGCTGTTGATTCTCTGAGTTTGGAACTCAATGGCGAGATTGACCAGCTGTTCGGACCTGAGGTCATCTTCTGTTTTTGGCATGCCGATCACATAAAGAAAGCAGATGGGAGCGAAGTATGGTGAACTAGAGGACACATGATCCAGATGTCAAAATACTCTGCAACAAGGGATGCACCCCTTCTTCTATATTTTACAATGCGCAGCTCAGCCAATATAGCAAATGTCGTACCACGGCCCAAAATGTATGAAGCCTGCAAATCCAGACACGTAGCAGCTGTGTCTGCTTCTAGTCCGTCGTCGAAAACATCGTCTGTGGAGCCGTGCAGGAACAATTCAAAATGACAGGTTGCCTCATCACCGGATCCGGCGCTGACAGGATGAGACTCCTACCTTCTTCGCCTGCAATCATACCCGGAACTCCGGAAGTGAGATTCAATTCCTGCCTCATCCCTTGCATGAGGGACCTTTCAGGCAGCCATGAATATATACCCACAAGCGTCCGTGCACGTCGTTCCAGATTCCGTATAGGTGCATATCTCCTTGTGTATGACGTGCTTGGAGTATGTATATTTCGTGATCATACAATCCGTTCTTGGAATTTTCCTAAAGTAGTAGCTAAGAGTATGATGGCCAGACCACCAGTCCACGTCACAACGTGCATTGAAGATAGTTTAAAATGTTTTATGCTTGTTCCAGTCTTGCGGGAAGGTGTTAAATTAACATGACACCGTGGCACTGAAAAATGCCGCAAGTTGTAAAATGCCTCATTCTTATTGCTACGCTGTAAGGCTTGGTGGGAATGGGCTTTGACTCCTTCCACCACTGGAACTTGTTATGTCCATATTAGGCGAAAGCTTTGTAAGAGAGCTGGTCTTGTAAGGACCACTTGGACACCCACCTATCCGGACATGATGAGATGTGAAAACAGTTGGCGGCAGCAGCAGTGACAGATGATGGATTCAACAAGACTTGATGGCTAATCCACAAGCAATTGAGTGCAATATTATACAGTGATCAGAGAATCAGACAAGACTGGCATACCACATAAAACAGTCCATATGTAGAAAGAATGCTATATTACGCTCGTGGCGCAGGCACCTGCTGGGTAACGCAGTGGATAACACCTCCACTAAGTGGGATCGTACGAAGAGGAACTTGTCGCACTTTACGGTCTGGCAGGAGAGACTGCCAGGTCTCTAGAGCTTTCCGATCGTGAACCTCCGATCCAAACGCGGGGATGATAAGCCCACCATTGCAGAAGTAGCTATTGAGATACGACGAGACAAACTCATCCTGCGGCGAGATCCCAAGACTTTTCGGGTCTGGCTCGTCGATGAAATGAATTTCGAACTGACGACCTTTGGCATCAGTCTCGTTCCGCAACGTCTGCAAGATCTCCTGCCCGCATTTCATCCATTCTGGTCCATCCACTGCGTCAGGGCTATGACGCGTCAGGACCACTACTCCCGGTTGTACGAACCGCACCTCGGCGTCTAAATGACAGTCGGTAATGTCGAGATTCTTGCGCCCAGGGACCCAGATCACTTTCTCAACCCCCAGGAGGCGTCGCAATTCCTGTTCAATCTCATCCCGACTTTGCCCCGGGTTCCGCTGCTCACAGATCATGTAGCTTTCCGCGACGATGAGCGTGCCGTCTCCATCAACGACCAAGCCCCCGCCCTCAGTTCGGATCTTGGGCACAACTCGCTGCGCAGGTGATGGTAATTGATCAGAAGATATCACATTGAGTGCGAAATCAGCATTCTCCTGCAATTCCTTCTTGGTCATCGAGGGGTTGCCATAGCGGTAGTGACCATGTGTCCCCTCCCACCCGTTCTTATTCCCCCATTCATTGAACTTGAAGTCAATAGCTAGCCGCTGCCGTGCGTCTAGGTCTCCCGTGGCATCGTGGACATAGACTGGGCCTGTATCGCGAATCCAGCAGTGGTTGATTGGGATGGGAATAACGTGCACCTTTGATGGGATGCGTACTTTCCTGTTGATGAGATCTTGGGCATATTCAATATCTTCAGGGCGAGTATACAGTCGCACCGGCTCAAACTCTGCAATTGCCGCGGCAAGGTCAACGATCTCCTCGCAGTTCTTCTCCCACAAGAATTCTAGACAGGAGGCTCTGGAAGGGAAGCCCATCATGGTTGCAAGATGTGGGTGCCATTCTGGGGGGAAGGTGAAACGGCCCGTTTCGAGGGGAGCGTCGTTCTTGCGCGGTTTGTGTTGTTCGTTGTTAGTAGTGGACGACGCTGTCCGGTTGGTGCTCAGGTAGCCACCCATTATGGAATTTGTTCAGTGTTCAGTCGAGGAGCAGTTGTCATGTGTTAGGAGAAGACTCTCTGATGGTGAGAATTAATAATATTGTGGCCTGGGACAGGGACTTTATGTAGAATGTCTTGGTTTGCTTTTTGCAATTGCTTTCAGTAGTAGCTCATGGAGGCATAGACCGGAAGCAGAATGCATTTCATCTGATGACAGGTGAAGTGAAGGGTCCCAGCATTGCATTCCAACATTGACGGGGATTCATTAAATATGACACTGTGCCTAATATTTATCACCCACTTTGTTTCCGATGAATGGACTTTCCTTCATACATTCTTGCTCCTTGTTTGCCATCCCTTGCGTTGCCACTGAGCGCCATGGCCATTCACGCGAGGTTCTACATGACCCTTGAAGGGCATGCTTCCTGCCATAGGAAGATAATCATGGCTTGGCCGGGCTGGCAACTTAAATTACAAGAAATGCCAGATTGCCCGTATAAAGAACGAGCTCATCGGTATTGCGACGGCTATTTGCCAGCTTCAAACTGTGATTCTTCTGGTTCCTGCCACCGAGGTACCTGAAGCCGCACGGGTATCCCAAGACTATGACAGTCATGGGTTGGAGATCCCAGCCATTGAAATGGGCGACTTGAAATTCTGGATGCCCGATGTAGTTCCATTATTTGTGATGAGTGAAGGCACGGCCCGGTCGATTCTGCACGGGGCTGATTTTACCTTCAATGGCTGACGGCCGATATCCCTCCACTACCAATACACTTCTCGCGAAGGAGTTTCTGTTGGATAGACACATTCCCCATGTGGAGACTTCAATCGCTCTAGAAGGCGGCGCGTTGGAGACCGACGGAGAAATAACCTTTCTAGCGACAGAACGCTCCCTTCACAACCCTAACCGTAATCCGAGCGTGAGCCGAGTGACAATCTAAAACAAGCTTCAAAGGCTGTTAAGTCTATCTAAAATAATGTGGCTGCCTGGTCTAAAGTATTATGAACTGCCCGACGCGCATAGCGATACTGGGCCCGCTTTGTGGCTCCCGGTAAAGTTGTCCTGAGCAAGCCAAGTTCAGATAACGATGTGTTAAGAGCGGCCTATGGCACAAGTTGGGAGTTCCTAAGCCGAACTACAGACGTGAAAGAGGGTACTTTGAACTTTTTCACATCCAAGAAGCGCGCATGGATGGGCCTATTCCCTCTGCTGCGGGTTTATGCCTGAGCTACGTGAAATTTGTGCTCGTGAATGGTGCAGTTAATTCTCCACATTTTGGGGTTGAGAAGGCTGATACCATGTCCATACGAACACTCCAAAAGACATTTCCAATCCGACAGGTGGTCCAGATCTATCTCGAAGACATCGCGTTGAATGGCGGCGCGATCCACTGCGTGACGCAACAGACTTCCACTCCATAAGATTAGCCACTCCTTAGGACTTGGGTACTGCTCCTACAAGAGCTAATCAGGGATACTTTACGCAAGAAGCAATAAATCGAAAAGCCACATCATCTCCAGGATGGTGTGGATGCCCATTCAATCAGATAACCATGCAAAGGAATAACTAAGAAAAATGATACAAGACAGTTCCCAATATGCCCAACCGTCCTGAATACCATGCCGGTCCAGCCATTACCATCTAAAGCATCAGAGCGACAATAAAGGTAGAGGTCAACATCCAGACAGAAGCCATCCCAGGCCGCAAATCAGCAGCTCCACCACCGACAACATCCTTCACGCCATCTTTGATATCATTGCCAACTTGCCTGACGCCATGGAACCAGGTGCCATTGCTATTTGTGCAAGTCTCTCCTTTGGCACAGCAGCCATACTCCCCGTTATCGTTCTTGTGGCATTCTTCATTCGCACCGCAGCTGCCTTGGTTGCCACAACATTGCTCATCCTTGGAGATGCACATCCAGCCGCACCTCTGATTGTCATCAGAGCACCACAGGCCATCGGGTGAGCGCACTGCGAGAGAATGGGGATTGGCCTCAAGGCTTCGACGCCACCAATCCCAACCGCCAGTCTCACTGTTGCACTCCGTATTCTTGTCAATACACATCATGCCGCACCGCTTGTTATCATCGGAGCACCCGTAGTTCGGGTCGCATTTTTCGTCTTTTGGAATGCACATGATACCGCAGCGCTTGTTGTCCTCAGCACATCCCCAATCAGGCGAACGCACTGCCAGAGCATGAGTATTGTCCTCCTCAAGACTCCTTCGCCACCAATTCCAACCGCCAGTCTCCTCATTGCACTCCTGATTTTTGTCAATGCACATCCAGCCGCACCGCTTGTTGTCGGCAGAGCACCCATAGTTATGGTCACATTTCTCGTCCTTTGGAATACAGAGTAGACCGCATCGCTTGTTGTCCTCCGCACATCCCCAGTCAGGCGAGCGTACGGCCAGAGCATGAGAATTGTCCTTCTCAAGACTCCTTGGCCACCAACCCCAGCCGCCGGTTTCACTATTGCATGGCTCATCCTTGCCAATACACATTATACCGCATCGCTTGTTGTCCTCAGCACATCCCCAATCAGGCGAGCGCGCGGCCAAAGCATGAGTATGTTCCTCAAGACTCCGTCGCCACCAATCCCAGCCACCTGTTTTACTATTGCATGGCTCATCCTTGCCAATGCACATTATACCGCATCGGTAATTATCATCGGAGCACCCCCAGCCGTCAGGAGAGCGTGCTGTCAACTCCTGCGAAGGGTCAGGGCTGTCCAAGCTCCTGGGCCAAGGGTGCGGGCCGTCATTCCAGCCGCAGTGCTGATCCTTGGGAATACACCAGAAGGCGCAGATCTTCTCGTCACTCTTACAGAGCGAAGTGTCGTCGGGGGCGCGTACTGCGAGCGGATGGGCGGTGTTGACCGATTTCAATGGTTGGATTCGAACATCCTCATGGCGGATGGAATCAGTGTTCGAGGTTCCTGCAGATAGAGGGTTGCAAAGGGTGGGAACGGCGGGAAGGAGGAGGCTAAGGCAAATAGTAGCAGATAATGAAGCCCGCATGGTGAATTGTTGCGTGCACCAATGGACCAGGTAATTCGGGGGTTGGTGATGCTGTGAGCTCAGGTACAAGATGTGAGGATTGTTGGTATTTTGGATGTAGAATTGAAGTTTGTTTTTTCTGATTGAGTGATACCAGTTCTGAATGACGCGAAAGAGCTTCATATTTATATTGTGTATCTCAGTATACAAAACTATCCAAATGGTAGTGTCTATACACCTCAGCGGATTCGAGCAGCCCTGCCAAGAAAAAATGCTCACCCTGCATTGAAGCATGTTAGCGTCGGTAGTGTCAGCAAAGGGTCTGCTTAGCCAAGCCCTGGGGACAGCCACTGCAATACTGAGCTAGGCGACCCCTGTTCAGTCGCGTCTAATCATATTGTACAGAATTATTGCGGAGTAGGCCACGATATCCGCCCGTTGTTGAGGTATGTAGAACGTTTCTCACCACCTCGATATACCAACCAAGCAAGACAAGCGGCAAAGGTCCCTGCATGTCAGGGTCCTGGTCACACTACTGGGTAATTCTAGTCTTTACGACTTTTTCTTTAACAACAGTGCCGTAGAGCTGTGGTTCGATTATTTTCATATTTCCCGGATATCCGTTCTACAAGGCCCTACTGCCATCCTCAACTATCGCTCCCCAAGAACAACAGCATCACAGTCCTTCCACTTTTTACTAAACTAAAGAGATATTTGTTTGTAGCTGCCGTGAGAGACACACAATTGGGAAGGGTGGGTTCAGCTGCGCGATGATCTCACACGTATCATGGTGAAACCGTTGCAACAGGCACACACTTCATATCATCTCGATGCATAGTGAGACCCCGGTCAAGATCGTACGTTCAAATTTCGGTACCGATTTTTGCTCTTGATCATAAGATAGCAAGGTCTTTAGTAGGGCCACTGCCAATACACGTCGATATTCGCGCATCAGCTTTCCTCTGAGGAGCCATCCAAACACACCTCTTCCATAAATCATAATATATAATTATATCCCTAAGTCTCTGAGCGGCTGGAGTGCCATGCGAAAGGTGATAAGTGGGAGACTGTCGTTGTCCACGCGACCAATAGAGCCATCTACTCTGCTTACGCTGGAAGGTAGTGTCTATGTGGTACGCCTGAAAAGTCAGTTATGAGGCAGAGGAAGTTCGACCATTTACACTTATACAGACGCGAATTGATGTCCTAAAAAGGGGCTTCATTGCATTTACCATGTTCGACCTATACTACATATTCCAAGGATATTTTTATCTTTTTATATGATCAATAGCGTCGAGCGCGAATTCTCCAGGCACACTAGCCACTTGTTGCAACCTCTTGGCATTCGGATATCTGCCGATCTGCCACCTGGCCAGCTGCAGAAGATTTTGTACGCTCATCGAACAGCCAGGATTACCGAAATCGCTAGTTCCCAAATATGTAACCTGAAATATATCGCTAGTTTAGGATTTCGTCGCAAAGACTCCAGGTCGAGATGGTTCAGGAGTGCAAAAACTTGAACATGGTTACAATATTATACCCTGTACCTTCAGTTAAAAAATATACCATGGCACTGTATGTTCGTTAGTGTAGAGCCAAGTCATATTCAGCATGCCCTACTAAACAGGAACAACTATCTAACCACACAGCAGTCAAGAAATTTGTCATGTCACCAAAACATATGGCCGACCAAATGCTGCATCAAAATAATCCGGCACCAGATTGGCTCGAAACAGTGAGACCAGGCAAGGAGATGAAGGCACCTCAGGGGACAGCTAAGCCTTAATTGGAATCAGTAGTGAAAAATAGCCCTCGGGCATGTTCGAATTTGCATTTCTCGTCCTGCGGACCCGCGGACCCGCGGTACTGACCATACCATGGAGAGCTCTGATAAGCTGTTGCGGCCCCACAAAGTGTATATTGTCACCAGCACAGACCCATCCCTCACAACCTTGACAGCAGCTCTTGCGACGACGATGCCTCGGGCCAGAGGTCTCCCATGTGGGGTCTCTTCCCCGCTCAGTGTCGATCCTGTTGAGACCAATAAATACCAGCGCCCCCGACGCGTGGTGTTTTGGTCTGCAGCGCTTCACCATGAGTCGAAAAAATCGCAATCCGCTATCTAACCCGCTGCACTATGCGACACCGCAAACAAGCGCAGGACCACCGGTCACGTACTCCTCCGCCCAACGCTTGTTGAAGGGATATGACTATGGTGAGCTGAGAAGAAACGCGTATGTCTCTCAAAACTAACTCACCGCTCAGTGATCATCGGAGCGGGTGCCGCTGGCTCTGTGCTTGCCAGCAAGCTCTCTGAAGACCCCAATGTCTCGGTTCTCCTGCTGGAGGCCGGAGGGGATGACACCGGCGTCACGGAGAGCAAAATGCCATTGGGGTTCCCAAAGCTCTTCCACGGAGAATATGACTGGGATTATTACACCGTTGAGCAGCCCGGCCTTGCGTCGCGTCGCCTATACTGGCCTCGAGGTCGCATTATCGGCGGTAGCTCGTCGATCAACGCCATGATGTACCATCATTGCTCCAGGTCAGATTTCGATGAATGGGCGTCTCGTTACGGATGCCAAGGCTGGAGCTACGACGATCTGGCGCCGTATTTCAAGCGCATGGAGCGCTTCACCCCCAATCCAAACCGTCCACGCATTGACCTGCAGCATCGGGGCAGTGCGGGTGAGTGGCAAACCGGGTATTCATACCTGACTGAGATTGGCGAAAAGGGCTTTCTGCCCGCCTGCTATGATGCCGGAATTCCGGCTGTCGAAGACATTAACACGCCCGGCGGCACCCTGGGCGCCACTCGGTTCCAGACGTTTATTGATCCCAAGGGACAGCGGTCCTCCTTGGCGACGGCATACTTGACACCGGAAGTGAGGAAGCGCCCGAATCTCTTCATCGCATGCCATGCCCATGTCACTAGGCTGCTCTTCGACCCGCTCAGCGGCGAGGAGCCAATAGCGATTGGAGCGGAGTTTCAGAAGCAACGAGGAGGAGAGTTCTTTCATGTCCATGCACGCAGAGAGGTGATTCTCAGCGGCGGGACGGTTAACACGCCGCAGCTGTTGCTTTTGAGCGGTATCGGGCCCAAGGATGAATTGGAAAAGCATGGTATTCCCATTGTGCGTGCCAGCGATGCAGTAGGGAAAAATCTCAAAGATCACCTGGTGACAACCGCCGTGATGTGCAAGGCAAAGGCGGGAGCCACCCTCGATTATCTCGGAAGTCCTCTCAGGGCCTTGCCGTCCTTAGCTCGATGGATGCTTCTGGGAGGAGGTCCCCTGGCTCACAATGCGGGCGAAACAGCTGCATTCATTCGATCCTGGGAGCACTATCCTTTCCCGGGTTCATCTTCTGAGCGTAGCCCGCCAAAGGATTACACCTCTGGGTCGATTGGACCGGACGTGGAAATCATAGGCGCACCGCTTGGCTTCATCCACCATGGTGAAGAGCCACCCCTGGATGGGGCTAGTGTATTCACCCTTGCCCCGATCAGCCTTCGTCCGCAAAGCAAGGGAACTGTCACACTAAAGAGCAGGGACCCCTTTGATCATCGTGAGCATCTCCCTTCTCCCATTAATATAACAACGCAAACTGACACGGCGCTCTTGCGGCAGCCTTAATCGACCCTAAATACCTCAGCGATGAAGAGGGTAACGACCGCGCAGTTCTCCTGGCAGGCATCCGCGTGTGCCTACGGATCATGCGGAGTCCTGTGTTTCAGAAGTACCTCGAGCGTGTGCCCGTTAATGACGATCCCTGGTCTTACTGGTGGCCGTACTCCAGCAGCGACATTGATCGCATCACGGATGACCAGATTCTTCGCTGGATGGATGAAAAGGCGTTTACCTTGTACCACCCGGTCGGCACCGCGCGCATGGGAACGTCTCCTGAGGACAGTGTGGTCGACGTACAGTGTCGAGTGCATGGTGTCAAACGCCTGAGGGTGATGGATGCCAGTGTGTTCCCGGAGCAAATTAGTGGACATCCCACTGCCCCCATTGGGGCCATGGCCTATAAGCTCAGTGATATGATCAAGAAAGACTCTGAGACGCAGGCTCCTCTGGCACGTTTGTAATGTTGTACGGGGTGTGAAGACCTTGGAGCTACGGTAGCTGCTGATTGATGCTATCATGATGTAAAGAATAACTCAGTGAAGGTACAGTGAGTCAATTACATGTTATTTTCTGCCGATCATTTTGGTAGACAAGCGATGTATTCAATGGTGTACTTGAAATATTTCGATTATAGCTTTATGGCAGGTTGTTGCGTGCTATTTTGCTTTTAATTCAGTCAATAAATAGTGACAATTGGAAGAGGTAGTACTTGATATATGCCCAACGTGTGCTGACATTATAGCCATAAATTGTGGCCAAGTCCGGGGCTCCGGCCACTGTTGACCATTTCCCTAAAATAGCAGCTGCATCTCTCAAGTGGCTTGCGAAACATGACCAATAATGAACGCAATTATGCCTCCTAGGAGTGAAACTGCACCAGTCACTTGCATTAGTCTCAGCCTCGGAATACTGGCTGATAAATTGACTCCACTCTGCTGCAGCATAGGAAATTCCAGCCGAGCGGATGCAACCCAGCAGGTTAGAGAGTAGCTTGGCTGCACAAGTCCCCACTTTGGACACGAGCAACAACCTAGTTGCGAGGGAGCTCTTTGCCACGTTTCGATTATTACATGAGATGGGGATTCAGAGTACAAAAGTCTCCAAAAGTGCCACCTGGCTAAGAATGACAGGGAGTAACAACGAAACATTGCCCATTTATCTTCCCATTCAAGATGCGCTTTCAATCAGTAATAGCCGCTCTACTACTTAGCCTAAGCTTCACAATCCACGCCACCCAAACCTTCAAGAACACAGGCACCACTTCCGGCTGGAGCTCCATCAACCACGAGCACAAGGGCACGGTGCAACAAGTCACAAATGTAGTCTACGGCGGGTCAACCGCGCTCAAAATGACGCAGGTCTACGACTCGAGCTACAGTGGTCGCTACCACTCGGAGGTGGTGCACAACGACATGTACAAGCTGGGCGACGAAGGTTTCTACGGCTTCACGTTCCGTCTCCAAGAATCGTGGCAGTTCTCGCCGGCCCAATCGTACAATATCGCACAGTTCATTGCCGACTTCGGCGACACAGGCTGCGACGACTACATGCCGTCCAGCATGGTGTGGCTTATCGGGGACCAGCTCTTTACGCGGGTTAAGACGGGCAGCGTGTGCGCGCAGAAGACAACTACCTTTGGCAATTTGGCCACTGTGAGCCCCGGCGTGTGGCATAAGATCATTATCCAGGCTAAGTGGCGGGCGGACGGTACGGGGTACTATAAGATGTGGTTTGATGGGAAGAAGGTGCTTGAAAAGTATAATATTGATACCACCGTTGATGATCCCCGGCCGTTCCAGTTCCGGGTTGGGCTGTATGCTAATGGCTGGTATGATGATGGTGGTATGAAGGGAACCCAGGGGACACGCCAGGTGTGGTATGATGAGATCGTTGCTGGCACGACTTTTGCCGATGCGGATCCTGATCAGCAATAATGCTTTTCTTTTCGAGGTGTATGTGGTGTCAATGCAGGCAGTGAGTTCCTGTTGAATTGCCGCAATATGCAAGTCGCATTAATAGTGGACTCGTTATGCATGTATTGGTTGGACCCCGTTCGTCGATGCTTTATAGCCAGTTCAATGCATCCACCTCCAACTGATGTTCATAACTTAATTCCCAAGTGATACAAGTCCGAGAAGAGGAGTAGGGAGGGCGATGTTAGCTGGTGACGCGAACTGTGTCCTCGTCATGGCGCTCTCCCGTATTCGTTGACACGTACTCAGGTACGAGGGAGTCATTCTCAGGACAGATATACCTTTGACGATCTATAGGACAGCACCAATGATGAGTTATGTTCAGCCCCACACTTCATAGCCAAGGCGTTGATTTGCAAGCTCCGCGGTGGACCCAAGGCATTAAGAGTGCAGAATACGAAATGGACCGCTGATGCCTGGTCGGTGGTCCTTAAATAACCACCCGACCCCTTATCGTAGGGTACTACTATTGCAAAGCCCTATTGGCAAACTCCAACAAACCCCCAAGCACAATGGACCAGCAACTCACGTCAACACAGAAAGCGAACCTGCACGAGGTCGCTGACATCATGCTAGAAATCTACCAAACTCTCGCCAACATGCGCTTTCTCAATTCTGCCGGAATCATCAAAGGCCCACATAATATGGGCAATGTTCTTAACTTGTGTGAAGAACTGGGCCTGGACCCTTCGATCATATATCTCTACAGCATCTTACCGTACATTGACTTCCCCCTTGCTGGCCAAACCGATTTCTTCAAGGGGGGCATTTTCGCAGATTTCCGCCAAGCGGAAGATATAGAGCAAGGACGCGACCCGTTCTATATTTGTCCGGGTGACGATGACTATGACGATGAAGATGGCCCGTACATGCGGCCGTGGGTAACCCCACTCTCATTGATAGGGAACCATCAAAGCGTCATTCTTTATGATGCGCGGCGGCATCGGATATGGATCATTGATCAGGAGAGTTGGAACACAAGTGATCCTGCGCTCAGGAACATGCCAGACAGCGTGGCTGGTGATGAATATGAGTGTGGGGAGAAAAGCAACAACGACAACAGCTTTCAGCATGTACCTAGTCGCCCTGCTGGTGATGTGCTCAGAGATATGACCCGCTGGTATCGTTCATTGGAGATAATGCCTGGTGGTGGTGAGAATACCAGACCCGAATGGGACTACGAGCAGCTTCCTTTGAGAGACCTTTACTCCAAGCATGGTTGGCCGGATCATTTCAATGGAGACGCCTTTGAGGCGGACCAACTCAGGCATTCTGTGTTGATCCAGGAGACGCAAAGTCAAAATGGCGAGCATACAGCGTGATATTGAAACTGAAGTCGTGATCCATTTGACTGCGGGGTGTCAAACGCACAAAGAAGCTAATGGAACACGATATTGAAGGTTATTAGAGGACTGTAAGAAAGGGACAAGCAATCCTCGTGGGAAATAAAGAAATGTCGCCAATGTATAGGAATTAGGATTAGCAGTACATGCAAAGCTAGGACACTCGATTCAACCATGGGCCACAGGCTGTATCGCACAGAAGCGGATAAAACATACGTCGAATCTATCCAGGCAGCCGAGCACCGTATCGATCTACACAGAATTCCTGTGTTATCTTTGAACGGTGACAATGTGAAAGCACTCAGACTTCTAGTATCGAACCCCAGGAAAAACATGACGAGCATGTAGACCCACGCTCTCGTGCTCCCATTTAGGGCAGGGCATGTGCTCGTCATGTGCGGGCAACCCTAAACGTCACCAAGGCAGATGGGTGAGCACCCAGAGCAGTAACTACAATTCGTAGAAGAGGGACATCACATATGAAAAATTTGTTCATTCACATAGTAATCATAATCTAACTCCCGCCCACCAGCCCACCATTTTACATCGAAATCCGACCACACCCGCCAAACAACATCCACCCGCTCCCCTCATGCAACGCTGATCAGTAAACATAACACATCCCCAAACCACCAGAATACATCAAAAACAGAATCGCTTTGTATACCACTATTTTTTCACACTGTCGCAGTCGATCCAGCGAACCGCATTACAGGTTGGCAGACAGCTTTCCGGACTTCTTGCCGGTGTAGGTAGCAATGAGATCCATCAGAGGCGGAGACAAGGCATCGTAAGTCTGCAAGCCGACCGACTGGAACTTGGAGCGAACTTCATCCATTCCGCTGGGGTGGAAGCCTTGCTCGATGATGGAGGACACGAAACCAGCGAACTGGGGCTCCTGCCAGCCCTTCTTGTCCGAAAGCTCGACGTGGACAAAGTCCAGGCCCTTGAAGGGGTGGTCAACTTCAATGCGTCCGAACAAATGGGTGCCGCACTCCTTGCAGGCGTAACGCTGGATGGCAGCGGCCTTGTCGATAATGTGGAGCTTTTCGGCGTTGGCAGCCACAGAGAGATTCTCCTTGGGGATCACACCGACGACGGAGAAGAGTGCGCCAGCGGGCTTCCAGCACTTCGAGCATCCGCAGGCGTGGTTGTGGGCGACATTACCCTTGAGGGCGACTGTGACTTTGTTCTGAGGGCAGAGACAGTAGAGGTTTCCACCGGGAAAGTTCGCGTCGCCCTTGGCGAGGCCATTGTCAACGAGAGGATGGAGGGAGACAGGCATGGCGGCTTTTGATTGGTGTTCAAAAAAAGAAGTGTAGATTAGGTATAGTAGAAACGAAACGATTGGTAAGATATCTTTCGCTATGTGAAGTTTTCCTGAATACTACAAGTCAGTTTTCCTACACGGTCCTCACATTTATAAAGATATAAAGCCATGATCGCGCCATGGTTTGTACGACGAGTCCCCTCATGAGGAGACCAAACTCCAAGACCAATTGGTGAATTATTGAGGGGTTTTCTATCTGCAGTCTCCACGTCGCGGCTGGCAGATCCGTAGACGGACCGTGTCGGCCGGTCCGGGGGTTTCCTTACTCAATGCGGTTGTGCTTTCCGGCCCCGTGGCCGGGCTACGGAGGACCAAATCGACCATCTTTGCTCGGACCCCTTCCCGAGATTGTCTCCATTGCGTGCTATCGGCAGTTCTCACTTCCCTTACTTCCCTCTCACGGGTTATCCGAAGCAGGGCCGTCGTCCATTCTTACGGCGAAGTGTTGGAATGTATATGCATCTACAACAAGTCAATCACCATTATACTACTGAATCTCATAGCCCGAAATATGAAAAGACCAGTGCAAGATATTTAGATCGATCATCACGTTAATTTCATCATTTTCAGTCGTTCTCTATATGTACAATTCATAACTCCATAGTTGACCCGTTGCCTCACGATGCCACCGTATCAACAACGCATCGGATACAATCCCCTTGCTTCATCTGCTCAAAGGCCACGTTGATATTGGCTAACTTCTCACGATGTGTGATAAATTCGTCGATTTTCAAGTCACCCCGCAGGTAATCCTCCACAAGGGCCGGAAGCTGAGAACGACCCTTGACGCCACCAAAAGCGCATCCCCTCCATACGCGACCGGTAACCAGTTGGAATGCTGTTCAAAGTCAGTACACACCGGCACAATAGGAGCTTTAAAGGACTGCACATACGCCTGGTTGAGATCTCTTGACCAGCAGCAGCCACGCCGATGACGATGCTCTCACCCCAGCCCTTGTGACAGGCTTCCAGAGCAGCGCGCATGACGCTGACGTTGCCCGTGCAGTCGAATGTGTAGTCACATCCACCATCAGTCATGTCAATAAGCTCATCCTGAACGGTTTTCCTCAGTCGAGCAGGGTTGAGGAAATGAGTCGCTCCGAACTTGTAAGCCCACGCTTCCTTTCCGTCATTAATATCCACCACAATAATCTTTCCGGCCTTCTTCTTCACCGCGCCCTGGACGATCGACAAACCGACACAGCCAGCGCCAAAGACCGCCACATTTGCTCCTTCCGTAATATTAGCGGTGACCGTAGCGGCACCGTACCCGGTCGTAATACCGCACCCCAGAAGACAGGAACGGTCCGTCGGACACGATGGAGTGACCGCCACAACTGAAATATCGGCGACGACGGTATATTCGGAAAAGGTCGAACAGCCCATGAAATGGAGTAGATCTTTTCCGCGGGCTTTGAACCGGGTCGTTCCATCCGGCATGACACCGCGGCCTTGCGTGGCCCGGATCTTGCCGCACAGATTCGTCTTCCCGGACCGGCAAAATTTGCATTCTCCGCACTCCGGTGTACTGATTATGTTGTTAGCAGCTCGTTGTATTTTTTTTAGGGGATCGAAACATACTAGAGAGCGATCACATAATCGCCGACCTTAACATTGGTAACACCTTCGCCAACAGACTCAACTATACCGGCACCTTCGTGGCCCAGGATCACTGGGAAAGCACCCTCGGGATCCTTGCCGGAAAGCGTGTAGGCATCTGCAGGTGATTAGATAACGCCGTTACACGACAATTGACGACTTTCAAAGGAATCCCAACTCACCAGTGTGGCAAACTCCCGTGTGGAGGACCTTGATGCGGACTTCATGGGCTTTTGGTGGCGCGACTTGGACATCCTCGACTGAAAGGGGCTCTGCTGCTGCCCAGGCGATTGCGGCCTGTTGGATACTCAGTATCTGTTCTCTGTTCGATACATGGTGCATCAATTCGTACCTTGCAAGTGATGGTCTATTTATTAATTGTTAGTAAATTTCCAAGGAAGGTCAGGGTTTTGGATTTGGCATACCTTTCCAACTGTACTAGCCATTGTGGATGAAGTGCGCTCAGCAATTCTATTCTAGAAACTGAGAAATGCACAAGGAGAGAAGAGCTCAAGAAGAAAGGAAGAAAGAAAGAAAACAGCAGCTATTGAAAAAAGCAGGTGCATCGCATACAAACAAAACTATGAGGCAAGGAGACGGAAATGAGATGAGACCCACGACGGAAAGAAAATAATTTCTTTAGTGAGGGGTGAGGGGAAACACCATGAGGGGATAGCTCACCGACAGAGATAGTCGAGACTATAGTTGTGGGGTTCTAGTTGCTTTAAGCAGAGCCTAAGTCGACATCGTAGGAGATTATGGGTACAGAGTCCGTAGACTGGCGGGAGGAACTATTCTCGGAAGACCTGCCGAGATATGGATACGGATACGGCATCCAACAACCCTAAAGGGTTATGAATCCCGGACGTTCACAATTTCTTTTCGCTTTTATTAACATCGAAGGATTCTGACAAGGGTTACGATGCATTGGATAGCATCCTATCAGTCAATTCCCAACATACACAATCGCAGAAATTGCCGTTGCGTGTTGTTGCCAGACAATTCTTCTGCGCATCGACAGCCAAGAGTTTCTTTAGACCTACGGTCCGTAGCCTACGGCGGAGATAAGACTCGCCTACCGATACGATCGAAGTCTCTCCAATACTGCGGGCAACCAGAAAAGGAAGGGCAATCGGTTTTCCCCCGCATGCAAAGCAAGATCCTCCCAGAAAAATACCAGGACATTGATTCCTCCCAGGTCCCCAGTTCCGAATGATCCAAAAAGGTTTATGTCGACCTTAAATGCCAACCCATCTTAGATCTATAGAAAATATTTTTAGATAACAAGATTGCGCTTCGAAACTCCCGCTCGACTATAATCATGGCAATTTACATTCTGCTCCCTACAGATTCATGATATGTGCTCAAGTGGGCTAATCTAGGAAATATCACGCACTATACAACGTCTTCTGACAAATAACCCCTTTTTTTTTGAAAATATGTAACCGGGAGGACGTGTACCTCAAGATGACGGACAATCAAAGAAATCGGTCGAGATTTATAAGAGGGGGTATTTTGTGCAACGATATTGGCGCTTCCCCCAAGCTTTCCGGATGGCTTGTACTGAGAGAGCAATTGCCATGGCGTCCGATTGAATGTACTATGAGTCATAAAAATGGCTCATGGAGATAATGCTTCTGGATTTTGACTGGTTTATCAGAAGTCTTATTGAGTCTTAGCTGATGTTCAGTTTAATGTTCAGCCTTACATGATAGGCATGTATGTAGTGTGGTCCAAGTGAGGCATCAAGCCCTCGGCTCGGTGGAAAGAGTAACTTATCGCACCCGTGAGTAAGTTGGGTGTCCAGTTATCATCTGATGTTATTTTGACCTGGAGGATTGCTCGACTACACTTTTCCAGTTAGCTCTTCCCTTCCATCGCTGCACAACTTCTTAAGCTTCTGTAGAAACATAGACAGTCTAACCTGTTTAGGTATCTTCTAGTCCATCTAGCGTTAGTGTCCATTCCTATATGGGTATAGCGCATTCTATACGCGATGCTGGATGGAGACAATGAACACCACCGAATGCTGGTTGTCTCCCAAAAGATACAAATAAATTTAGCACATTAAAGTAAAGAACTCGTATTACTTGTTCTGTTCACGATTTATTCCAGTTATTTTATTACTCCCTCTAAAGCCTATTTTGTTGTTATGAGGATCAATATGTTATATGGGAAATATATATATATTGGCTTTTCGTGTCTGACTGTTCTGATTCTGTCCCGAAAACGTCAGGAAAAGTAAGCAGGGACACACTGGGACATGTGATAGCCTTCTAAGACTTCTTACTCTAGGATACGGCTACAAGGTTGGTTCTTTGGGTATGTCAAACCATCATTGAGGCGACAGGGCTCATCAATGAATTATCACATTGTATCTAAACGGGTAAAAGCTACATGACATCTCCCCGCTATGTTGTGTACTTTCTCAGATTCTTTCTAGCATCATTATATCTTGGTACAGAACCAGGATCATACTGTAGAATGTATAAACCACCATGGGATTGGTAGAGCACGATCAATGAAAAACTAAGGAAATTATGGCCTTTGCTGTATAGAAATTTGAATCCTCAAACATCCGATGTGACTAACGACTGTCTTTACCGGGCTCGGGCAGATATAAGAGCTTCCTTCGTTGAGCAAGAGGTTATTCCTATGGACCGCTACTGACGAGAAAGCATAGCGGAAGGATCTCGGAGAAACTCAGATCACAACCCCATTTGACATGGCCGCATCCTTCGTACCATTGCTTCATCCTTCCTTTCCCTTGCGTACCCCGCCTGTGACCTTCATCAATGAGTGAAAATGGACTATTCTACGAAGCACGGCTAGGGATACCAGGTCTCTGGACCGCCACTCCCTCAGGCCTTGATTTTCAAAGCACATCCATGGAAGAACCTAAACATTTTCTATTCTAGGGATGGTCGAAACAACTTTTCTATTTGGCATGATAGGCCAAATGCCGAATAGGGCGTTCTGGGCCATCTGTCTTCGATCTATCGCGGAACATATTGTGTGATGCCTTGATGGGTAGAACCGTCTGGACCGTATTATTCAGCGGAATACCTGAGTGCAGTTCCATGGGTCTATATAGACTGTTGTTTGTGGATTCGGCTTGGAATCCCGTGTTATTGCCATGGAGTAGTATATGAGCCGATCGTTTATTAGTGGAGTCGCCATAGGCTAGGACTAATGGAATACTTGAGACATTCCGCAAGGATTGGATATCCTGCAGGATCTCTGGTGCTTATTAGGTACTCGGAATGTAAGCGGAGAGTGCTATGACCGTCATCGTCTCAGAATCCTACAGATCATCGTGGTGGAGACCAGTTTAGAGACGGAAGGATGCATTCAAAGGCACACTGATATTGTGTGGCTCTGATCTGGAAGAGTTAGGCCCCAGGGTCGTGATCGCATTTAAGATAGTGTTCACTCAAGCACTGTTGAGCAGCTTGGCGCGCACATGAAGCATCGACAGAAACAACCGCGAGTTGTAGGATAGGGGAGCAATTTTCCCTACTTAGATGCAGGCACATATTTCTTAAACTGCACAATGTGTCATAACCGGCAGAATGATATTCAAATACAGAGCAACACTTTCCGTGATATAGTAGTACAAAAATAGAACCATCCATGATCAAACATTGGGCCCGGGTCAACTTCGGTTCTTGATGGTTATTCCCCTAGTCCGAACCCTATTGAGTGGGACTTCGATCCCGAGCTTGAACCCGAACCACTGACCACAACTAACCAACCACAAGCACCAGGGCAGAAGGCTTGTCCTATAATTGGGAACAGACTGATTTACACCATTGGGAGATCATTATCCTATTTGTGGAATGTACGACCAGAAACTCCTGGGGTGGTTCAGGTAAATTAGGGCTCGGCATCGATCCAGGGGTTCGGGTATTTTACGGTTGATCCACTTCCCGAGTGGTCGATGAACCTCCCCTCGTGCGGGCGATGATGCGTTCGTCCCTGCTCCAGATCGGCCTTAGTGGCTGTGGTGGATCTTTTAGAGTTGTTTCGACTTTTGAGTCCCCAAAAGGGTTGAGCAAAAGGAAAACTTAAAAAAAGGGGGGCACCTTTCGAGCTCTAGAGATCAAGCCCCATTAAATGGTCTCAGTGTGGGCTAGTCTGTTTCAATCATGCGGGTTGTCTTGCCTCGAAATACGGTGTTGGCAATATCATTGCTTCGTGTCAGTCACTCTACATGCACTGGCTGTGAAAGAATATTCTGCTGGGAAGCCGTTCTAACAGTACGCTTCCTCTCTTGCCAAACATCTCAACTCTTCAATATCCATAGTATACTTCTCCTATAGACCGGAAAGTAGAAGAGGTAGGCCTATTGCATCATGCTGAATAGTCCTAGACTACTGGCCCGGCGATATCGGAAGGAAGTTCTCATAATTGAGTTTGAGTCCTTCAGGGCACCAAAGAGCTCGACCCGAAAACTAGCCGGCAATCCCGGCTTACCGATTATGGTTAAATCACCGTGGGTAGCCCTAGCACAAGAAAAGCGAAGACCCTCCCCGACCGTTTCACATTGAAGATGCGTTCTCTCTATTGTTCCTTTGCTGCCATATTTCCCCACATTAAAAAGTTTATTTGCGCTTGTAGCTTGATTCATGCAAACACGGTTTCTAATTATACTTCAGATCGATGGTCGATGGGCATGATTCATGGAGAGGTTTTGGAGTGAACCGACACTAACCCTGACTCCGAGCCCTAGGGGCCAGGGCATCCCGTCCGTCGGAATGGGGATAGGGTGTTGGGGTACGCTGACTTGGTGCGTTTATCGGGTTAAGAGATATGGTGTTTGGAGAAGACACTGCAGAGCCGCTGTTGTTTCTCGAGTTCAATTGCAAAATATCGTGATTATCAGTCAACCTACTTGCATTCTATGTAGTAAAGGGGATCACAAATATAAGACATTAAAAAAGCAGGTCACCGTACACCAGCGCCTATACTGTTCTTGAAGTATAAACCGAGGACCCCAAAAGCCCGACTTACCAATCCGGTCTAGCTAAGCACATTTCCACACTAGGGTTGGGTCTCTCGATGGCGTCCTTCTGTGAAACGCAGATCTACAGCTAATCTTGCCCATGCCATGAGTAGAATGGTTTCATCGTTAGTTCAATTAGGAGGTATGGTTCCATCGGAGTCTGGATAGCAACATCAAGTGCGCAAAAAGGGAGAAGTCACGTCTATATAAAGGCCTGCAATGCACTCCCATTATCCTGTCATCCAGCCAGCATCAACATTCTTTCCTTCCACTTCACTCAAAAATCCACAAAAAAGTCATTCATCTTTCGTTAAACGGTTTTATATTTGTTAATTTTCGATATGCGTTACGCTCTTTATACCCTCGCCCTTGGGGCAACCTCGACCCTGGCGGTCCCGGTGTCTGTGATACCGCACAATGGTACCCTGCCGAACGTCCCCGGCAGAATCGGTACCCCCATTACCCCCCCATCCAGAGATCGTGCTGGATTGCAGTCTCGTACCTTCCTGCCTCTTATTGAATGGCTCGGCCATCACGGCTCGGCCACTTCCACTACCTCTTGTGAAACATGCGAGGCTTCCGGTAGCGCGACTAGCAGCGGCGCTGTTAGTGTGACTCCCACCGTCTGCGAAAAATGTGAGAATGGCCATGGGATTGGCGTGAGCGTCAGCTTCGGAACCGACCCTAGTGCCTCTGCAGGCGCCAGTGTCAGTGGTGGTGTTACCGGAAGTGTGAGCGGAGGCGTCAGTGGTAGTGGTAGTGTCGGCGCCAATGTTGGTGGTGGTGCCAATGCCGGTGTTAGTGGTGACGTTGGAGCTGACGTTGGTGCCAGCGGCAGCGGAGATGTTAGCGGTGGTGCTAACGTTGGAGGAGATGCCAGTGGTGACGCCGGAGCTGGCGTGAGTGCCACGGGCAGTGGAGATGTTGGCGCCAGCGGAGATACCGGTGCGAGTGCTGGCGGCGACGTTAGTGGCAGTGCCAACGCTGGAGGAGATGTTAGCGGCGGAGCTAACGTTGGTGGTGATGCTTCTGGTAGTACCACTGTTGGAGGAGGTGTCAATGCCGGCAGTGACGTTGGTGCTAGTGGTGATGCTGGAGCCGATGCTGGCGCCAGTGGAAGTGGAGATGTCTCCGGTGGTGGTAATGTTGGTGGTAATGTTGGTGCTAGTGGTGACGCTGGCGCTGATGTTGGTGGAGATGTTTCTGGCGGTGTCAACGTTGGTGGTGATCTTGGAGCTGGCGGAGATGTCAATGGAGGAGCCAATGTCGGCGCAGGTGTCGGTGCTAACGGGGATGCTGGTGCAAATGTCGGTGGCAACGTTGGAGGTGATGTTAGCGGCAACGCTGGCGCTGATGTTGGTGGAGGAGCCAATGTCGGTGGTGATGTCGGCGCTGGCGTTGGTGCTAACGGTGATCTTAGTGCCGGTGTTGGAGCCAATGTTGGAGGTATCCTCGGTGGTATCGCTGGTCTTGTTGGTAATGCTGGTGCAGGGGTCGGTGCCAATGTGGGCGGACACGTCGGTGGAAACGTCGGCGCCAATGCCGGTGTTGGCGCTGATGCTGGCGCTGGAGAGGACTGCGACGAGTAAGGTAGCCAAGAGCTTCAAAAATACATGGCTTACTGCCAGGCCTCTTCTTACATCACTGCGTCCTGAAATATCTTTGATCTCATTTTGATTGTTATCAATGCAGCTGGCTCTGGCTTGGACCCTCCTTATGATCGTTCAAACAACATGTCTCTCATTTCCATGTCATATAACTAATTCGATTATCTCCATCATTTTCCATCTCCACCCAGAATAGCCTTAGAGAACCAACTGGGATACGCGAAGTTTAGATTTTGGTCTCAAGATCAGTGGTAGAAAGTGTAAGGGCGCAGCAGCTATCGGCATAATGTATGTATGGCTAACGTCTTTTATATTTGTCTATCGAGGATGATGCCTTTGCAATGAGTCTATCGCTGTTGCATTGTACGGATTGATTGAGGCATAGCAAGACGGTGAACCGCTGCACAAGCACACCGTAACTCTAGAATACAGATGTAACCTTACAATGAGTGCCATCTAAACGTGACAGTGTGAGAAATAGAACCCAGCCACGTCCTTGTTCCATGGTCCATGCTACAGAAACAGTCATGGAAACAGGTTTGGCTCCTATTTCTGGTTTCACGTGTGAATCAGCTCAGTACCAAATCGGTACAAGTACATTGGCACAAAGCCCAAAGCTAAGAGGGAATCCCTACATGTCTTTGTTGGAAGACCTGTTGGTGAATTGGCTATTAACAGTGCACAGTCTACCACCGGATGAACCTATCACAATGTGTGCCGAGTATTTAACTTAAGGTTCGTGCCGCCCGGGATGCATATTCAATACTCTTCACATTGATGTCCTCTACCAATAACAGCTTCTTGGATAGTCTAGAACCAGGGATTAATCCTGAGCCACGAGAATATCCTGCCCGAACTGGCTGATGGTGGTCGATCCCGAGGCCAACTGCGACCGTGTGGCAACGCAAGTGAGTATGGCTTTGCCCCTCGCCAGTATATATCGGATATAAAATGCCATTCAAAACCCCTCCCCATCGTAAGTCATTTGGCTGATCATCCCTTTTCAAAGCAGAAGATCTCCTTTTGCTTATAGCTACCTCACCACGCCGAGAACAAAATGTCTACTTTACTCTGTCCTCAACGCGAAGGTTGTCACCATGTCCATACCCTCAACAGGTCGACTTTTCCGTCATGTTGCCGATATCATAAACCTCCACCCTGGAGAAGACCCTTGCTGTGCTGGATACGCCACCCCACAAGGACACCAATGCCATCAATATATCCCCGCTTCCGATTCCACCGCTGCCTGTAGGCTCCTTGACCGGGCCACTGAGGATCTTCATGTCGGACGCCCCATAGATCACTACCTTCAGGATTTGGCATCACTAGTTCTTTGCAGAACTCACCGTCAGGCACAAGCACCCGATCTAATTGTGACCTGGGGCGCGCAGATACAACGCTTCCAGACGGATCTAAGGGCGTTGATGGATCAGATATGGTTGGAGGACGACCTTAGCACAGAACTGCGGCACACGATGGACCGGACATCTCAAGTTGTCACACAGCTTCACACGCAACTTTCTGAACTGAGCGCCACAGCGGCGGGCCTAAGGACTCTTGGCGCTCATGCGACGAGGGCTGTGATACCTGCAAGTGCTACCTTGCAACGGGAAAGGGAACGATACTTGTCGACAATGGCTGGTCATACTGGACACCCACTCGAGTCGCTAGCCATAAGAGCTGGAACCACAGGGACCCAACATCTCGACATCGCGGCAATGACAGCTCCAGGAAGACTTGGATCCACGGGCTCTGCAGGGTCCTCGGTAATTCGTGGGCAGGTCGACGGGGAGTGTTCAATTTGCTTAATGCCATTAGGGGAGTCAGAACATTCGACCAACAATGGCGAAGGGCCCAGTGGTAACAACGGTGGGAATTCCAGGGGGGGAAACCAAACAAAGCAATTCTCAGCCCCTAACAGCTCCTTTCAAGGACATGCCCAGGTGCTTGTCTGGTGCAAGAGGCGATGTGGTGCCAACTTCCATAAGTCTTGTATGGACCAGTGGACAAAAGCATGCCAGAAGGATGGTCGTCAAGCACAGTGCCCTATGTGCCGATCATCTTGGAACGCATGAATTGTATCATGTGGCCAGACATATGTACTCTCTGTATTACTTTGTTTTCACTACAGGCGTTTGCATTTCCATGCTTGTCGCTGTTAATCCCTGTTCTTTTGTGCTGTCTCTTTCTTTTGATGGGCTTATGATTATCTTACCTAAATGAATGCTTTTTGCGATAAGCAAGCTTACAATATGGCAAATAATGCATCCAATGTTGACATTATGATCAAAGAGACCTTTGGTGCTGGGCGAAATCCTACTTACAAAGAATAGCATTATAAGCTCAATACGCTTTCTTCAGAAAGCATGAAAGATTCATACCTGACCTATACTTAAAACAAAGCGTGTTTGATCAGGTCTCCTCCAGAGCCATGTTTCGCATAAATACGTTTTCTCCTTTTTAACAATGGGTATTATCACCATCAAACCAATCCTATGCTGGGATCGGCTGCGATGCAATTCATTCCTAAGCTACGGTAGATACTGTGATGTACGAGACGCTTTATCTTCCTTTTCAATTTGCGTTCTTACAGTATGAATCCGACATTGTCCTTCATATTATTCATTCAGTGGCCTTTGTACAAGGGCTAGGTCAATGGGGAGGACCTACTATGTCGAAGCTCTGTATGGATTTAAAACCCTGGCTGTTTCCAAGTTGAAATGTAGTCATGTCAGTCTATACTATCATTAATAGCGAGAAACATTCATTGTCTAAGCGTTCTTAGTTAAATCTGAAGATCCCAATCTGCTCTGCTGTGCAATATGGCTGACGAAGCGGAATCCGCCAGCTCACGCGAAGATGCAATGGGGCCGAACTACCTTACGCAGCGTGTCCCGGTGGAGGTGATGAGAAGAATCATCGACTTCGTGCGTATGACGGACCTATGGGAATTGATTGATGTAACTCAAATCCAGTCAGCTGGCATTCGGGTTCTCAGCCAGGTCCGGCTAAGAGAGCTACTCCTCAGCAACCGTTTTTATGTTTTCACGAACGATCAAGAATGGAGAACTTGGCGCAATGACAACTATTTCCGACAGCTGGAAGAGGACGGCCATCTTAGAAGACCCGTTGTCTATCGAGACGATGACCCCGTAACGCACTGCATTGCGCTGGATCGTCACGACCGACTGCAGTTTATGCTGGAGGGCGGGCTACCGCCTGAATGCTGGACAAAGTGTGGTTGGAGTCCCCTCGCTGTGGCGGTTCATTACAGAGCAGACAGGTGCTTCGATTTGCTTTGCGCTGCACAGCCTGACGAAGACGTTCTACGACAGGATACCGGAATTCGGGCTAGCGCTCCTAACTGGTTGATGACCTTTACCGGGGACAAGACGTATGAATATGGGTATGAAAGGCTGCTCGATCATTTTGACCACTATAACCAGACTCAACAGCATAGAATACTGCTTCCAAATATCACTCCAGATGCCACCTACAAAGTGGTCAGGACATTTCCGGTTCCTTTAATCGAGCGTGCGGCTCGTATGGGACTGAGGCTGGCTTTAGCCGCACATCGGACCTCACAAGAAGGAGCATGGCACGTTGCACCACTCCGCGATGATGCAATGGACCTGATACACGTACTGTGTCGTGAGTGCGCTGCCAGCCTCAATAGTTACGACTCCGAAGGTCGCACCCCGTTATTCCCGGCTGTAGAGTCTGGGAAGCCAGATGTCGCGAAACTCTACATTGAGCGTGGCGTCGATGTGGGTCATATCGCTGGGATCGCAGAAACAGCTCTCCACCTCGCCTGTAGACAAAGGCCAGTGAATCTGGATATTCTGCAGGAGCTCCTTCGTCATATCGATGTCAATATCGGTGCTGGGAGCGCGCAGGGAACACCGTTGCACACACTACTGGCGAGTACATGGGGCCACATATATAACGAGAATCCGCCCGCCCCAGCACGTAACCCAGATGGTACTGCCCAGAATCAGCAACGGTGGCGCCCTCGTCCACTGTCAGCCGAGGAGCAAATGATCATGGACGTCGCCTGCGAAGCTTGCAATAGGATGCTGGATCGGTATCCTGAACGGCAGGCTGTTAACGCCAATGGAAAAGCTGCATTGAAATTAGCTCGGGAACTTCATCTCAAACGGCTAGTTAATAGAATTCTAGGAGCTCCTTCTCAGACAGGGCGATGGGAGAGACGGCTAAGACCTCGGAGGAGAACCTGAGTCCAGATCAGTAGTTTACTTTTCTACATCTTTTATATTTTCTGCATATTCGCTAGACATTGTACTTATATCTCCCCTAGATCAGTGGTTCGGGTATTGTAAGCACGGTGTAGCATGGTTGATTGTCTTGTTGGATACCCTTGGTAGAACCGGGCATATTCTTTTCTTTCACCAGTTCTTGTATTTATCATGATTCTTTCACATTTCTATCTGCATGTCGCAATTGACTCATATAGACATTTATAGAATACCATTTATCACATAAACATGACAGCATTGCGACAAGCACAGGGATTGGTCTTGGAATGCAACGTGATCAGCTGATGAATTAGGGCATATGACACCCAATCCCAGCAGCAGATGACATCCGCACCTGATTCTAACATATACGTATAAAGCAGCCCTACTATCTTCGAGCTAGAAAGTAGATTGAATTAACGTCTTTGTGTCTCCGTTATCCGGAACCGACTGAGATCCTACCATCCACCATGAACTTAAAGTCTATCACCACGATGCTCCTCACCGTCGTCGGTGTCGCGAGTGCCGTGCAACATCAATACACTTGTACTACTTACCTTCTGATGGGAATGGAACAGATATGCTAACAAATGCAGCGTTACGAACGACATCAAAGGAGGGTCATAAAATCCCAGCCTTGAAGTCGGAGCAGAGTGTTCTAGGGCTCGGGACCGATGAGAGCCGTACGTTACGTCTTTATTCATCTTAGCTGTGGAGATGAACTGAGCATTCTAGGCTGCTACACATGCTCCTCCCCTTGTTCACACGCGGTGTGTTGTCATGGACGGTTTCCTCAGTGCTGCACAGATGGGGTGTATTGTTACTGCTGTGATGACTGATTGATGCACTCGGTTGCACATGGTATAATATTATACAAGAATAATCATCATTAGTTGCACATCGATATAATATCGTCGGGGATGAACGGCTTCAGGATGTTGATCAACGCAGCCAACGGGATCCAATCCAGGGTACCATGGATGGTCTCAATCGCAGATCCACTGTACAGAACTCTAGCGTAGAATTCCGACTCGGAGGTTTCCCTGTTGTCTGATTAGCTAAGGTCGATCACAAGAAACGAGCAAGAGGAATCAGCGTACCAAATCTCAATAGCAATGTTCGATGCCATTCCCGGCCAGCGAAGTGATCTGATCCCCAACGCACCAAGGATTGGTCCGATATCGCCATCATGCACGAAATTATGGCTGTACACTAAGTCGGACCTGGACTGTTCTACGGCCTCCAGTTTCCTCACGATTTCTCCGATAAAGAGTCCCTCCACTAGTTGGATGTATTGCGTGGCGTTCGCGTTGGTCCGCCACCAGTAGTTCCATTCCCAGTCGCCGGCGCGGAAAACCTCATTTGCCTGGTCGGTTGTCACGCAGTCGGATTCATCCCCTACGCGGCAGGGAAGTTCGTAGCCGTTGCATAGACGGGCCTGGAAATTGTCGGCGAAGTGGTCAAAGGTCGAAGTCCAAGACCCAGTGGCGTTAAACATGGTAGATAAGCGCGTGCGTAGTGGCTCAGTGACGGATAGATGTTCGTTCCATTCCGCGGTGGATTGAATAGATGAGAGCAGCGTGTCCCGAGCGGAACAGGGAAAGCCGCGGTCAACAGTGTCAATACTGGAGGCCTGCTGGTGGAGCGGGATTGGCCCTGAGTGCTCGGGGAAGATTCCACGGAGGACACCGCCCGCTGAGCCCTGGGTTAGGGCGGAGGAGCTAGAGCGGAACCAGACCTTCCCCTCGGGCGAGTCGGGAATCAGGCCGAGCTGGTCGCCATACACGGCGCGGAGATCGCGACCGTGTTGGTAACCGTCTAGAAGGCCGCCGATCGTAAGCTGCGGATACTGGCAGGATCCATTGACGTAGCTATTCAAGAATGGGTTGGACGGGTCGGAGTAGGCTTGACCATAGACTGTCGCCGGAAGGGTCCACTGAGAAGCTGGTGCTGCGTAGAGATGGGGATGAATGTTGTCGCAGTTGTACTCTTGGTTCTGTGACAATCAGCAAATAGTTGGAGAATGCTACCGTAAACCACGACATACCTCGCCACCCGGAAGAATGTTATAGGGAGTGCGACGCTGATGGCGCTGGAGATACTCAAGATAAACAAGGCGAGCGGTAATGGAGTGATTGGCAACAGGAGGTGGCAGTGAGTATGTATCCTCGGTAGGATGAGGCATACTGCAGTAGTTGTATACATCACCTAAGGGGCTGCTTTGGTCGGCCGGCGCGTTGTAGATGCCGCCGTACGTGCCAAGGGAGGCATTGGTGATGAAGGTGGTGTGGTTGAGGGGCGGATAGAAGGTATCTCGAGACGCGAACGATGGCGTCCCGGAGAGGAGGGTTAAAATGAGTGAAATCATTTCTAGAAGACCTTCGTACACCGATAGCATCTTGTTGCCATTGTGCGTGTGGCTTTTATTTATAAATTATGAGTTGAAGTTGGACTGTGACATGTCCACCACTCACGTGCGGCCATCTCCCACGTGGTGCAGCCCTCGGAATTTGCCGAAACAATCAACCGATTTGACGCTACAATTCAACGACAATATAAACAGTTGCTATAACAGTGCCAGAGCACGTGTGTTCTGTCAAAGCTTCTTGTGGTTCAGCATGGTCCATGGTTTCTTCCTGTGGGGCTGCTCGGCATTCTAGGCGCACCTCCTACCCGAGGCATCATTCTGCATGTCCAGCTTGACCTAGCCCAGTGGGCCAAGAGTTCAATACTAGACAGCGCTGCAATGGCAACGATCACGACTCATGTCTAAGGTATTCACAAATGCAGCGAGGCAAAAGGTGTAGATTCTATGTGTGTATGTGACCCGGCTAGAAAAGTTGACCTTAATGTGTACGTTAGACTATAGAAAGAGGAAAGAAAAAAGTCCTTGATATTTCTGATTAAAACATAGACAATAATGGAAAATCGCCATGGGCCATCACTTTACGGAGTAATTCTGTCCATATTCTGTTCAGTGGTGTCTATCTTGACTGATATAATATTCGACGCGACACCAGGATCGCCCAGGTACGTAATAAAGAGCACTAGACGGTCTTGGCAAGCATGACACGACACGCCTCAGGCAACAGTTTTAATTCCTGGCAAGTGGTCCAGTGACCGTCCGCCGCCAGGGCTCTTGGCAGCAGGTGAGGTGATGGACCCTGAACCTCATTTGTTTAACGGCCCATCAAGAGGTTCCGCAGTGGACCTCCAGCTGGCCTATAACAGGGGCCTGGGGCTGATTCGCTGGTTCTCTCTGACATGATGATTGACTTTGTTTCCAATAGCAACTGTCATAATGCCAGGGTTTTTCCGCCAAAGAACGATATGACAGGGTGAGCCCCTTCTTACCATGCGAAGAGCACTGAAATGCTTCAACAGTGACGGACTTCTTGATATTCACTGTAACGGGATGATCACAATCCATCTACTCTTTTCCATGGTTCTGATATTGCTGAAAAGGGTCCCACCATGACACAATGGATCGCCACCAGTCACTTTTCCCTACGTAAATCAATGGGCCCAAACTCCCCACGGTTACCATGAAATTTAATTTTCTGGCCCAGGGACTAACTCTTCATGTTGGCTTAATCCGTTTAGATAAGTGGGATGGAGCAATAGATTCTTCGCCCGCTATCGTCCGTTAGCTGGGTCTGGAGATTTGACTTTTAAACCTAAGTTAACCCACCTTTATCAATTTCTCCGCCACCTATCCTGTTCTTTTGGTTCCTGACACTTTCTCCGGTCTTCTTTTCTATTGTACCATGGTCGCTGTGGATACTTCTTCTATATTGTAAATTCTTTCCCATGTGACCAAACGTGCAACAGCACATTTAGTGACCTTTTGCCTGTTTAACTGATTGATTCATACTACATGGATGGAGGCTAGGCCGATCACTTTTGGTACTATCTTGAACTTTGTTTTATTGAGGTCAATATATAATCCCTCGACATTCCACCATAGGTAATGGCGCGGAAGACGTTGTCCCGCAAAACCACGAATCTACTGATATTCATCCTGCTGGTGGCGATCGTGGCCTCAGTGCTGAAGATCAGTCTGCATGGTACTTCCCTACACCCGGCAGGCCTTTACCACCATACCACCGGTCAGGATAAAGGCGAAGCAGACTACTGGGAATGGGAAACCACCACGCGTTTCGCTCCTCCCAAAAATCAGTTCACCGCCAGTTCCAGCACGGATGACGACCATCTTTGTGACTCCTTCCCCACCTATGTGCTGTCACGTATCCAGGTCGTGCTGAAGATCGGGGCGTCCGAGCCCGCTGATCGCGTGGACGCTCAGATCTCGACCGTCACCCGCTGTATTCCGAACCTCCTCATCGCCTCCGATCGCGAAGGCGAGCTTAATGGTCATCGCGTGCACGACATCCTCGCGACACTTCCCGAATCGTTCCGCTTCAATGTGACGGACCTTGAGCCCTATGAGGCCTTGAGGCGGGGCGATGAGCAAGCGGTGGGAAGCGACGAAGGCTGGTATCTGGATCGCTTCAAGTTCTTGCCCATGGTCGAACGCGCCCACGAGATGAACCCGACCGCGCAGTGGTACGTTTTCCTGGAGTCCGACACCTACTACGTCTGGGACAATCTCTTCCGCCTCCTTGATCAGTACGACCCGTCAGAGCCCTTGTATTTCGGGTCGCCGTCACCCGGACAGGAGATCGCCCAAGGAAAGCCCATGTATTTTGCGTACGGCGGCGCAGGGTTTGTTCTTTCCAGGGGCGCGATGAACAAGGCGGTGCACAGGCGTCACGGTTCTATGGGTGAATACATCGAACCATCTTTGAGTATGCAGTTTGAAGATATAGTGAAGGGCGACTGCTGTGGGGACTCCGTGCTGGGCTGGGCGCTGTACCAAAAGGGCGTCAAACTGTCGGGGTTGTGGCCCATGTTTAACCCGCATCCGCTCCATAGCATCCCATTCGACCATGCGTATTGGTGCCAGCCGGTCATCAGCATGCACAAGACTTTGTTGTCAGACATGAAGGGACTGATCGACTGGGAAAACCAACGTGATCGCAAGGTTTGTCCAATAGCAACCATTTTCCCGTCAATTACAACTAACTGCCACTGTTAGAAACCTTTGCTATACGCGGATCTGTTTGAATACACGCGCATGGGGACCTTTGAAAGCAAAGCCGACTGGGATAACGGGGACTGGGGTGGTTTCAGAGAGCCCAATGAGTCGCCGGCACACGTCTCGATGGAAGCCTGCCGGACTGCCTGCCATGAGCATCCAGAGTGCCTGTCGTATACCTACGATCATTCCGGCCATTGTATCTTTGTGCGGACAATGCGACTGGGCCATAGTAAGCCGCCTACGCAGGAAGTGCGGCTCTCTGCCGGGTGGGATGTGGAGAAAATGCGAACTTGGCGGGATTCGCATCGATGCGAGAAGCCTATGTGGGTGAAGCCAAGCATTACACGGATATTCTAGGGCGTTGTGTATGATGACTTCTTGTTAGGCGTCTGGATATCCTGGGTTTATGTGCATGTTACGATATTGTCATTCAATACCTAGCGGTTACGATGTAGAGATACATAGTTGTCCTTTTCATAGATTAGCAGCTGATATTACATACACATTCCTTTTCGTTAATTCGTAGAGCCCTATGAGGAGCAGAATAGCATATCCTCACCCTTGCTCCATGACAAACGCATAATATCTCCTACTTTGTCTAAATAGTCCAACTCCTCCCTGAATGATCATATTAACGTCGGTCTTACGTTTTATCGAGAAACCGATCGTGGACCCTTGGACAGATATGGTACGTCTTGGGCAGTAAGTGCCGATAAGTCTTGCATAAGACATAAAACCAGAACTCTCCCCGACTCCAAACCAACTCGGTGTACTATAGACTCTACGCAGCAAGCTGCAGAAAAAAAATCATCTATATGACTGTAGTTAAGTATCATGCCATAGCAAACGCTTCAGCTTAACTTCACAGTTTCCAGCCCAGGCCAGGTCTAGTTACAGATGACTAATCTAGGGGGCTAGTTGACTAAATTACAGACGTGAACTTTAGGATAGCCTACGTTTCATGTTTCTAGGGCGCCTCCACCAATGTCTTTGAACGATCACGCCGATATACCATGGCCCGCTGCCTGAAAAGAATCACGAACTCTGTGTTGTTTTGTGTACCGCTTCCCTCACGTAGACCTTCAATTGCAATATTCCAATCCCTTTCCTTCCCTCAACAGCTCATGCCAGGGGCGCGGCTGGACTCCACGATGGCCGAGAACCATCGCATCGAGTACAACTGGATCAAGGGTGTAGAGACACTGGAAGAATATCAGCCTGGAGGCTACCATCCCATCATGGTCGGGGACGTGTTAAATGACAGATACCACATTGCAGACAAACTTGGCTTTGGGGGCTATTCGACGGTTTGGCTTGCTCTAGATACTCATCTAACGCGATACGTTGCAGTGAAGGTCAATATAGCAAACTCGCTTCCATGTGAGGCAAAAGTCCTCAAAACTCTGTCTGCTCCTCTTCCGTCATCCTCACCCGTACACCCCGGGCGTGGTTCAGTACCTTGTTTCCTGGACGAATTCAAAGTGCAGGGTCCAAATGGAAAGCATACGTGCTACACGGTGAACCCTGCTCAATGCAACCTCAGAGAGATTTCCTTTAGCCGTCTTTTCTCCCTCGACGTTGCTCGGGCACTATCATATGGACTCACGCAGGCCGTGGCTTATACACATTCTCAAGGTTATGTTCACGGAGGTTCGTTATGCGATTACGGTATCCACTCCGGTCTGATATCAGTAAACTGACACTTAGAACTTGTGGATTTAGATATTCATCTAGGCAACATTTTGGTCAAACTCCCGTCTAGCTTCGATAACTTATCCATCGAGCAATTATATGAAAAGTATGGCAAGCCTGAGACAGTCCCTATCACCCGATGTGACGGGGAGTCATTACCCCCTAATGTGCCAGCTAAGGCGGTGGTGCCGCTGTTCCTGGGGAAATATGCGGAGGAGTTCTCACTATCCGATGCGCACCTGCTTCTGAGTGACTTTGGTGAGGCGTTTTCACCCGCTGCAGAAGTTCGTCTTGGGCAAGACTGTCATACGCCACCCGCGTTTCGAGCTCCAGAAGCCAAATTCGAACCGCAGACCCCCCTGGCATATCCCTCTGATATCTGGAGTCTGGCTACGGCAATCTGGGAGATCGTGGGAATGAAAGCTATTTTTAGCACCGATTTCGTGCATGAGGATGAGATAGTATCTCAGTGCATTGATGTACTTGGACCTATGCCTTCGGAGTGGTGACGGCAGTGGGAAGGACGATCCCGATTCTTCAATGAGGAGGGGTCTCCAACGGAATCTTATAGGGAAAATAGATGGCCTCCGCTTCAGGACTCATTTGAGGTCGGTGTGCAGAAGTGGAGACGGAAAGTGGGCGACGAGTTTGAAGAAAACGAAAAAGCTGCGTTCCTGGATTTGATGCGCCAAATGCTGTCATTCCGGCCGAAAGAGCGGCCGACTGCTGAAGAGGTGCTAAAATCGGAGTGGATGGTCAAATGGGTATTACCTGATTATGAACGGAGCTTAAACTATTCTTTGGGAAATGCTTAACGCTGAAGATCCATGTGCAGTTCTATACCTGAACACGAGTTAAAGACAGCACGTGAGACCCAACATAGCCCTGATTTCGGCGATACGCATGCTGGCATTCAGCTGAAAAGTGGAGTCACAGTATCTAAAGTTGGCTGTAATAATATCTAAAGATAATAGTCCCACGTACTATCCCTTCCGAGATACGAACTAACGCCCCGCTATTAAACCTTGATATGCATACGGACGATATCTTCAATGGTTACAGCTATGTGGGATTGTGGATATCCAGTGAGCTGTCCTCGCCGTTGTCCACAAAGGGGTATTTCAAGCATTCCAGTGTGATCTGTCTCCATTCTCAATGGCTGAGGACCCCACCCCAAATTTCGATTTATATTTTGCATTGAGGCCTCTGGCTCACGAATTCCATGTTCACACTTTTGTTTTCTCCCATGCTGTGATCGAGTTTGCGACTGTTTCTGCTGACTCTGACCAACCCACCACAACATCTCGCTGTTCAAGTCCTAGTTTTCTCTGATTATGAATTTCGGGTTGGACAAGGTATTTATGTATAATCCGTGGCCATGGAGACAGCCTTCACACTCTTCGCCCAGAAACATGCCGGTCGAGTTCGTCTAGCAGGATTGTTATTTCTCACGGTCTATATTGCCACCCGCTTGTCATGTTTGATATTTGCAGCTCAGACGAACTGCTGGATGTGGATGATCTTCATATTTGAATTCCTTTATTCATGTATACCTCTTGTTCTATTGGAAATATCAACAGGGGTGCCGTGACTGTCTAACGAAACTGTAAATCTGCCAATGACTATAGATCAATCTCTGGGCATAGAGCTCCCTCAAAATCCTGGCAAGACTACAAAACGACTTCATTTAGCAACGGAAACTGCGTTGCCGTCAGTGGACATTTTCCTGCCCTGTTGTGGGGAGCCACTAGATATGCTTCTTGATACTATACGCGCTATTTGTGTTATCGACTACCCCAAGTCCTCATTTCGGATTCTCGTCCTGGACGATGGAAATTCCATGCAGTTGAGAGAGGCGATGGAGGAGCTACGCGATACTTGGCCAAATCTCCTCTACTATAGCAGAGGAATTAAGCCGAGCCAAAAAGTCTTCGCCAAGGCAGGAAACCTAAACCACGCCCTCTTTGACATCCATGGGGAGATGGAACAGCCGCCCGAATTCATCGTTGGATTCGATTCTGATTTTTTTCCTGCGCCGAACTTCCTGCGCGCCACGCTTCCCCATTTATTGAAAGATGATACTATTGGACTAGTGAGTGCACATCAAGACTTTTATAACCTACCTCTGGGAGATCCGCTTGGCCAAGATCTAGCGTTTTGCCGGGAGATCATCTTTCCTGTAAGAAACGAACTGGGCTCAAGTATAGCAACTGGCTCTGGGTTTGTTATGCGCCGCCAATTGGCGATCCAAGTGGGAGGCTTTCCTACAATCAACGAAATCGAGGATGTTACTCTATCGGTAATACTACCAGCATATGGAAAACGCGTACTAGCCCTGGAAGAGATGCTTCAGCTTGGACGCGTGCCGACCTCCTTGGAAGGCCACGTCTGGCAGAGGCGACGGTGGGTGACTGGTTGCACCCAAATGATCGCCACTCCTTGGGCGGCAAGTAAGGAGTCTATTCCGTCTGCCTCGAGGTCACTTCTGACATGGATTGGCCTTGCGTGCCTTTGGGGGCCTCTAAGCCACAGTGTCGGGTGTGCCATGATCATTCCTGCTTTGATATCAGGGCAACATCTGGTGCCAAGCATGTTCCTAAGACTTCAAATTGCCTTATCTCTGGTCACCTTTGGGCTTGTGTGGCTATACGAATGCCTCAAAGCGGCAGCAACTGGATTTCGTCTACCAACGTTCGCTCATTTACATGATCTTTGGATGTGTGCTGGTAAGTTTGTTACAAATGGTAAAATTTCAATACAAATGACTGACAGGTCCCAAAGACCAACTATGCACCGTTATTGGGTTTCATGTCTTCAGGTCACAGGACGGAAGATGTCTAGTGACTGGAAACTCTCAGAACAATTGGAACAATGCCAACAACATGTCTACGCGACTTGCACAGCTCAAATGTGACTTATGGGATTGTAGAGTCGGTTTTAATCTACTTTTCACGCTCGGAACCCTGACTGGAATAATATATTCCGCCATAGCCTCGATCGAGAGCAACTCCCGCTGGCAGATTTACGCAATGACTACCCTCCTCTTCCCTCCTGTTACCCTCATTTGCTACATAACACTGTCCTGCCACATGGCTGCACTTCGGTGCGTGGTTTGGCCGCCTCGCTATCCCCCTCGCGATGTTACGCTAGACACTCATCCAAGTGATGTCCGTGCAGTATTTCCTTGCGAGGAAGTCCGACAATACAATGCCCGTCAAAGGCTTGCGCCTCTTGGGTATCGTGGACATTTATTGCTCATCCCGGCTTATGTCACCGTTATGGCCATGATGTATTTTCTGTATCTTTGAGATCGGGTGAGGGAGGTGCTGCAATAACGATCATACGCTCGACATTGCAGAAGGCGTGAAGTAATATTCACATCACACAGGTTTTATAGCCTATCGTCGAGTCGACAAACTAGGACACCTTGCTATTATGCCTCTTTCGTCTTTTAGCTTTGATGTAGATGATAAGGAATCCTTGGATAATGGCCTGTTCTCTTCGAGTTCCCATGATAATGATGATGAAAATTTCAGGTCAATGGTTGCATGGATAGACTCACGGGGCTCCGACTTATGAAATGTGTCTTGGTAGGCAATAATACCGAGGGTTTATTTGCACCATGTGTTGGGCCACAGAGCCGAAACGAGGCACAGGTTAGCGGTTCGGACGGTCAATTAAAGCACTGCAATTGACGTTTGTTGTCTACCCTAAGCTCTGTTTCTATATTTGTACGTCCTTTAGCTTGTTTGATGTACTAGCACAGACCCTCATGCTTTCCATGATGTAGCTCTCGAGAAGCCACCTGACTATGGAAAACCATTGAAGAGCTACTCATAGTCCGCAACCTCTTCAACAATCTGATCTTCTTGAACCTCGAATGGGTCATCACCGTAGTTCTCGTCGCCCTCATCCTCATCGCCCTGACCTTCCACGCCATCAATGTCCGCAACACCGATCGTGGCATTAGAAAAGGTAGCCTGATAGACCAAATCTCCCACCTGTGCTCCATCAGGAACAAAGATAACATCACCACTGGCGAGACGGTAGTAGCCACCCGTGTCAACCTCTTCCTCACGCTTCGCTGGTCCTTTCTTGGTGTATTCGTTCCCGTCGTTCTTGCAGTCTGGCTTCTTCTTGCAGTACTTGTACTTACTAAACCGTTTAAAGCCAATTCTGAACTGACACGGCGCCCTGCCTTTGCACCCTTTGTTCTTGAACTCGCCATGAGAATAGTAGAAGTTCTGCAGGACGTGCCCTTGACCTGTACTGTGTTAACCACTATTTCGCAAAGACGAAGGTCGGGTTGAACGAACGGCTGTTGTAGTGGCTCTTGACGCATCGGTTCACCTGACCGCCCTTGTCTGCCTGCCTGACAGACTTGAATGGAAACTCGTCACACTGGTACCCTTTGCCATAGGGTGCCTTGCTGCATCGGTTGCCAGACCCACAGCCCGCCAGACGGCTACGCTTACCCTCGGTCGATTTACTCGGGTGATCCCAGGTAAGCGTCGTGCCAAGTTTCTTGCATTTTGCGCCTGGCCATAGAAGGTTATGTTTTGTTTCCTATATATGAAAGGGAAAGCATACCGTAGCACATATTCAGGCACGTATCTGCGTACAGTTAGACTCTCAGTTCCAGCGCCTTGAAGATTGGTAGAGAATTGGGTCACATACCGCCGACCTGTCCATCAGAGCAATCAAAGGTCAGAATCTTCGCGGTGGCAGCAGCCACCTGTGAGTCTGGAGCCTGAGTGTCGGGGGCTGGTGAGCCGAGCGAAAGGGCACAAAGACCAAGCCAGAGCAGGGAGGGCTTCATGATGTCGACTTTGCGATTGCGATGAATTCTTCTTTGCGAATATGAAATTTGCAAACCTTGTACTGCTTCTTGGTCTCGTTCCTGTTGGCAGTCAGGGCCCTATTTATGTGTTTCCTGTCCTTATACTACTCTTCCATCTCAGCTCAGAGAGCCTTGGAGAACATCCCGTGCTCACTCATCCTAACTTGCAGGTGGCTGTGTATAGAACTGATCACAGAGTCACAGAGTGACGGTCCTGCATGTGCGCTAACTTGAAGATTCGAAATGGTGTAACATTCATGCTGCAGGGCGCCTTGAACTATTGATGACTGCATTGCATGTTGGGAAGAAGACGCTGATCATCTGTATCTATCATTTTATTGAATAGGGGCACCTTTGTGCCCTTGGCTGCATATTTATGGGTCCACTGTTTCATTGTTCCTTCCATGACTGCCCTTTCATGGCTTACAGTGTTATGTTGGCTGAGTCAGATGCCGGAATTGTCGGCGAGGTCGTTCATCAGGGGGTGTCTGGAAGCGCAGATCGCTTGGAACATCAACTGAGACATATATTTGTCTCTATTAAGCAGGAGTAATACACGCGTCAGGCACCCTAAACACAACAGCGTGTGAGGCTCCAAACCGGCTCGGCGATGAGGAGAGGGTTACATTGAGAGGCATGACAATTGCCCTATTGGGCTAGTCGGCCATGATAAGCGACAGGCAATCGAAGCCGAGAGGAAAGAAAAAAGCAAAACGCAGCAAAATGGAGGTGGAGAGGGTAAGCAATACGCCCTGGAAAGGACAGTAAGGCTGTGCCCTTGCAGGGGTTCGTGGTATAACCTTGGTACTAATGTCTATGCTTACGCATTAAGACAGAGCGGAAGAGAGCTGAGTGCATTTTGACAATGGCCAATCAGTACCCATGTATGATCATGGCGATTCAATTGGCTTTGAGGAGAAACAATGATCTCATCGCCAGCCTCACTGCCAAAACACAGACGAAGTCCAAGAATTAGGGTTGGAGCGGTCGGAAAGCAGCGCTATTGGCCCCCATCGCTGCCGCCTGACCTGATCCCGACCTAAATCTGACCGACTAAATTCAGGCTACAGTCCATGCATCCATGCATCAATATTTGCTACGAAGTCAGCTGTTGCAATTCTTCACTTCCACCTCCAAAGCATCGACCTCAATCTACAGCAGCCTGGAGTCGAAAACTGGCAAATAAACCTCTCACAAACATTCCAGCCAAAACAACCAGCCAACAGCATGTCCCTAGATCTTTCACTCCCCCCCACTTGCCCCGCTCTCTGTGTTTACGGCGACTACAGCTGGGACCAAGCCTCCTTCGCCCTATATACACTCGTTGACCTCTCACCAGAGGAGATAACCAAGCTCCTATCCACGCTAAACAAAGAATGGCTCGAAGACAGCCCTAATCCGATCGTTCGCTCTCCAGAAGCCCACAACCTAGCCGGCAAAACACTCAAGGACGTCGTCCAGGCTCATGTCGACCTAGACAAGGGAATCACTCCCATCTCCGGCGGCGAGGCAAAGGGGAACCTAGGATGGTATCCAACGGCGTTCATTGTGGTGACGACGCGAGACTGGGCCGATCGGGGATTACTGGTGGTATACATGGATGATACGGATGATGACGATGGTAATAAGCCGGATCCCGAGGTTCGGGGAATGGATAAGTTTTTCTTTGAGATCGGGGATGCGCCGCTGTTGCTGGCAAGCTTTAGTTTCGGGGACTTGGCTTTTGTGGATGCTAAGGAGCAGTATGGGGTTGAGTAGGGTGTCTCTTTCGCGACTTGTGGTGGATGTGTTAGCTCTTCGACAGGAGTTGAATATGTATGTACTAGTCTTTGGTCTGCCCCCAGGACCAACAATTTGATAATGAGGCAATATTTGCCATGCAATAAAAAAATAAAAAATAATATAATATAATCGGAAGCACCTCTTCAAGTCAAAGAAAACTCTGATATCGAATTCTCGTCTGGCCATGAGCCGCTTTACTCTCTGTCCATGTATCTAGACCAAGACGGCTGCGAAGAGGAAAAAAGCTGAGACGAATTAGTATGCATCGGAGTTGTGACTCTGGGACGTGTTGGGCCATGATTGATTAGGGTACAGCTTGCGTATACCTTCGTTATAAAATCGGAAAGGTGCCTCCTCTATTCCTTTCCTTGACGAGCCTGTCTAATGAAGGACAGATATTATATGCAAAACAATACAATGTTACTATTCGTACGGTATAAGTCGTAAATATGGTAGCACATTGTCGATTCCATGATTGGGCTACCCTACCCGCATTGACCTCCCCCCGGGTTTGCCAGACTTAATCGATCTTTTCACGTTACATATTCGTCTCTCATATTTTCCTGGCAATCGAGAAATCATCATACAGTAGTAATAACAGCTGACAACGAAGATTTGTGTTCTGCACTCCGCTTCAGAAGGTCGCGTCGAGGACACGGGAGGATTATGGTCCGATCCTGGCCTATATATCGCCGAGCACACGTTTGAGCATCGATGTATCAAAAAAGACACTGCGGAGGCTCATATTGACGCCGCTGTCGTCGAAGGCTTCCAATTCTATATCAACTTCATGTGGGGTATGTTGGACGACAACTTCGCCGGGATAGCTGCAATCAAATACCTAGAATCTCTACACCTTCCATTTGCAGGCATCCGGAGTTTCGAGAGAGAGCAGACCAAGTACCAGTTTTATGTCGAAGCAAGACGGTTGGGTACCCCGGCGGTTCCGGGCAATACCAACTTCCCTTTATTTGTCAGACCGGCAATCGATTATGCAAGCCAGCTTGTCGACAGGCATTCTATCTGCCACACGGAAGAAGAACTGGAATTCACGATCCGTCGTCTGCATGGTAAAATGAGGAATTCCCGCGTACGAAGGGCAAGAGCACTGGGTGTGGACAATCCAGATCGCTATGTCTGAGAGTGTGAGCCTGCGGGAAGAAATAGCAGCGACCTTGTGGTCCAGGAATTTATCGATGGGGAAGAGTATGCAGTAGCCGTGCTTGCGATGGGCGACGTTCCTGTACCTCTGAGCCCCCAGGTTGTCAAACACACGAAATGACTCCCTGGCAAGGAACAGTTTTGAACCTTCGATGTCAAGTTCGACTCTGGGACTACCTACGAACTTCTGAATGAAGAAAGCTCCCCCGACCTCTATCGGCATCTCCAGGACCAGGACGGGTTGCGATGTCGATCTGCGGGTTGGTTCAGACGGGACGGCGTATGTTATCGAGGTGGACCCTCTCCCTGTGCATTTCTTGCCACCTGGATCGCTATTTGAAGACAAAAGACGTCATCCGAGATCTGCCGGGGGGCTACAGGGCTGCTGTGAATATCTTTATTACCAACTACTCCCTCCATCACCCAGAAAAGCACGCAGACAAGAGACGGCAATTGGCAGAGTTTCATGACCAGGAAGCTCCGTGGTACGATACTCTGCAATTAAACAGCTCCATTATATTGGAGATCGCAGACACCATATCAGGCAGCGTTCTTGATCTTGGATGTGGAACTGGGGTTCTTGGTCACATCCTCCGTGGAAACCAGCAAGAAGCACATCGTATCTCCCGACTTATCGGAGTAGATATTTCCAGCGGAATGTTGAATATGCGTAGACAGGGTGGATGGTATGATGAAGTCGTTATCGAAGATATGTTGCGATTTCTGGCTCACTATAACATGCCAGTAGACCATGTCTTTTGCTTGTCTACACTTCACTTCTTCTCTGCAGAAGAACTGGATTTCATCCTTGCACGATGCTTCCTGCTCGCCAAGCGGTCGATTACCCTAACAATCGATGAAAGCCTTGATAGTGTGTGTACTCACACGCAGCCAACCCTTCCAATATTTGGTCATTTCACAAACCATATAAATAACATCAAACCTTGCGCGTTACCACGCAGTTTCGGTTTATCTTCTGAGACCCGATGCGAATCTAGCTCTACACGCTGTGCAACTACGTTCATCTTTACACGACGGAAAGCTCAGTACTAGAGGAAATGTCGCATTTCGAGGGCATCGGATCCCGCTCCTTTTAGGAAGGTCTATGCTAGGTATCGCACACCAGAACATGGTGAATCAATAGCAGGTATAATAGTCCTGAGCTGGTCTGGGGATTTATACCTCCCACACATTTCCTATTCCAAATGGCTAAAACATAGTTCAAGAGCTGCATGGAGTCTATTCGAGGTGCCCAGCAAGAAACATAACAGTTCTGTCCGGCCGCTGCCTTTTGGCGGGTAGACGCCATTTCTTTCGCTCGCTACAGTCCCCACCATATATTTCCATCTAACCGAAGATATATCTAAGACAGTATCCTAAAGATCGGGTACTCATCGGACTTCTCCACTGGCACAATATTGAACGACACATAGGAGTCAATGTTCTCCGGCTCCAGCGCCACCATCGCCAGCGCCGCATTCTTCTGTCGTGTGCTCACGCGAAAGCTACCCTCCGGTAGCCTTACCTCGCGGTCACTTGCTACTGTCGTCGTCGTCACGCGAATCACACCCTCGTAGTAGGAGGTGTCCACCTCGGCCGATGTGATATTCAGCACCTCCACGGTCCCCTCAAACGGCTCGTCCAGCGTCTCTACTTCCAAACCAGCCACCTTGAGGCGCTCGGCGAGGTCGGCCCAGGCCACGGGTATAAGGTAGGCCTCAGGGCGGGAGCGCGTGAGGTTGGCGAGGGCGGGGGTCGTTGATGCGAAGCGTACGGGTGGGTGGACCACGCTACCATTCTTAACGTCCACCATAGTGAAGGGACGAATCTCAGTCTTGCTGTAGTCAGTGACAATAATATCGCTGTCTGACGCGATAAACTCTTTGATGCCGCGCTCGATAGTCTTGTAAACCTTATCGGCGTTATCGGCCGCCGTCTGGACAATACTGCCCAGCATGGTCAGACCGGCGGCCGTCCGTCGCTGGAACTCCTGGTCGGCGATCGCAATGCCACGCATCTCAAGCAGGAAGACGACAGCCTGGGTGAGGCCCATCGCATTGCGACCAATCTTGCCATCAGTGCCTGCCTCGGCGAAGTCGGCGACGAAGTTGGGATCCGAAGACGAAGAGCCGGTTACATATGGCTCGGCGCGGAGACCAGCGGCTTCCATATCTTCGCCAATGTTTTTAGCGAAGAGCTCCTCGGAGAGGTTGCGGATACGCTCATTGATATTGAGGTTCTTGGCGGCCGAGTACAGGCCGTCGGACCCTGGGACGTATTGCCCCTCGCCATAACGAGTCGGGGCACCATACTCGTGCATATCGACTATCACATGGGGATTGAAGTTGTTCATGAGCTGTTTTATATCACGCGTCTGCTGGCGGGCAAGCTTGATATGGTCGCGGTTAGGGTCGTAGTTGGTCGCTAGCGTGCGCTGGAAGTAGTAAACGCCATCGGGGTTATACCTCGGCAGAATGACGAGCTCCAGCCTGTCGAGAATCGAGGCAGCCCACTCCTGGTCGTCGTCGAACTTGCCCAAGAGTGCAAGTGTGGTCTCGTCGCCTGCGGGCTCGTTGCCATGAACAGCGCCCTGGATCCACACGCGCACTTTAGAGACAGAGTCATCGCGGCGAAGGGAGCTGCTGCGACCGGAGGAGAGGTGGATGTAGGGGAAAGAGCGACCCTCCTCTGAGGTGAAGTTAGCGGTGCGATAGGTCATATAATCGTTGCGATGGGCCAGTTGCTCGAGGAATTCCTCTAGTTATGTGTCAGTCTCAATGGCCCAGTGCGCGTCCGCAATGGTAGTTCACTCACCCATGTCGTCTTGAGAAGACGACCCTTGAGTACCGTTAGGGAACCCAGGAAGCCGGACATTGGGTGTGAGAAAAGCTGGGGACAGGAGCTTAATGTCGTCGACGTTCTCGAAAGCACCGGCAATTGTTTCAGTATCCGGCACGACAGGAACGTGGTTGTATCCATACATAACAGCGCTCACCATAGAGGCAAGGCCGAGAGAGAGACCCGTGGAGGCAATGGTTCTCATTTTGAAGTACAATTCTTTCTGCAGGCCCTATTCATGCGAGACAAGCAGTGACGTAGCCAAGGAGAGGGTGGACAAGACTGAAATGCTTCTGAGTAGATCCGTCATCCTTTTATGTATCCCACCGCGTCCGTCGCGACCATCGCAATGCAACCTCAGCGTCGGCAATCAACCTCTCTCCAACTCCACATCTTTCCTCCGCATCCCCTCATTTCATAATTTCCCCGCTGTCTTTCTAACTACCGGCGTTGTGCCAAGAGCGGCGGTGGAAATTTGAGTTGCCGGTATGGCCAGTCATATTAATACAATCGCTTATCACCTCGCGGCCAAGCTCCGACCTCCCCAGTTACCGGCTAACTCCGCTGATAGCCATATAAACAATAGATGGAATTCCCCTGTAATCCTATTCTTCTCCTATTGCGCATTGCCCTCTTTATGGGTCCGCTAAATCATGGTCTTCCGCGCAGTGGAGATTAATGGTCACTTTCCAGCCGATCTATAAAAGGCGAAGACTTTTGCGGTGAATCTTCGACAGATGATGGGCATTTCTATCGAATCTACTTCATTACGTTAGTCGTCTAAAGATTTCCCTTTGAACACAGAGCGAGGATAAATAAGGAGTATGAGTTTTAACTTGGTGGAGTGCGATAACTAACGAGACCATCTTCTAGATTCTGCTCGTTATATCCAGTATATTCACTCTCTACCGTCCATAGCAGAGCAGCTTCAGACTGGTCTCTGTCTAATCAACTGGGTTAGCTATCGGTAACATATTCTTCCCTGTGCTTCATTTTATCAGCAAACATGACAACTGACGAGAGGGAGCAGGCTCTCCGTAGCCTTGAAAATGGACCCAGAGTAGAACAATCGATGGCGGCCCGGTGATCAGTAAGGTAATGAGGGCGATAATTGCCTCCAGTGACCACCCCATTCTTCGGATCGTTGAAGAAGCTTGTCTTAAACCATTCAGATGCATGAAAATGAGAGAACCCATTGTGAATCAGTGTGAATCCAGCAAGATATCCATCCTCTTATACTCCTCGCTGACCGGGACGCGCTGTGAAAGACTAGACACTACAAAAGAGGTGCCTTTGCCCAAGTTTCAATGGCCGTTCTTATGTTGGTTTCGGATGATTGCGGAGCTCGTATTCTGGCCGCTGCCAATAGAAGAGACACACACGTCAGAAATAGGGGAGATGGTCTCGTCGCCAGCATCACTCCGGTTTCATACACCGGGCCTGATCGGATGCTTCTGATTCTTGCTATTGATTGCTTGATGAATTTGGCTGTCTGTGGAGTAGTTTACTGTTTTTGGGCCGATATCGATCTAGGGCAGAGCTAGTCTTTTGATATTAGTAGAAGTCGTAGTAGCTTATATATAGCGACCGCGGATAATCTCCAGACCCTTACACTTTATAGCATACAGAAATACAGACCATTAGCTAAATCGCCAGATACCTGAGCAGATTACTAGTAATAAGAAGTAAATACTAGTAGTATACCTGCAGTTTAGTAGCCGTAAATCGATCGGCTATAACTAAGAGGTAGCATTTGGCTACTTGTATTCTTGTGGACTTTTATATTCCATATTTTGCACTTTATCCACACCATGTCATTTGCACCTCAGTCTTGGCAGGAGGGCTAAGGCTACAAAGCTTGCCATATACATTTGAAGCACTGAGTATCACTAGCAGCAAGAATTGGAACATCCGGACGCGTTTCAATAACCCGATGCCAGGCCCCAACCCAGCAGTGGACTCGCAACATTCTCCGAAATGACAATCCGCCATATTGTCAAACAAGCATCGAAGACATTCCCCAACCAAGCCCTAGTTATTGACCCGACAAAACCACAAACGCCCATGGACTAACAGGTCCTAGTTACACGCCCAGGCGTACTCATCCTTATAGTCGATGTAAAGACTCTTCGAGCTCTGCCCCATCTTCGCGACCAAGGGTGCACAGGCAAAGTTGCTGATATAGATCGGTCCCGCATACTGGCTGAATGTACCAGAGTCCTTGTCACAGTGTTTCCCATTCGTGTCGCACACGCCTATGTACATGTACTGTTCTTTGCCAACATTGTTGTCGAGGAAGGCGCACCCCTTGTCCTTGCCGATGTAAGTGTAAAGAGTGCCCAGTCGCTGCTTGGGGTCTGTTCCTTTAGGTAGGGGAATTGCTTTGTTCAGTTCGTATCCTGATCCGCAGATGGTGGCTGCTCGCGCTGCGAGATTGGCTTCGTGTGCTTCTCTGGTGTCTAGGCCTTCGGCAAGGGCCAGGGAGGCTGTGAAAAGGAGGGTGATGGTGCTGAAGAACCTCATTTTGTTTGGAGGGAGGATGTAAGTTTGACGAAGTTTGACGGTTATATGTGGATACTTTGAAGGGTAAGGGGCGGGACTGGCGAGTTTATATTTCCAAAGGGCGTTTCACAAGGCTGAGGCTCATGTGCCATGAATTCTTAAAATAGCGAGCATTCAAGCCATACGAAGTGATCTGCAATGCCTTGTGGGTGGCTTTGTGGCAAACACGAGGATTGAATATGTCTATCTGGACTTCGCAGAATCTCAGGAGCCTTGATTGGGTAATAATGTATAGAAAATTGGGTACTTCCCTGAACAATACGTATTATTGGACGAAGCTTTCTCCCATGCAGAAGGGGTGGGCCAGTTTTGCTGCCCTTCATTTATTATACGAGAGAGACTCGTATTAGTGCATTGGCATATCACGAGGTGATCAACGTATATTCCATATCAGGGGGCCAAAAGGCTGAACACAAACCATTCCATCACCGGAGTGGGTGCGGTCTCTTGGCAGAGACATACAGAGAGACACAATCCTATCGGCCACTACCTCGCATAAATGGATTTGAAGAATTACTGAACAGAGTTTCGGCGAAATATTCTAGGTGAGCAAGTCATTTCCTCTACATTGTGAATGCGACCCAGGCCAAAGGAGCCTCGCAAATTGTGACAGAAGGGATAAGACCGAAAAGGATACGAGCGGTGCTTTCTCCACAAACAGATATGATCGCCATACCGAGTGGAGAGCGCCTTTATCACTATCACACAAAGACCATTTACCTGCCACTTATTGCACACGGCGTATAGATCCAATTGACAGTTCTTTGTGTTGAATCCTGGAGCCCTACAAAGATCATCCCAGTGTCCGTGGATAAAGAGCTGGCATTCCAAGCATTAACGTAGGAATGCGTCCCCATTGCTTTTGCATATATGAATAGCTATCAGCTTGGCTCCACCCATGGGTTAATACTGCCCCAAGCCTGCTGGCAAAAAGCCAGCAGGCGCTAACACGATAGAGCCTGCCAGGACCCCCAGTCTGGCACGCTTACAACCTCTCGAAGCACACATATTACAAGAGTGGTCCTAATATGGTCCGTACGAGCCGAACCTCCTGTTTAGCCTCACTCAAGTACAATTATATTGGCGATCACCAGCTTCGTCTACCTGGGTGTTTGCTGCTATACTCATCTGTCGGGCACGTGACGCGATGTACCATAGCTCCTCCCTCCGCTTGGATTCACACTTAGGTCGATGTACTCCTTTCACTGGAGAGACAGAAAATGGACTTTGCAAGATACAGATTGTCTTGGCATGTCTGTGAAATGCATTCTAGATATGTTAATGCCTGGCAGGTTTCAGTGGGTATGGATGAATTGTATATCGCTTTTCGCTTCCAGGTCCTCATAAGCTGACAGCTTGAAGCTAGATATAGTTCCATAATTGATTTTTATAACAGTTGGGTGCTGGCCTTTCTGATAGTTAGGTGGTCTGGGCTAATGTTCCAGAACACGACCGTTGGACGTTGGATCGACTTCTATATCTATTTGAGACGTCGGGAGCTGCTACCGGCACACTAAGTCTCTGCACCACCGACTCAAAAGGAAATAACATACTTTGAATAGTATATTGATCAAGATCTATACTAACACTGGGAGAGGTTCCTGACATTCTAGATAACGTCCTGATTTTGAAGACCAATAGTCTAGTGTCCGCTAATCTATGTTATGATAGAGTTGGGACCTGACGTATGCTGTAAGGATGTCTATCCTCCCTTGGAGTGCGCAGCCATGTGGGGAACTTGGGTCACTCTGAGAGAAATAATTCAAGGCAGTGATCTGCGCTGGCTGTGTTTAGGCAGATCACATAGGAAGCCTTCTGAGTTCTGATTATCAGATACTATGGAGCTGGTGGAGCTCAATAGTGGGGCAGCTGAATGGCGGGGCGTTGATGAAGTGGCAGCCAAGCAGCTAAGTCCTCTGTACAGTACTACCCCTCGTAGAATGGGCCCAGAGTATTTGAATCTCGTGGCCCTGTTAGAATTGCTTTCCTTCTTCTTTCATCTTATCCTCTCTCCTGATCTTAAATTTCAAACAGAAAACCACCATGTCTTTCCAAGAATCTTGCCTGGATATTCGTATCGAAGTCCGTAACGGTTATACTGTACTCCTCGCCGGAGCTGGAGTCGGTGGTGATGAGTATGTTCCCGCCGAATTAAATCTTGATGAGGGAATCGGCAATAGCGATGGTAAGTTTCAGACCTTGGGAGGCTATGATGATCATCTCTAATCAAGCATTGTTCCGATGTCTTTAGGTTACTTCAGTCGGGAAGACGTAAATTTCACAGACAGCGCTGAAAACATTGAGCTGTCATTCCGGGACGATGGGGTTTGGTTAGAGGCAGATCTTCCAACTGCCGGTGGAGACGAGAGAGAGCGTCAGGGCATCAACTTGTCCGAACATATCGAGAACCAGGGTGGCCAACTTGTCTTTATTGTAAGTTGGATATAAATCCGAGGTCCTTTCGAGTCTGATTCTAATATTGTTGTGCTAACCTGTGCCCTTCCCTTGACAGTAATTGGAGGCATATACCAGTTATACTGTTAGATAGAGACTGCTGGACATCATCTTGATCAGTATTTTTATTCTTAGTCTACAGTCTTATGCAAATGATTCACCCCCAGGGTAACCACGGCTAAGCCGAATTTAAAGATTCTATGTCAGCTCTTTTGGCTTTTCTTTTCCCTTTCTTTTCCATTAAAGTCGCTGAGGCCGAGAGGGCAATGATTTGGGGCGTCGATGTGCGGTGACTGAGCTGAATGACGGGGCAGCTGAACAGATTGAGATGATCCCGGTGGGGATGATCGTCTATCATTTCCATTTTACGCATCTGGTCCACTATGGATGGTCGAAAACATCGTAGCCCCCCTCTTGGTACAGTACAGTGGTTCCCAATCACGATCGATACACGAGGGATCAACACCACGATCTTTTTTGCACGATCTCAGTCCCCATTTATAAATCTGGTTGCCTCCCGGTGGAATTCCCTCCCTTCACATCAGCCCTTTGTACGATTTTCTCTTTCTCCCCGTACCAAAGTCTTTCACAGAGAAAACCACCATGTCTTTTCATAAGTCCTGTAAAGATATTCGTGTCGAGCCCTATGAGGGTCAGACCATGCTCTCTGCCGTCGTTGAGACGGATGATGAGGATGCTTCTGCGGGGGATCGCTGGGTGCTACTTCTTGACGAGCAAATTGGTAATCACAATGGTATGGATTATCGATCTTGAGCCGCCGTCTTGATTATTTCTGACCGAGAATACTTTCGATACCTTTAGGTCAGTTCTGTTTTCCAGGCAAGAACTTCACCCAAACCGCGAGGGATGTCAGTTTGGAATTCCGGGACGGGGTTCCTTGGTTGACCGCAGCAATGCTTCAAGACCAATATGGAAATTGGGCAACGCCGAGGAGCTTCAACTTGGCTGAATACGTCAAGAACGACCGTGGCGCGCTTGCCTGGGCTGTAAGTTGACTAGAAAAGGTTTCGCAATATATTCCAAGGTGGTGCTAATCTGTGTCCTGTCGTTGGTAGTGATTCACGGAATACACTAGTCATATCATTAGGCGTGGACCACTGGACACGGCATGTTAAGAATTGATTCTGTTTATAGTCTATATTCTAGAGTCATATTGGAATGACATAACCAAGGTTATACAGAGATTATATGCTGATTCTGTTGGGTTTCTTTTTTTTTTTTTTTTTTTATTTTTCACGCGCGATAAATAATATTGGACATAATCTACCAGTCAGTTAGGAGAAGGACCAAAATCATGAAGACTCTGTAGGTAGTATGCCCTCTGGTGTACAACTCATGACGCATATATGGCCAAGGTCATTCAGAATATATATTAGCCACAACTACCAATGATAAGTACAGTGCAACACCAATGCTAGAAAGTAAATATCTGACTAAGAGAGGGGTTCGGGGGCCGAGGATAAAGAAGTTCCACAGAGCCCTGGTCTCTCGCTGCCAAAAGTACAATGAATGACTTGCTCCATAGTTAAGCTATGCATCGATGGCCTATCAGATCGATAAGGCAACAGTGACAATCTGCGGGGTCTCTAAGGAAGGATTCCGCGCGCCCCGAAGGAAACCGTCGGACTGCATTCCGACGTTCCGAGCAGCGATATGTGGGTTTATCTCGATCGGGAAATTGTTACGCTGACTTCAAGCATATTAAGCACGCCTCGCCCTTACTTCTTGTTCTCTTTCTTCCTCAGACTCTCATCACATTGACATTCACCATGGCGCCTCATCCCTTGGCCATCCTCTCCGAGGAGGAGACAAACATTGCCCGCGACGTCGTGGTCGCTGCCCACCCGAACACAGTCCTTCACTTCCGCGAGATTTACTTGTCGGAACCTCCCAAAGAGGAACTACAAGAGTTCCTGGCTCTGGAACATGCGGGACGTCTCAGTCCGACTACTCCTCGTCCCGCCCGTCTGGCCTTGTGTCAGTACGACGTGATCAGCGGCGACCGTATTCCGGTCTATCAAGAGGCGGAGATCGATGTGAACACCCGCAAGCGCGTGCAGCACAAGATTATCGGCAAGGAGCATCATGCTGCTTTAACCCTGTACGTCTCGACTGGACTCATACATTGTCAACAGATGGCTAACATGCACCGACAGGGCCGAGTTCGACGTCTTGGTTGAGCGCTGCCACGCCTCCCCCTTGTTCCAGAAGGCAATGGCCGATTTCGACCTCCCCAAGGGCTTCGAGGTGGTCATTGAGCCGTGGCCATACGGCGGACGAGACTATTCCGACCCCAACCGGCGGTTCTTCCAGGCCCTGTGCTTCGCCACAAACGCTGCCAAGAACAATGCAGATGCGAACTTCTACTCTTACCCCCTGCCCATCATCCCGGTGATGGACGCCGTCACCCAGGAAATCGTCCGCATTGACCGTCCTGCGACCGGAGGCAAGGGAGAGGGATTGCACGAGCAGACCTTCTCCCGGGACATCATCGGCCATTGCAAGGACTCCGACTATGTGCCCGAGCTGCTTCCAAACGGAAGCCGGAAAGACCTGAAGCCCCTGAACGTAGTGCAGCCTGAAGGCCCTTCGTTTAAGATCACCAACGAGTCGCTCGTTGAATGGCAGAAGTGGCGCTTCCGTGTCGCCTTCAACCCGCGCGAGGGTGCGACGATCCACGATGTCTGGTACGACGGCCGCAGTGTCATGTACCGATTGGCTATCAGCGAGATGGTGAGTTAACCGACTTTAAGCACACGTCTATGCAAGTACTGACAGTAGCAGACGGTCCCATACGCCGATCCCCGACCCCCATACCATCGTAAGCAGGCTTTCGATTTCGGTGATGGTGGCGGCGGGAACATGGCCAACAACCTGTCGATTGGCTGCGACTGCCTGGGTGTCATCAAGTACTTCGATGCCGTGATCACCGGCGCAGATGGAAAGGCCCAGAAGCTGCCCAACGCCATCTGCCTGCACGAACAGGACAACGGCATTGGCTGGAAGCATTCCAACTGGCGGACGGGTCGCGCTGTCGTGACGCGCCACCGGGAGCTCGTCGTGCAGTTCATCATCACCCTGGCCAACTACGAGTACATCTTCGCCTACAAATTCGACCAAGCCGGCGGCATCACGGTCGAGTCGCGGGCCACGGGTATTCTGAACGTGGTCAACATTGACCCGGGCAAGACGAGCGATTACGGAAACGTGGTCAGTGGAGGTGTTCTGGCGCAGAACCACCAGCACATCTTCTGTGTCCGTATGGATCCGGCCGTGGACGGGGCGAACAACTCCGTCGTCATCGAGGAGTCCCATCCCGTGCCGATGAACGAAGCCACCAACCCCAACGGTAACTTCTACAGGGTTACGAATCAGACGATCGAGCGCGCCACGTATCTGGATGCCGCGCCGCAGCTGAACCGAGTGGTCAAGATGGTCAACCCGAACAAGACCAACCCCATCAGCCAGAAGCCTGTGGCTTATAAATTCACCCCTCTGGCCACCCAGACGCTCCTGGCGGACCCGAACTCCATCCAGGCTCGCCGGGCCCAGTTTGCCCAACACCATGTCTGGGTGACCAAGTACCGGGATGCGGAGCTGTATGCTGGCGGTCGCTACACACTGCAGAGCCAGGTCGAGGTGGACGGTGTGGCCGACGCCGTCAAGCGAGGCGAGGCCGTCGATAACACGGATGTCGTTGTGTGGAGCACGTTCGGTATCACTCATAACCCTCGTGTGGAGGATTGGCCCGTTATGTAAGTTGACTCTGCTCCCTCGTTATTGGAAATCTAATGCTAATAATTAAACAGGCCAGTCGAGATCTTCCAGCTCATGATCCGCCCATCAGACTTCTTCACCGAAAACCCGGCGATTGATGTGCCGTCCGGCAAGAATGCGGCCTCTCGCGTCGTGCAGTCGGAGTGCTGTCGGAACTCGCATATTTAATGATGGCACTGGAAGGATAACGAAGTTGTGGAGTCATGACTCTTTGTATAGTACATAGTTAGCGTTGGACTTGGCAGTTTCTGTACGGTCGGACTGCCAGCGTAAATAGGCCGATTTGACTTTCGAGCGATAGAAGATTGGACGCTTGAATTCAATTATATTACATTTCAACATATTTCCTCCCACTTTACTTTTTCAGTTATCAGGTTTGTGAAATAAGATGACACTGGCACAAAACGCCGTAAATAAACCTCAACAATCATATTGCATGGTCCTACGCGAGATGCAGCTGAGGCAAACGACTCGTATCAAGAGCAACCGTACCCAATGAATCCTCAGCACAGCCACCCCACATTCACGACTAAACACTGGCTTGCATTAGAGCAACTGAATCCTACAAATTGAGGCTAAGCCGCACAGCTACCCCTCATGACAATGCCCTTTTAGCCGGAAGTCAGCCATTTTCCTAACTGTTCATCCTTTGCAAGTTGGCTGTGAAGCTATACCGTTGGAAAGATGTTGGCATCACCATATCGTACCCGCTCCAGTCGCTCCATTGTGACTATCACGCCCCAATCGGACTCGCCTCTAACGGAGTCATCTGACTCGGAGAATCTATCAGATCCGTCAGATTCTAGCGATGCTTCCGACTCCCCTGAAGCTCCCGGCGGGAACAAGACCTCCTCTACGCCCGGGGCTCGGGGGAAGCGGACCTCGTTGCCGCTCTTGCCTGAGAAGACTAAAGTCGAGACTAGTCGTTTGGCTTTTAGGGACCCTGATAGGGACAGCGCTGGGGGGAGGAGTCTGGGGCTTCCCAAACAGGTGGAGCAAGCAAATGAGACATTAGCGAAGCTTCGTGACAGACGAGTCAGGAATCTCAATCGATTGAAATCCCTAGGGAAGGATCTTGAAGTTCAGGGACTGCCAGACATAATCCAATGGGAGAAGAAAGAGAGCAAGTTAAGCGAAGAGAAAAGAGACAAAGTGAGCGATGTGGAGAATGTCCTTATCAAGGCGCTGGAGGATCACAACCTAGAGACGAAAGTCGACTCAGAGAAGTTGCTGGAAAAGGCACCGGGGGATCACCACGTAAGCAAAACAATACAAGAAGATGACAGTCCTGGATACACACCAGAAGAGATGAGAGCACGACGACAACGACCATCATTACTCAAAGAAAAGAGAGTACAGCGCGCGTGGATGAACATAGGAGAAAGGCTGATCAAGGCCGAGAAAATCAGAAAGAGGGTACTTCACGCGAAGGCCATACGAGACGTGTTTGCGAGGGAGTTGTACCTGGAACGGTCTATTCCACGGAAGACCAAGGCCAGGGTTTCGTCCAACGGTGCAAAGCCTTACAACGGCACGCGGCAAGCTCAGTTCTCATATGATGCGATTGAACCCGGTCAACTCAGGATCCTTGTTCTACATCCCGCGAAGAACACATCGTCTCCTCTTGTCTGTACACTTCAGGCTAGATCCCTTAATGAAGGCCGCGGCCTCAACTATGCTGCACTTTCGTATTGTTGGGGGACAGATTTGGACCAGCGTCGACTGTTGATCTTCCCCGGCTCTAAGCAGAAGGCCACGAAGTGGAAATATGTTGCACGACACGCCAAAGAGATGCCAATTCGGAAGAACCTCTTCCAGGCATTGCTTCGATTACGAAGAAAGGAAGTACCGGTCGCTCTATGGGCCGACGCAATATGCATCAACCAAGAGGACCAGAAGGAGAAGACAGAGCAACTCCAGCAAATGGCCACCATCTACCGGATGGCGAACCATGTGTGTGTCTGGCTCGGTGAGGCAGATAGCGAAGGGAGAAGTGATCGCGCGATGGAGTTTATCACAAAGATTATGGACTTTGCGTTTCTCGAGAGGTTAGCAAACGACAAGGGACAAGCTGGGAACTGGTATGCTCTGGCTGAGCTTATGAGAGACCGCTGGTTCTCTCGTCGTTGGGTGGTTCAGGAAATCTCACTGGCGAAGTCGGCAGCAGTGCACTGCGGAACAAAGACCGTGCAATGGGCAGAATTTGCGGACGCAGTTTCGATTTTTGTAGCCACTCGGGACAAGATTAGAGAGTTGTTTGATTTTGAAACTTGGAAGGAGGGCCCGCAGACGTTAGGAGAGGTCCAGTCGTTCGGAGCAAGCATTCTGCTTGAAGCAACAAGCAGGCTGTTTTTACGAACACCGAGTGGCGAAATCCTTCGACCTCTCAAGGGAATTGAGGCTCTGGTTACCTCTCTGAACACGTTCGACACAACCGACCCGCGTGATATTGTGTACAGCCTTGTGTCCATCGCCAGCGATACACGAGACGTTGCTGCGTATGTCGATAAGAAGGAGCCCGAGCAACAAACAACATCCCATCAACTCGTCATTGATTACCGACTAGACGAGATTGAAGTTTACCAGAACTTCACTAGATACTGTATCGAGACTTCAAAATCGCTGGATATCATTTGCCGCTCTTGGGCCATGCCACCGAAGGCCGCAAAAGGACCCTTACCCTCATGGATTCGGCTTCTCCGTGATTCCGAGTTCGGAGAGCCGGAAGAGGTCTATGACGGGCGGAAGAATGGAGAGTCTCTGGTAGGGCCCGTTGGCCAATCCCGCTATAACGCCTCTGGTGGTACGCAGTATGAGCCGGTAACATCCGAAATAGATGGACATGGCTCTCACCAAAAGGGCAGTTCGCCACTGCATGCACAAACGGAGACGGCATCGTCTGAGCTGAAACTTATCCCAGACACGCCATCTATCCTAAGGGTCAAGGGGTTCAAGCTAGCCAGCATTGAGCATGTATCATTGGTAAATGCACCAGGCCTAATTCCACGCACATCCCTACGGGACATAGGTGGCTGGCCAGGCATTAACAAGAGCCCTGAAAGTGTACCAGACCACATATGGCGGACGCTGATAGCAGATAGAGACTCCGAAGGCCAAATCCCACCGGCCTGGTATCAAAGAGCGTGTCTGCGATGCTTAGAGATTGCCGATACCTTTAATAATGGCGATCTCAACGTCGGTCAGTTACTGCAAGGTCCATCGGATATGCTTCGGGGCTACCTGACGCGAGTCCGCAATATTACGTGGAACAGGAGGTTCTACAGGGCAGTGATGAAAGCTGCCCAAGGGGATGTTACTCAGGGAAAGGAAACCCCGGAAAGCTCAGGCAAGGTGCCAACATCACGCTTTACAGCAGATGCAGAGTCAGTATCTGACGAGGAAACTGCTGAGAGCCTGGGCGGGGAGGGAAGAGATTCTAGGACTGACAATGGTCTTTTTGGACTCTGTCCGCCAGGCACCAAACGAGGGGACTTCATCTGCATCTTGTATGGTTGCAGTGTCCCGCTGATCTTACGACAATCCTCAAAAAGAGCAGGGCAGCCCTGCTTTAAGGTGATCGGTGAAGCTTATGTTCATGGTAAAATGGATGGAGAGGCACTGGTGGACTGTAAGAGTGAAAAGGCCCTGGGCCGAGAGGAGGTGTTTGCCTTGATCTAGAGTGCGATCACTATGCAGTGGAGGCCGGTATGGGGTCTAACATTTTCAACTTCAGCCCTCAATCCAGGCCTTCATAAAATTCCAGTTCTACTATTTTGCAGCGATGTGGAAAGAAGCGATTTAATATCGTGTTTAATTAGCCAAAAATGCCTGGTTCGAATACTCAACTTTACTTCAAGATACATAGTGTGGCGCCAATTGTTAAAAGGCTGCAATGCTACAATGTCATATGCTTACACAATTGCTGATCTATATTAATACTACATTAGTGAGCGATCCTTGACTGGATGCAGAGTCCGTCTCAAATCTTCAATAGGGCACCCTTCACGGCACGACTCAGCTGAGCAGTCCAGAGCGTATTCTCGTTGAGAATAAACATTTGGCCATTACGGCCAAAGGAAAAGTTAGCCGCTCCATCTTTGATCAGAATCTTTCCCAGCAGGACGCCACCTGGCGACCAGACGTTGATGCCATCGCCACAGCCAGCATAAACGTTGCCATCCATATCCAGCTTGATTCCATCAGGGACACCGGTATCAGCCATGGCGAAAAGACGCCGATTGGTGAGGAACTGTTCCCCGTTGAGGATAGACACGTCAAAAGCGTAGCTAATGCAGGCAGTTAGAAAGGGAATGGTATGATTGAATGGCTGGATAACATACATGGTGGACGGCCCTTTGGGATCATTGGTGCCATCACCCAAAGTAGACCCCGTATCAGTGATATACACCGTCTTCTCATCCGGCGAGAAAGCAATACCGTTCGGCCGACCGAATCCGTCAGCGACGACTCGCACGTTCTTTGTGACAGGATCAAACCGATAGACTTGATTCGGCAACTGAGGCTTTGGGCGAAACCCCTGTTTCGAACCGTAGATCGGATCGGTAAACCATATTGACCCATCACTATGCACGACCACGTCATTGGGTGAGTTGAATTGCTGACCGTGAAAGCCACTAACAAGTAGTTCTGCCTCGTACGGAGATTCAATTGACATCTGGTATAAGCCGCTCGTTTCGGTTTGGTTTCCCTGGCCGCAGAAGAGGATCCCGTCGCCATGGTTTACCGCTCCGTTCGCCATTACGATAGTAGATTTGATAACTTCACTGGTAACCGGCTGAGCGTTGACCTTGACTTTGGAAATTTGAATCGTTGAATGGTTCGTGATGGGGTCGGTGAAGATGTTGCTGCTCAGGAATAGCTCGTCGGTAGAGGGGATAAAGACGCTCGCTTCGTGCGCAAAGGGGACATCATCGTTCTTGAAAAGGACCTCCAGCTTAGGAGATGAGCCGATAATATTGAAGAATCTGTTGTCATGGATCGCAAATACAGAGGGGATCTGCGAAATGTTGGCTGGATGGCCTGGGAAGGTCAAATTGCTGGTCATTGTGAGCAGAGGCTGGTTGATACGTAACATCAAGGAGCTTGGGGGAATGTACACCTTATATTGAGCCACGGCCCGCAACCACGCTAGTGAATCATATATCGACTGGGCTTCCTATTTCAGCTTCATGGTCGATCAGATCCATTGAATTCGGATTCTGGCTCCACTTCCCAAGATTGACTTTTCGAGTATCGTGGGAATATTCTCCGAAGTTCCCCCGTGCGGATCAGTAGCTAGATGTCATTCTGGAGACACGATATAAACAAGAACAATCAAGGGCAACTTGCATCGATTCTATAATACTACTCTTTGTTGTAGCACAGGATCCTTATAGCTAGCAGTGAGCCACTATCAAGATGTCGACAAAGTTCCACTGCGGGTGGAGTCCGGCGGGTCCTCGTACATAAAAGCGGAACCATGCTGGCATCGTAGTTTCCTGGTGTCATCGTGTTCGGTGACCAAGGCACTAAATAAATACTCCTGACCAATTGTGGGTAAATAGGCAGAAAATGGGACACAAGTGCCGATGGAGACACGGTCTTTTCCAGACTTGCACTACTTATTGTACACAAGGTTACATTCTTGAAGCGGTAAATATCTTCGGGACCAAACTACTCTGGAATCCGTGTATATAGACAGTTATAATTGGAGTATAACATAGTGGAACTACTCTAAAAATAGATCTAATTTGCTAATATACTCGGCGTATACCACATCGACATCGGTAAACTTGGATTGTCCTTGAGTTGCCTGTATGATGATGATAACATGAAGAGCACACTGATCAAATCTTGCCAGCCGCTCCTGCATCGCCAATGATGAGCGACCCACATCCAACGTGCGAGAAGGACAGTGAAATCCTGTGATAAATCATTCTATCTGCCATCCCAATGGCACAAGAGTCCGCTGGCATCGAACACGTCGAGAAATCATGATCGATTCTGAATTCAGGTAGTTCTTTGCCGGAGACAGAGTAAACGATGTATCTTAGCTCATGAGGTATATTCTTTCAGCCCTGTATTTGTTGGCACAGGTATCTGAAAGACATCACACTCGGACCCGTCGATGAAAAGAACGATTTCCGCAGGAAGCCTGCCCGTAGTGGTTCACTTTGGGTGCGACGGAGAACATAAAGCGGGTACCTATAATGCAGAGGAATCCTTTCTCCTTTTTCTCAGTTGCTCATATTGAATCCTTAAGAGTAGGTAACTTTCTCCGGAGAAATAATAGTGGGAATTACATGACTCCAAAATGTCCGAAATAGCCTGAGCAGGTAATGTATGGCGATTCATACAGTTTGGGCATTATCTATTGCATGTTGGTATATCCAGTATGACGATAATTATCCAGTTCGATAGCAAGAGATGTGCGGGGCCCCGGTGAAACTTTCGAGAGTTGATCGGGATATACTACAGGAAAAGAAAAGAAAAGATAAGAAAAAGGGAAAGGAGAAGGTAAGGAAAGGAAAACCAAGACAACGGTCAGGATATGCCCGCAGCCATTCTGCCTGGTGTCACCTCAAAGCTTATATATATATATATAATATGTTCATCTTCTCTTTGCCTGATATGCCGGAGTTGAACAATACCGGTCTTTTTTGGGCCGGAGGAATCATTTTGTGCTGCGTAGTAAGTCGAACAGATATCAGCTAAAAACTCCATAACTTGTTTGGCTGGTGATTATGGTGTCTGTTTTAGTGATGCAGCTCGTCATTTAGAGCCTTTTCAGGGCAAGTGCAAGGTTTACAGCATGTCCAACAAGTGAAGAGTATACCCACTTGGTCTAGGGTCGACCCGTCCGACGATCTCCCGACTTGGGTTTGGAATTGGATGGATCGAAATAGCAGGGATTGAATCCCATATGCATTGAGTCATTCGCACAGACCATCAACCATGTTCATATGCAGAGAACGAGGCTGGCGGTGGTTCGAAATATTACGGCTCACCCCACCTATCTCCCTCACACCTGTGTAGACCAAGTACGCGTTACTTTGTTGTGGCTCCGTGAGTTGCGAAACATGAACCCCTAGAAAGAAAAAAAGATATAGGCTGAAGTACGACGACCGTAGCAACTGGCTTTGCTGAAGTGAAAGGTCAACGGAACCGAGATCGACAGTCCACTCGCAGTTCATGGAGAATCCTATATGTTGATTCGACCGGGCTCCACTCTGGTCTTCCTGCATTGATGACTTGGCGCGTTCTGCATCAACTTCCCGAATAGTTTGGCAAAGAGTTCCAAAGGCGGGGTGGGCTCAGCTTTATCATCAATCGATCAGAAATGAGGTAGTACTATACAAAAATGGCCATATATATATGGGAAGCTCGTGGCAGCGAAGGACAACACATCCGGTTCATCGTCCTCTACGTGTCGCACGACTTCGGAAATGGGCTGGTTCCCAGCGAAATTAGACTCAGAAGAGTCCCAATGGCATTTTGAGATTCTCATTCTTCTCGCTGTCATTGGCAGCTCCGCCACTCAAAAACACATGCCCGCCATCACGGCGTCAGCCTTCGGCCTATTTCCTCGCCTTTTGCCAGCACCCGAAGCCCTCCTCGATACTAGGCGACTGCATCGTCTACCCTCAGCTCCAAATGTCGACGTTGTTGGCGTACATTCTGGTACCGTTCTTACAGAACTAAACTACTTTGCCACTCTACTGCACAAAATCGAAGATGTCAAACCATTTGAATTCCGATCCTGCGTAATCGAACACAACTTCGGCGATGATCGGGAAAAAGGCAAACCAAACAGACCTCTCCGCATCAAAACTATGTCCCTACTGAACGTAGTTACAATTGTGTCGATTTTCATGTCGGTGGGTCTCTTGGTCTTCGCCGGTGTAATCCACGACGGCGTAGCGCTGGTTGGCGTCAGCACCATGGCCCTGTCCACTAGTGCCGCTAGTCTGTCCGCCTACTGGTATCCAAAGCTATCTGAGCGCGACGGGGATGCCAAGATGCCTCCTGGAGATGTGGTGATTCGCACTCGTGGAGGGGGGTTCATTGTCGTCCGCGGTGATGAGTATGTGATCCGAGAACTGTACACGGGGATGGACTCCTGCCAGTATAGATATCCGGACAAAGTGCGGCAGGTCTTCCTGGCTATGAGCACACTTTTCTTGATGACATCGGTGATTATGTTCAGCAATAGCAGCGAGAAGATCCAGATCGCCGTCGGTGCTGCGTATTTCATCCTGAACATTCTTTACTGGGGGTTGGCATTGCTGGTGGAACCTCGTGATGTCTGGGATATGAGCAGGTATGATATCAAGAACGCCGTATTTAAAGAGACTAGTAATTATACGGAAGTGCTATGGTTGGCCATTTTTGAGACCAAGTCGATTGACTGGGTGAGGAGGGCAAACATAGCACCGAAAACAGGCCCCTGGGATGAATGGCTACGGGAAGCATTCCAGAACGCTCAGAGCAATAAAAGCGACTGGCCGGCAGTTACCAGAAAAAATGTAATAATAGGGGAGCATTCGCCTGAGCCTTCACGTCTGGATGAGAAGGGGGTACTCTCCCAGGAATGATATTTTTCTGGACGTCCTTTTCCTACAAGATTTATATATTGGTGTGAAAGATACTACCATTGATAATCCAATTATTTTCATGTATATGAATTCCAGTTTAAGATATTAACATGTATATGATTTGATCGACCAAGCTTTTACTCGAAAATCATAACGCCAGGTATACCGTTTGTTAAGTTTTCTAGATGCACTTATGAGTACAAGGTAATTAAAAATACAATATTTTAGATTTGAATGTCCAGATCATGCTTTTTCCAAACTATTCCCTGAAGTGTAGAATATATTATATGGAGTACATATATTAAATCAGTAGTTGTAAAGTCTATCCTAGAAAAAGATGGTCGGTCGGAAGACGTGTATGCGAAGTCTAGAATGGGGAAGCTAGACAGATCACTGAGTGGACACGCGGCTCGAGTCTTGATGTGGCGGAGCGTCCTCTACGCATAGACCTCTGTGCTCTATTGGCTAGCCAATATATATCATCCTCACCGCTATGGGCCAGTAGCATAGCTTATTTTGTGCAGTAAAGATCTATCTACTGAACACGAGGCTGAGTGGACTCTGTCTCGAGAAGAATATGATATCCTTTGAATAGTCATGAGAGTCAGGACTAGCAGTACCAGCTGTCGGGTCCTCTGCTTTCCTTCTTCTTTTACTTCTTGTACCATCAGATGCCAGGTCATCAGCGCTAGGATTGGACGATCATTGGCCACGGATCCTGCACTCCACTTGGCTTCGTATTTGCAGTCTGTGCCTGACTGGAGCCATCGTTAGTGAATCAGGGCGGTGGCAGTCAGGTGAAATTCATAAATGACCCACCATAAGTATATCAGAATAGAGATCAAGACGATATTGCAACACCTCACATCCGTCTGGACCATTGTCAACGGGCTTCATTCCCTCTGAGGCTGGGCTGGCGTTTAGCGCGGGCGCACCGAGGCGGAGTCAACTGTAGGGCTTTTTACCCTCCCTACATAAACCCCTCATCTCCCCAAGTGCGCTGGCTTACGGCCCAACTTCCTTCCTGACAGCCCTGCGCCACAGTCAGAAAAGCCGCCATGCCGAAAACAAATTTCCAGTCGATCATCGATTGTATTATCAACTGGTTGCGAAGAGTCAAAAATTTCGATAATGGATCGCAATTAGCAGAAATTATCCGTCGCGGCGACCTGGAGACTCTGAGCGACGAAAAAGCCGTGCAGCTTTTGCACCGCCAGTTCAAATCCGAATTCGTCCGACTGAAGCGTGTCGTATATAGCCTCGAGCAGGGCGACGGGGATCCTCCGAAGGGAAGTTTAGGTGGGAACGCCCTTACACCGTCGCGGTTTCTTTTTCAGGAGGATTTCACCGAGATAAACCGAACCGTGGTCAATTTCTTGTCATTAAAGTGGCTACTCGAGGATAATTATCAGGCTTTCACCGCGCATCAGCCCGGCGTCGTGAAGCTGTCTCCAGAAACATTCACGCGCTTTCGCCAGCTAGCGCGGGATATCTTGAGAACGAATGATGATATGCTGGGCTTGGTCGTATCATTGATACTAGGAGACGCGGGGAAAGATCCTGACCTAGAAGACTTTGTGCACAAGAAGGATGGTAAAAGGCTAAATCATGACCAAGTCTTAGCCAGGGCCATTGAGCTGGGACAGTTTGACAAGCCGCTGCGCTTACTCTCGGACAAGAAACGGGAGGAGATGCTTCTGGGGGTGGAGGTCGGCGCAAAGCTCAACATTCCACAATTGACGCAAGGTGAGAACGTCCCAGGGAGTTTGGTGAGTATTCTCATGCTACAAGGAAAGCCACAGGCATTTAGGATGAAGTATCTCGAAATTATGTTGGATGTATCGGGCGCAGGCGGCCATGTTGACGCGCGTGGTGCCGTTCGCATGATCGAGCCCGTCTGCCAGTCCTTTCTCTCCGCCTACCCGGTGCTGATGAATGTCATTACTGGCAAGCTTTCAGTGCGCGATGCGTATAACACGGTCCTGCAAAATCGAGGTCAGCTACTAGCTGATCAAGGCTTCCATACATTATCCACAAACAGTCCCAGCGACCGGGCCTTTCTCCGCCTATGTGCGATGGGTAGAGTAGCGGATAAACATCTAGCAGAACTGTTTGAGAAAGCATTCATAGATCTCCCACAACCTACACGAGCAGAGCTCATTAATGGATTGAACGTCGACGGGTGCAATGGCGAAGATGCGGTAATCCTTTACTACATGCCTGCGATCTTCGCAGAGGCATTAAGGGTCACTCGTTCGGCACCAGATTTAAAGAAAATCCAAGTTCTTCAGAGCCTCATGTCATTCATGGCACGAACATACCATGATACAAAGCCCATTGATGGCCATCCCGGCGTCATTCTTGAACGTAATGTGTCTGGGGCAAAGGACTATATACTACGAGACGGTTTCATCGACGATCCTACTATTTTGAACCAATGCGTTCCTCCAGTGGCGACATGTTAATACAGGCCTTCTGTACTTGAATTTGTCCTCGGCGCTCCCTAATGTTAAACTTCAATGACTATTGATCAACCGACATGCGAGATTTACGAGACATGAGGTCATGAACTTTTGACGATTCTTACTTTAATTCTTTACCATTCTGTCTATCCGCGCGGATTAAGTTATTTGTCGATTCTTACTCGGCATTCCTATGATAAGACCTTTTTTGTACTTGCTTATAATGACGCTGCCGCGGGTACTGTGCATCTTTTAATGAGGGAGGCTGTTTTCTTTATCAATTTCAGTCTGATGGTCTGTTTAAAAACGATATCAAATGTTTGGATGTGCGTGGCAGATACTTTGATCAATATAAAGAAATATCTGATTCAGAAAGTATTCAACCTCCTATACCAAGGGCCTTTGACCGCCTGGTCTAACCACATACAAATAAAACAGGCAAATTGTAGTTTTACTAACAAAGGGCCTGAAGCGGTGAACCCGAGGAAGTACCGATAAGATAAGCTGCGGCGATAAGATAAAGAGCGGTTGAATCTCAGCCTACAAGGTTTACACTTTTGCATGGCCGGGATCGCTCGGAATGGAATTCCACTTCTGCACTTCACCATCACTGTTGGTGACCCCGTCATTCCGCACCACAATTGCCTGATCACCTCTCGGGATCGTCCAACCGGTCCATAAGAGCCTATACTACGATCTAATTGACTTAGTTGATCCCTCTAGATCTCATCCATGCAGTCGGAATCTCCCACGCACAGCTACGCCACCTCGGAACCCCCTCGGAAAAAGCGAGCCAAATACACTCAGGTCGCTTGGTGCGCCCATCATCTTATAACAACACTACGTTGGAAGATACATAACTAATTGAATCCTGCCAGTAATGAATGCAAAAGGCGTAAGTTGAAATGCAGCGGTGAGCCAACGTGTTCACGGTGCGCCCGTGATGGCGTACCATGCGTTTATACGCCTAGCGCATATGCGCCGAGTAACCCTACGACTTCGGTGGAGGAACCAAGTGATGAAGGGTACGAGAAACTTCTTGTCGGAGTTGAATACTTTGGGTTGACTAGAATAGGGTATCTGCGAGGTTCCAATCAGTTGATCGCCAGATCGAGTCACTTCAGCATGAGATGCGCGCGATGGCTGCTCGTTTGCGCGAGCTCGAATCGTCTTCGCCGGCTAACAGTAGCGCAAATAAGCCGCCTCCGAGACCGGCTTCCATCGTATCTTCTCAAGCCACGAATACTGGTCTACAGCGTATGATGAATCGGCCAATGTCTCCATATCACGTTGGACCCACGAGTGCGGAGTTCGGTCTGACCGCGCGCCGGAAGCCGTTGGAGGACGACGATGAATTTGAGTCCACTGCTGCACCGAGTCCCGTCGCAGCGCCTGATGCCGATATTGTGACCGATGATCCATTAGGGAACCTCGGGCTGACAGAGGCTCTGAGGCTGGTGACGGTCTATGAAAACACAGTGGGCTTGATGTACCCTTGTGTTGATTTGGACAGTGTGCGCGCATGTATTGTTGACTTCTTTCGAGATGATTCTCGTCAGATTCTGAGCTCGGAGCAACAGGACTGGTTCTTTGCGCGCGATGTGGAGGTGCTGAAAATTATCTTGGCCATAGCTTTGCTGACGGAATCGCATGGGCGGAGTGAGCGAGCTGCTGTGTTGGCAGAAAGTGTTGAGGATCGTTTTGCGACTCGCGTTAATATCCCCGAGGTTGACATGAAAGAGCTTCTTATACTGACACTGCTGGTGTGTGGCCTATCCGCTATGTCCCCTTCACATATGACTAACAGTAATCGTCTCCAAGTCAATATTCCATTCGTACCGGGATGATGAAGTTATTTCGTGGCGTTGTATTGGGATGGCTTGTCGAGGCTCAATGCAACTAGGCCTACATTGCCAAGAGACCTGGTATAGAACGGGAGGTGTGTTCCCCGGCGAGCTGCAATGGATGTGGGCTAGTCGTCTCTTTTGGTGTATCTACGTGTTGGATCGAAAATGGTCCTTTGGCACTGGCCTTCCTTTCGCTATTCAGGACACGGATATGGACACCAACCTTCCCGTGCCAGGAACCGCCACTCCTTATCTCACTTGTATGATCTCGTACGCACAACTCAGCGGCAAGATATGGGGGCTCGTAGTCGGCTGGGGCAGTCGATCGCGTGCAGCGACGTCGGACTACTGCTCGTACCTTGACTTCCAAGTCCAGCAATGGATCCAGTCAATTCCGCAGGAACTACGGTTCGACCCTTCACGACCCTCATCCCCCGACTCGGTTCAGAATGATAACATGATGATGCTACAAGTGCTCCTTGCACTGCAGGCTAACCAACTTCGCATTCTCGTGTACCGCCAAAACCTGCTCAGTAGCGAGAGCATTGAGACGAATGTCTCTGGCGCATCCGTCGCCGTCGAGACTGCGAAAAGTACGATCCACATGCTAGACTACTTCACTCGCGTTTCGGATATCTATTTTCAGCGTCCGGAGCCGTTCAATTACTTCCTAATTTCGGCACTGGCCGCACTGTTTCTCGCCGTGTTTCATGCACCGAGTCGATTCAGCAACGTCTGCCGTGCGGAATTCTATGCTGCCGTAGACATGGTGAGGAAGTCATCCACTCGGGCCAGAACATCCAGACGACTACAGAAAATCATTCGCAGTTTGAAATTGATTAAGCTGAATGTCGGGAAATCGCCTTATAAACACGGACAACCGCCGGAAAACCTTGGCAAGGTACTATCTCGTTTCAGCCACGGACAGCATGACTCGAACCAGTCCAGTCTGCCGCAGTCTCCGTTGGTCCCGTCGCACCAGCACCAGCCATCCGGCATTCCGACTCCACAGCCTTCCGCCTCCCTTTGGTCCGTGTCTTCCCCACTGGCTACGGCGCCAGTGAATTATGGCAACAACGATGATAGCTGTGACGATTTGACTAGTTTCTTTGAAATGGCTGGAGGACTTTACTTCGACCCCAAGACGGGTCCCCCCGAGGAGACACCTGCAGCCGACGGCGCTAGTGCAGGGGTTGAAGGGATTGATGCGTTTCACGCCGAAAACGAGGCGCTGACCCGGGTAATGGCTGGCCTGTTATAAATGAAGGTGGCGGTCTAAGGATTGGTTTACCGGATGGTGCTTAGTATGGTCTGTTTGACCAGGAGCATGCGCAACTCAGTCTCTCCGTCCTAGACCGGTCTAAGTACCCCTGCCATTGGTGGAACTAGTCTAATGCACGGGAGCCAAATATTCTGAAGCTAATGCATCTCAATCCCGAGGTTTCTGCCTGAAGAATCCACTCGGCTAATTGGCCAAGCCAAGACGATCAGCACTCCCCGTGACAAGTGTGTTCGATTACTATAATGGGCAAAACTCCTGGACGAGTGTCGCTATGAGCCAATCATGGCAGAAGCTATACCTTGACCTGCAGAATACCCCAATGATGTAATTTCTCCGTTTCTGGGGGAGGAGTACGTACTGGTGATTGGCTAACTAGCCATCGAACCGTGTTCCTCGGACATTCCTTGGCTTAATGGGAGGGGTCATTGTATCCTGCGCGCGGTCTATTCTCTTGTATGTTATGTATATCTCCCATATCAGCTGTTATCTTTCTCAGATGAAACTTTCAGTGGAGTGCACATGAAGCATACATAGAGTGGAATATCTCCCCGTCACGACCAGTGACTGGTACCATGCATATAATGCACGCACTATAGATCGCTACGTCTCAGCGCCGACAACCGGGTCGGGCATTACTGGAGGCACACGGGAAACCGTATGTCGGAGGATTGCATTCCTCGAATAGATGTAGTCGTTAATCTCCGGCGGAGTAAAGCACGTCTTTCATGTAAACTGAGCGCACATACACATCGAGATAAACACAAGAAACTGGATCTCTAGTATATATAGTACCATGTATCTCACAAGAAAATCGAGTCTTCAACCCACACATCTCTATTTCTTTGCTAACCATGTATCTCCAATCTTCTCTGGCCTTAGCCCTTCTCCGGGTTGCGGTGGTTCATGGTTACGCTAACCCGGGGGCTTGCTCTGGTGCCTGCAACATCCATGATCCTGCCTTGATCCAGAATAGCGATGGAACGTACTATCGCTTTTCCACCGGGAATGGCATCTCCTTTGCTTCTGCTTCATCCATCGAGGGTCCATGGACAGCTCTTGGGTCTGTTTTGCCTAGTGGATCGTCGATTGAAAATTCCGGGAGTGATGATCCTTGGGTAAGTATTTCTTTTTTTTTACCTTGCCTTATCGGCCCTCCCCTATTATCTACTTCCGCTATTCTGATCTATTTCTTCTTTGTATTTTTATTTTTATTCTCGCTGGTGTCATTCTGCGAATGATGTTGGAATGAACAACCCTTACACGCCTTCCCGCACTCTCTACCTAGCAACCTATGGCTAACAACTCTTAGGCACCCGACGTGCAGAAGGTTGGCAACCTTTACCACCTCTACTATGCTGTATCGACTTTCGGCAGCCAAGAATCTGCCATCGGTCTCGCAACCTCCGAAACCATGGAGGAAGGTACATGGACCGACCAGGGTTCAATTGGGGTTACATCCACAACGGGTAACCAATACAACGCCATCGACGCAAACCTTCTGATAGATGGCTCGGCCAACTACCTGACCTTTGGATCGTTCTGGCAAGACATCTTTCAAGTCACACTGAACGGAGACGCCACGTCTTCAACATCAACGCCGGTTAATGTTGCTTTCGATCCGGCTGGTACACATCCCGTTGAGGGTGCTTACCTGTACAAATACGGAGATTATTACTATCTATTTTACTCCTGGGGAACGTGCTGTGGATATGACCAGACTATGCCTGCCGCAGGAGAGGAGTATAAGATCAAGGTTTGTCGGTCGAGTACGCCGACTGGGGGCTTTGTGAGTTTTTTCTTGTTTTCTTCTTGTTTTCTTTACCTCTGGACTCTGTAAAACGGGTAGCTAATGATGCAGGTTGATGCGAGCGGTGTTGCATGCACGGATGGCGGTGGTACCGTCGTTCTTGAGAGCCATGATAATGTCTATGGGCCTGGTGGACAGTATGTGGTATCACTATCTCTACTTACGTTCATGTTGGCTAACTTTTACAGGGGTGTCTACACCGACCCGAGCCTTGGCCCTGTACTCTACTATCACTACGTTGATACGACTATCGGGTATGGTGACTCCCAGAAGCTATTCGGATGGAACGCCATCGACTTCTCGAGTGGATGGCCTTCTGTATAAGTGGATCATCTGTTCGGGTGGCGAGAAGCAATCTTTGTACATAGTTCAGCTTCTTTGGGGAATAATTCCAGTATTAAGAGTCAATTGACCTTATTTTCGGCCAGCTCTCATCCCATCCTACAAACCTTGCCTATTTCATACCTTAAACTCGGGTAACCCGTGGATTTACGGGCATAGGGGTGGGTTTAGGATCTGCATCCGCGGGTTGGGTACTGTTCCTGATGTTGGACCCAAACCCGACCCGTTGTCGAGGTCGTACTCAATCTTGTCACGATGCCAGATTAGTGTCTTATCCACTCCAACACGGTCATCCTTTAGCATTAGTCTACATTTTCAAATTCGCATCATACCCGATTCATCCTTGTTCAAGCATGACTCATTCGAAGCTCGGCAACTTGAGACTTGGCATTTCCATTCTCAAAGGGTTCAACCCCTGAAGCTGAAGTTGAACCCCTTCCCCTTCTCATACCACTCGTGGCAGTCCGTCACCTTAAGATGAAATTCATTTACTACCTAACTTGGTCAAGACTTTCATACAGCAAACTAGATTGTGTATTTAGTCTGTAGGATTGGTCTAGTAGTCTATGGGAGTATACAACGATGTAGATGACTCGAGCTCAAACACTTGTGAACTGGTCAGAGTGAGATATATTTATGTTGCGAAAGTGGAAAAGCTTGGGATCCGGCATTACATGTAGGCTCCGTGCCTTTTCCAGCACCTACCCGGATCGTTAGCTTGCAATTGACTTTTCAAGCATACAAGCTATTATTAAATCTAGCAAAGAATTTTCATACCAGGAGCTCTGCGAGGCCATTATCAAGGGAGGCGGAGTTGACGCTGTCGGCCTTCGCCGGTCTTCGGGTACAAGGCAGTCACGAGAATTTCTCGGCCGAGGGAACTGGATTCAGGACCATGGAAATTGGTATTTAGCATCAACTTCATCCAACAGCCACGAAAGTCATAGAATTGCCTTTGATAACTATCGATTGGACAATCGCTCACTAACCCATGAAAACTTCATCTCGTCAAGATCAGTCGTTCAGGATGGAAAATAGTGACTCGCGTCCTCATGCAGGATCCCAAAGGAAGAAAAGCCTTTTGAAGTATACAGCAGGTTGGCGGAGAATCGTTAGCAACTTCAGCCCATCGTACGTCAACATCTATATTCCTGCTGGAACAATTGCACAATGACTGATGGGTTGATTCACAGATGGTTTTCCACGACAATGGGGACAGGCATGGCCGGAATATTGTTCCATCTCATCCCTTTCGAACATGCCGCGCTAGATTACATAGCCATTATCTTCTTCGTTCTGAATGCCTTGTTGTTCCTCACCGTGCTCAGCATGTCAATTCTCCGATATACTCTTTATCCTGAAATTTGGAAGGTCATGATACAAGACCCAGTTAATTCGTTATTCCTGGCAACTTGTCCCATGGGTTTTGCCACCTTGATCGAGATGTGGGTGTTTCTTTGCGTACCTCACTGGGGAGATTGGGCGAAGACAACGGCCTGGGGATTGTGGATTGTCGATGCGCTCGCGGCGGCGGCGGTCACTGCATCCCTCTCATTTATTCTGTAAGTCTATCCACTGTACTGAAGATTGTCTGTTAATATGAAGCAGTATATCACAAAATTACGTCACATCGCTGGAGCGGATCACCGCACTGCAACTATTGCCGATCGCTGCCACAATCGTCGCGTCCGGGGTTGGGGCCGAGATCGCGGATATTTTGCCTAACGCGCAGCACGCCATGGGAACGGTGATCGTATCTTACGTGCTGTGGGGCATGTCGACGCCCATGGCCATGATGATCTTGGTGATCTATTACCAGCGTTTGGCGGTCCACAAGCTTCCATCGAGGGAAACCATCGTGAGCTGTTTTCTTCCACTAGGGCCACTTGGCTTTGGAGGATTCAGGTTAGTGCAAGCCACAATACAACCTTGAGAGAATGAAGCTGACTCCCGAGGTAGTATCTTGTACCTAGGCAAGGTGGCTCGACAGCTCCTCGGCGAGTCTAACGTAATCGACCCCATGGTGGGGCACATAGCATACGTCCTCGGTCTGTTGCTGTCTCTGTTGATGTGGTCTTTCGGACTGATTTGGCTCGTTTTCGCGCTCGCTACGATCTATTACCGATCACCGTTTCCTTTCAACATGGGCTGGTGGGGATTCACTTTCCCGCTTGGGGTATATGCGGCCAATACGATCCTACTGGGCAAGGAAATGGAGTTAATGTTTTTTAAGGTTTGCGGAACGGTAAGCTGCCGCTGAGAATTGTGAGATCGCACAGAAAGAAAGGGGGGCTGACAGGTGACAGATACTCAGCAGCGCGATGATATTACTGTGGCTGGTGGTTGCCACCCGTACCGTGCACGGGGCATGGCATGGGGTTTTATTCCATGCGCCGTGCCTGCAAAACTTGAAGGAAAAGATGGAAGACAGCCAGGATGATGCGACGAATGACGAAGCATAGGTTAAGCGCCCCAGAACCTTGTTCCGGCTCCGACCCTGATTTTGGCCGATTAGTTCAATTGTATGCAATTATGCCTTCGAGAGCAACTTCTTGTTTCACTCCTAGTCTACTGGATTGACGCCAAATCTGCAGCTCATCACATGGGATACGGGCGATGCCAGGGGCTCACCAATCACATCGGGCACTTGGAGAAGTTGAATTCCGACTAGTATGCAGTATCGGCTACGAAGGACCAATCCGCAGTTGATACCGACGCCATCGTCCGTTCAGAATCAATCCGGCAGCCTCGTATGAACACCCAACTGGGCACTAATACGCGAAATGATACCGCCTCATTTCTTTTGTTTGATTATAACCCACATGACTTCGGCTTTACGATAAGCTCGAGCCGTCTTGCGGCTGAAGTCTTGGTAGTACCTATAGAACCCGGGGTTCCCGCTCCATTCATCCCGTCTGTCCAGTCTTTCAGCCGTGATAGTTTGAGAGACAACCATGGTAGGTACATACAACCCACTGCTGTATGTGGACGTTGCTAAATAGAGAAGGATTCAGCAGACTACGAATTTCCATTTCTAGAAGAAGTCTACACTCCTGCCGAGCAACCTAAGATCGAGTAAGTATTCGTCAGGACTTACTGATAACTCGAATACATACTGACCGTGTAGCTTCGTTTTTGTACACGGTCTCAATCCTCGCGGTCGAACCGACCATGCCTTCGAAACATGGACACATCAGAATGGAACCTTCTGGCCACGAGATTACCTCCCTCAAGACATCCCTCAGGCTCGCGTTTTCGTCTATGGCTATAATTCATATGTCACAAACCCCCAGGCGATGTCAAATGCGAGTGTGAAAGACCATGCGAATACATTGTTGAACTTGTTGGACATGGAGCGCAGTCCGCAGGTGGTATGTAGTTTGCCTTTACTTAACTTTGAGACAGGGCTGACTGTGCACAGAATGCACGGCCTCCGAAGATCATCTTCATCGGACACAGCTTAGGTGGACTGGTGATCAAACAGGTATGGTTGTCCAGGTGGATCACGCCATGATTCACATGAGAAAGGATGGAAATGTCAGTTCAGGATGTAATCAACGCTAACATCTCACCAACAGGCTTTATTGAATGCGCAAGAGGACCCCAAGTATACTTCCATCCGGACGGGCACGTACGGACTTGTTTTCTTCGGCACTCCACACCACGGTACCAAAGGCGTTGAACTAGGAAAGATTGCGGCCAAGGTCGCCAAGTTCGTATCCAAGGGCCATGCCAGCAACGACCTTCTCGATTGCCTGGAGCACAACTCCCTGTTCACTAGACAGATGAGTAGCCGATTCTGCCACCAACTGGAAGACTACCGAGTGATCAGTTTCATCGAGGGAAAGGAGGTTCTCTTGGGAGGGGCAGGCCCGGCTTCTATCAGTCATGTGAGCATCTAGACACTGGTTCTTTCGCCGCACTATCTCTATCGCGGGAGGTATAGTGCTGACGGTCGCAGTTGGTAGTAGACGAAGAGTCCGCCATCCTTGGACTCCCTGGGAACCGCGAGACGCGTCTCAAACTAGATGCGGATCACTCCCAGATGTGCAAGGTCGGCAATCGAGGGGCGATGTACCGGCTTATCAAGGGCAATATCAAACAGATTGCCGACCAGCTGTTGGTCACGGAACAGGGTTATATTCCCCAGCCGTCGCCATCTCCGCGCGCGGGACCACCATTGCCACCGCGACATACCAACAGCAGCGCTCCCTATCCTCCTCCCGGCATAGCTTCGCAACAGGCGACACAGCGAGTCATCGGAGCCCTATATAACCCTGTTGACAATGATCCACGGTCGGTTGAAGCGGCCGAGCACAAGAATAAATGGAAGTGGGACGACGCACGGAGGGTGGAGTATACCATCTTCCAGGAGCACTTGCGCACTCTCGGTGCAGACCACCATAGCACGTTGCAGGTCGGCTATAATTTGGCAGAGATCGATCTTGAGTCGGGGTATATCGGCAAAGCGGCCGAATGGTGCCAATGGGTGTCGAACAACAGTCAGCGCGTGTTCGACAAGCGCCATCCACTTACGATGAGAGCCGAAAGCTTGATGGGTGAGATCCTTGTGTCTCAGGGTAAACAACAGGAGGGAGAGTCCGTGTGTGCCAATGTCCTCGCCCGGCAGCAGATGACGATTGGAGAAGATGATGTCGACACATTGGAGACACGCCGTCGACTGGCGAACGCATATAGCTCGGTTGAGCGACGAGATGAGGGCATTGCTACTGCCAAGAAGCGTACGGAGTCTCTCAAACGATTACTGGGTGAAAATCATATCAAGACGTACGCCTCGGTACTTGACACCATCGAATTGATAGTCGCCAAACTCTCAAGCAACAACAACAACACCGTGATGGCTATGACCCTGTATCAGACGGGTACGGACGAGATAGTCAATGTTACCCAAGAGGCCTCCCGGGAGCTGAACAACTTGCTGGGCCCTCGGCACCCACTTTCTATTCGCAGTCTCCGGCTGCTTGGTGCGTGTCAGATTTTTGCTTCAGGTGGAATTACAGAGCCATCCGAAACGCTACGACGAGCGTTGGCCACGGCTGAAGAGAACCTCGGTTCTGACAACCCGGAGACCATTCAAATCGTGATTTATATGGGTCTAATGTACGCTAAACAAAGCAACCCATATAGTTACGCTTTCTCCCAGCAAAACCTCGATCTGGCACTGCCTTGGTTTCAACGATATCTGGACTGGGCCCGAAGCAGGGATATTATGAGCAGCCCTGACCCTCAGGCGGTGTTGGGCATGCTAGGCAATATGTACATGGCCAAAAGAGACTATCAACAGGCGCAGAATTACTACGAGCAGCTGGTCAATGCATGTCAGAAGGCAAACATTCCGGTTCCGGCCGACGTGCCGAACATGCTAGAGCTGTGTCGGATGAACACCAGGCTGATGTCGCCGTACAGAAATTCATCGGGCATTGAATCACTACTTTCCTCCTTCAAACGATTATAGGTGATTTTCATCATACACAATCTGTTGTATTCATTATCTATGCATAGCCAATAGTATAATACATTTCGCTTGTCTCAATCATGACTGTCATAACAAATTCCATCTAGTTCGAGATCTTGGAGGGCACATGTTTCCTAGACAATGTATTGTTAGCTGTACGTCTCGTATAACCGGGAAGGCAAGCAACACGTACCCAGTCGCACTCTCGAACTTGTTCCTCGCGGAATCAGTGATGCGTTCATTCGTCTGTCGCACCTTCGGGTTATGGGGGTCGATCTTGCCGTGGCCGTACTTGTTCTCGAGGGAGTCAAGACCTGTTTGCCCATCAATATTGTATTTCTTATCTTGAAAAGAACGAAAAGGGTATACTTACCCCTGTCGACGTAGTCCTCATTCTGGACACCACCAGCACCGTGCTTGTGTCCACCACCGAGCTTCGAGGCAAGCTTGTCCATTTTGATTTGTTGTTGGTCTTCTGTGGTTTTGATCTTTGGCTACAAGGAATATGGAATGTCTTAGTGACTGAGAGTGAGGATGTCAAAGTGCAGTAGAATGCTATGAGAAAGTCGAACCCAAACATCACAACCCTCCATATTTATAAGTAAACAAATGTCGGATACAAAGCGACGTGAGTGATATTAGTGATGTCATTCAGGTAGATCAGTGATGTTTACTGGTTTCTATTCTTGTATCCCTTCACTCAGGTGAGATCTGGGGGGGATGTAGATTAGGAAGTGATAGTCGCGACTCGGGATGGATATTGGATGGGGTCTACAGGGCTGCGTCGGAGGCTTGATTAAGTTGCGTAATGTGGGGTCTCTGTAACAGGAAATCGCAGGTATATTCAGTCGGGGTTATGATTATGATGGGCGATGATGTTAGGGCGCTGAAAGGAATTTTGGTGTATCGCTGATGATGTCATAAGGTGGATAGGGCTGGTCGTCTGAAAAAGGAAATTGATTGTCCGTTCACGGACACTTCAGTTTGGTATGCTCAGTAGTTTGGCTGTAATACTCGCAGTACATGGTTATTTGGCGCAATATTCTTCATTTTGAGGACAGAATAATCGAGAACGTACGCGAGTGAGTTTTGACAATCTGTCCAAATTTATGCTGGCACCGTCCCTCGCGACCGACCATCCATGGATATACTGCGAATACCCCTAACATCTCCCCCTTCCAACGTTTCAGAAGTACAGGTGAAATAATGTAGTTGCTGAACATTCCAAAAAAGGCTTCTGGTAACCACAGTTCGAACCCACGTACGACATGATGTCTTGTCCTTTTCTACACACCTTCCTAGGGTCCTGTTTTCAAGCCGTTACACTGCTCGCTCGACCCCCACCAGATCTCAAGCACGCCTGTTGAACCAACCCCTTCCACAGTAGCCTGTGATGCCATTAGAGGAGGAATTCACAAACCGTAGATCAACATACAATGGCATCCTGAGATGCCCCAGGCAGCGGCCATGTTCGGTCAGCAAGTCATGATAGGATGGCCACGTACAGTATATCCTACCATCGTTCCACAAGAGAACCCGAGATGCTCGATATCGATAAGCCACCGTTTGAGCAGCCCATTAGCCAACACTGAACCGTATGCGGCAGCGACATAGCGGATTAGACAAGAGAGGAGCATTGCTTCCCGAACTTCACATATTCTCTCCCAATGCAGCAGCAGGGTATTCACGAGCTTGATGACGGCATGTCTCAAAACACGTCAATGAGCTTAATGGAGATGTCTGGTTAGTCCTAAACAGCTATCTGTACCCTATGCCGTCTAACACATCCAAGAAACCCGATATATTCTTGCGTCGCGCCTGTTACTCTGAGCGGGCTATAACAATAGAAAGATGAATTCACTTGGTGGTCCCTCTGGCATGCTTAAACGGAGAAACAGAGGCGATCTCAAAAACTAAGAAAAGAAGGACGCTGATATGTGGTGAATGAATACGGCCTAACCTTCTATTCAATGTACAAAACTACCAATCGAGCCGCGGAAGCATGTGCGGCAAGAACGAACAAATATGTACCTTCGTACCTTCTACTTTGGAGCGCATAGCCTGCACAGAGTGTTTGCCTTGCACGGAAAGCATGCCCAACTGTTTATCTCTCCTCTCTTTAGACCTTCAGCTGAACCCACAGCATTTCTATCTTACTCACAGTCCACCCGTCTTCAACTCTGCATATACCCTTTGCCGTCACATACGATCGCGTCTCCAGGGTTGCTTGCCAGACTTATTTGAGTATATCCTTCAGCAGCTACGACCTAATATCGAACCTCTTACGCATGACCAATTCACCTCTTTCATAAATAACAAGATTCTCACAGAAGGTGAGACAGCTGAGAATTGGCAATGTCAGGCACTGATAGTCTTAGTGATGTGCGAATTGCTCTGTGAACATTATAGAGGCCGAACCGGCTGCGGCCATATGTTCGTCTACGCCATTCAGCGGTGCAGTGCTTCTTTTATGCGTCCCGATCAATCTCGCTGTGTGCCCCCGAGTGGAAGGCTTCGCGACCTTCCTCGAGTTGTCGACGCCCAAGATGATTACAAGGACGGTTCTTGTCGAGTGTGTCTCGGTGAGACTCCTCCCAGCTCAGAGGGATCCGAATCTGGCTGGGTTGTATAATTAGCACGCCTAAGACTGCTAGCATGTCGTTAAGTCTCTTGTTATCAACAAGGCTACCGTTCACTAGGCTTGTTTCAGTGCCCAAAATGCACGACCATTCTCCTGGTTACTTTATACTTACACTGGCCAAGGCCTGAATTTGTCAATCGTGTTTGTATCGGGCTTCAACCAGGTGTACCACATGCTGCTGTACTTTGGATGCTACCTATCAACAGCTCAATCAATGAAAGTACCCTACACAGCGCGGTGGTTTGTGCGACCCCTGGCCATGGACTCGATGGATGTGGCTCTCAGTGGACGAATAGAGGCCTGCTTATACCCCACATGACCCTGTCCCTTGCGCTTATGCAGCCTAACATACATACCTTAGTCTGTATATGTTCAGGTTCTAGACGTTGAAACAAAGAAAATGGCCCCGGAGGCCGAGTTGCTGCAACCCTTTGAAGAGCCCAGTTATGGAGGTTTAATATGGATGAACATGGTATTTTGCGCTTGTGGGATGGTTTATCTCCTGGTGTTACCTCTGGTGATTCTTTTCGGTGTGATTAGGTATTCTTTACATTATGCGATGCGTTGCGGATGACATGGCACAACCCTGGCAGTTCTTCCCCTTACACATTCAAGTACAGCAGCATCAACGTTCTGCAAGGCTATAAGCAGGAAATATATACCACATTCGTCCCAGTGGAGAGCTACCTCGTACCCAACTATACCATGTAAATCATTGTGGATGAACCAAGGGATCCCTCGCCCCTAAGCTGGTATTTACAACGCAACCTACACATAGGAAACATGCCCCTGCGTAACCGATCGATAACTGTAACTACGACGCCTTAGCTCAAGCCACAACACTGCCCAATCCAACTAAGCCAGCCTCTCGACTTTGGAGTATCCGAAACAGCTCCCAGTTTTTCATCCACCATCACATATTCCTCTTCCTCCTCCTCCGGATCATCACGGTAATACTTGTATCGAACGGCGGCAATCGAGACGACCTCCAAGCTAAAGTCTCCTTCCTGCACCCCGAAGAAACTATACGCAGTTAATACCACGCAGACAATACCGTGTAGCTAGAAGACACTTACCTGCGTATCATGAAACTGAACTGCTTCACCGCAGTCAAATCCAGCGGCTTGACATCCTCCTGCTCCTTCCCGCGGTACGTAGGCTTAAAATCAGCCCATTTAATGAAAATCCTTTTCTCATCACGCGCATGGAAATCAAATTCCCAGCTCAGGGTACTCTCCTGCCTTCCATCCGGACGCTTCGGCGCAGTGTCATTCTTCAGCGTGATGGTATACAATTTATCATCCCCGCCGGCAATATGCACTTCCAACCCGTCGTAGCCCGAGAGATCCCAACTTCTATCTTCGTCTGTCGTCCGCTGCGACGCGAAACCCGCTCCGCCGAGCGTGGTGATGTCGAGGTTTCCGTAGAATCGGGCCACCAGAGAAGAGGGGGAGCAGCTCATGTGCGAGTGCGACGATCCGCCACGCACGCGATCGTCAGTCGAGGTCCAGTCGGAGGAGTGCCATGCTCTGTTCTTCCTGTGAGTGGATCGGATGGGAAACTGGTTGGGGTGATGATTCAACTCACCTGGGGCCCCCAAAAAGGGGTAGTCTTGATACTTTCGAGTCCATTTTGACAAAGCTGATGTGCGTTGTTGGAAGTTGGATTGCTGCTGAGATGCGGAGTAGGTCTGGGTCTGGTCCTGTGACGTCAGGTGCTGGGGCCATCGGCGCTAGTCTGCTTTGGGAACTGGTCCCGATTGGGAAGGTTGAGTTTGAGCCTGGGATTTTGAAGGCTGTGACTCATCTCTCTTTGTCATAGCGAAATCTGTTGAATATTAGATTATACATAATTTGGTTGAGAAGTACAATTGGTACATTTGGAGTTATATCAATGCGCGATCAGGACTACAATTCTTGTACGGTGGAATCGGTCGAGATCCATGAAGGTTAGTTGAGACGTGGACGATATCAGGCTAATGAAGCCTAAATGAAAGCATGAACAACCAAGACCCAATACAATACGTCGAGTGCATACTACAACCATCGAATGACTAGGTGGGCTCTTCTAGACTCTCGCCAGGGTTTGGATACAGGAATCAAAGGCTATCACGCCCTACGTCTGGTTGACTGCGCTTATAATAAATCCCAAAAGTTCTGTATATTCAGGGCTGTTAGGAAGTTCACGTCAGCACAACGTACACCCTGAAAGATAAGTAAAAAATATATTCCCACTGGAATCGAATGATCGAACTGTACAAATACCATTTGGGTTACAATTTATACACAGACTGCCGCCGCCAGAAGTGACCTAGTCCTAGAAGAGCATACCTCAGAGAGACCCTGATTTATACAACGTTATGGTCAATCATACTCTGCACCGCATCCGTCACACTTTTCTCCAAGTCAATATACTCCCACCGGCCCTCGCTTGTTCCCTTCGACAAGACATCCAAGCTAACCCGCATATCCCAACCCGTCGGATGCACACCATCCGGTAGAACCTGCTCGGGCTTACCCTCCGGAACCCTTTCCTTCAGTGCCAGGAAATGCTTTCGAATAATGTTAACGACTAGCTGCGGCGTGATTAAGCCAGAGATGAGCAAGATCCGCTTGCTCCCAGCAGCAGGGTTGTTCAAGGCATCAACATGGCTTCGCGCGACGTCGCGAACATCGACCTGGAGCTTCTCAGTTCCCATACTAATCATTCGAAATAGGACAAGTAGAACACACAAAATGATAGAACGGAAATCGCACATCCTCGACTTTCGGGTTGGTCCCGTCGATGAAGCTCGCGATCGCGAAATGATTAGTCTCGTTAATGGAGCCGGGACCGGAGATTGGATGGATCATAGGACCCGTGATGATGTCTGGATTGATCACGGCCAGGTCGAAGGCGGGCTTGTTCGTCTTCATGAACTTCCACGCTGCGTCTTCGGCTTGCGTCTTGGAGACGTTGTAGCCTAGGACGGTGTCCTGTCGCTCGATGGCTTGTGTCGCGGTGACCTAGATTGGGTAAGTTGTTGGTCTTAACTTGGGAGTTAATCAGCCTGATATACCGGGTTCCAGTCCTGTTCAGTGTAAGGGCGTCCTTCGCGACTCATGTCCTCGAAGGAGTTGAGGACAGATACTGCACTCCCTAGCAGGACGAACCGTTTGAGTGCTGTTCCTCCGTGGCGGTGGGCACTCTCGAGAATTTGCGTCGTTCTGTACATATAATCAGTTACCTTGCCTCGATTATGAGATGGAACAGCAATAGCCTACCCCATCACGGCAGGCTCGATCATCTCCTTCTGAATATCCTTGACATTGAAGTTCAGCGGAGACGCAGTATGGATAATATAACCAAAAGGGACTTTTATGTCCTCGAACAGCGCATTGAATGGCCCCTGGGAGGTGAAATCCGACACAATTACAAAGTCGATCTTGCCTTTCCACGACGGGTGGGTTTTGATAATATCGTCCGCCTTTTTCTGGGAGCGCACGGTGGCAGTCACGGCGTATCCACGCTATGCCGATTAACTTGTCTAATTGTACACGAGCAATGCGGAAAATGTACCTCAAGCAAGATAGCCAGGATGTGGGAGGCCACGAATCCGTTTGCGCCCGTTAGTAGCACATGTTCGCCACTTCCTGGATATGACATATTGGACATAGGCATAAGATATCAGGGCTCCTTGGCAACTAGTATGTGGCTCTGTCGGTGAAGAATGTATACGTTGTCCAGTATACATGGGTGAAATGCACAATCAATACCTAGCTCTCTTCGTATGTAACTATCGTGCCGGGCAGAATGAATTTATGCGTAGTTTAAGGTTATATGGTTAAACCCTGCCAAATCCCGAACACTAGATGCTGACGTAGTTCTAGTCATCTCATAACGTGGTACAGCTTTTGGCGCCTGACGTTGACTTCAAAACTCACATCTTCATCCAGGAAGATAGAATACGCGGGTTATGCCCTCGGGCGTGCGGCGGGGCATCTGGACCTCATGTCTATTACAGCATTTGATCATAACTCACCAATCATCATTCTTGTTTTACAGCTTATTGCCGTTTTAAAGTTAATACCATCTGTAGCTCATATATATACCGGTATCGGTACGGGGAACTGCGTGAACATCTGTGGTGCTCCCAATGTAACACCTTGCATAAGCAAAATAATAGTACACCACACAATCAACTAAAGCAGCTGAGACACCATTTGCATTAGGAAGTAATAGTGCATGTAAGACTCGCAACTAGATGTATGCTCACAGAAATCCAGGTTCTTTCCAAACTTAGACAGTAAAGGCAAGTTCAAGTATCTGGAAGTTGCTTCTTCTTGCGCTTTCATATAGCCTAGCCATCCCACTCACGGCTACTCATGAGTTTTATGTAAGACAAATGCAAAGAACAAAAGGACAAACGAAAAGACAGAAAGAGGCCAAGGGAAAAACAGGGAGAGAAAGAAGCCTCAAGTAGCCTTGCCCCACGACATTTGGAAATGTAGTTCCCATCGCGTAATTAGGCTCGAATGTCGTTAATGAGAACATATATTGAGATATGTACAGCAAAAGGCGGAACCGACACCGCAAAGTGATCAATTGCACGAAGCGGAGAATAATGATGAAAGGTATCGGTAATATGTCTACAAAAGTATCATTAGCGAGTTTCAACTGCACATTACACACCCAGGCGAAGGAAACAAAGAAAATTCAAGGAATAGCCTTCAATCAACCTCTCTTGAAGTCATCTACATACCATTCTCACTCATTCATGAGAGCTCCCGTCATGGCAATATTCGGTGTATTTGTATAGTCGTATTGTGGCCAGCCAACATGAGGATAATACGGTGGCCACCAAGGCGGATAGTTGCCTCCATGACCATAATGGTAGTTGATATAAGGTATAGGAAACACCACGGGGTAAGGAGGAGACCACGGTAAAGGAACGATCGCTTGGGGAAGCCATAGGGCAACGTTTGCCTCTATGCATTGCGTCCAGCAACATCGTGTATTGTTATGAGTTGATCGGCCACATACCCTAGGTTGACCACGGGCGCGGTTCCTATACTTTATAAAGCGATGATTCGCTTGGCAATTAATACAAACACGAATGTGCCTTCCAGAGGCTAATTTGGCCCGAGGCCCAAGCACTTGACCGCTAGCGAAATTGGTGTAATGGAGGAGATGGAGGCAGCAACTGTAGGCAAAGGACTCTTCGTATCTGCAGAAGTCAGTCTCATGGCGGTAGGATAACATATACTCATTGCATTAACCAGGACCTACCCGGGCCATATTTCCATATCACAAAGATATTTTCTTCTCAGTGTTAATGAGGAGGGAGGTCGTGTGGGAATCAAGGATCGAAAGTATTTGTTTGTCTGCGAAAGTGATAATCTGGAGGGATAGTCGAGGTATTTGGTGATTATCAGGTGCAGCTCTGTTGGTAGAACAAGGAGTGATGGGTTTGGTGATTCTGTCATCGCGCGAGGAGAGAATGTTCACAAGGATGAGGAATCGGAGGAAGTTGGGTCGGTTTATATAGTTAAGGATAATGAAAATTAGAATGAAAGATCGGTCATGCCTAATGTGCCAATACAAGGCGTCAGTGTTGCTTGTTGGTATACGTATATATCAATGTAGTAATATGCTATAACCTAGGTAAATGTCAAAGCTCCCAAGGGTTTAGGAAGCAAAGTATTGAGGCCGATTCATAGGCGGAGAGCAGTGACTCAAAGTAAAGCCCTGTGAGGGAAACGGCCATGCTCGTTCTTTCCTTTGATGCGTAAATGATATTTGATGATTAGACAATTTATGTATACTGATAATTCCAAGATCAGTCCTTGACGTCGTCCGATAATGGTCTGTTGGTGTTACACTCTAATTCTTTCATCCCAGCCGCAGATAATTCAGTACAATCGACTTATGCCAGCTTTCTATAGAAACGACAAGTTAGACAGATTACAGAAGTCCAGGAGGTTAGGACAAGCCAAGTAGCAGCAATAATGAGTTTGGAAATACCACTATCCAGTAAACAGCGATCGCTGACTGAGTAGATAATTAGGGGACTAACAAATGGTAGTAAAAGGTCAAACTGCCTGTAGGATGAATCGAACTGTGTCCGAACAATATGCTCTTCCTCAACAGGATACGAGTGAAAATCACTTCGAGACTAACAAATGCCTTTCTTCATACGTAAAGGGAGGGAGTTGAGCTGCCACACGTTCATATCCCTTTCACGCGTAAACCGCTCTTGGAGGTCCGTAAAGACGCCAATGTTTCTCCATCCATTGTTTACAATCGGCACTGGGTAGCGATACGCCGACACTAAAGCAGTACCGGATACGCCTGCGTGTTTCGCGTCCGGTTCTTGTTATGGAGTTAGGTAGGTTGGGGCCGCTAGTACTAGGGAAGTGTGGCTGCCCTGGGCCATCGAAGTAGAGCAATTTATCTTCCCAAAAGTCATCAAAATGGAGATACCGCAGCCTTCTCGTGTTCAATGATAGATATTCGAAAATGGGTTGAAAGGTACCCGAGTCGAGGCGTATCTGTTCCATAGTCAGGCTGCAGAGATGTCGGCGACGGAGGAAATAATGCAGCTTCTCCTCAGATGTGTGGATTCCTTGCAGTGTGCACTGCTTCAAGCGCGCAATCGGGCAGGTGTCCGCGATTCGATTGAAAAAATGCTGCTCTTCAATCTGTGCCTGAGTCAAGTTGACCAGGTCCAGGTTGTACCAGTGCAAGTGAAGGGATTCGAGCTTAGGGCACATGTTCAACAAGCAGGTTATAGCCTGGGCGTTTCCTCGACCAATCGCAACAGGGAGCATACGAGCGCTCGGCTGTCTCTTCGTTTGTTGATGCGACAGGCTTAGTGATATGGCCTTGGTGTTCTTCAGACATTCAGACATGTTCACCCTCTTGCACACTTTCGCAATCTCACCACATGCCAAGCTGCAGCGGTCGATACTGCAAAATATGTCCAATGCTACCGCGTGCAATTTGCTCCTGCCAAGGGCTACCATAGTGACCCGAAAGAGCTTGGCTGCCGCATCCCACACGCTCTTCCAGGGTGCTTCGGCATTTCCCCCTGTTTCGATGGTGAGAGTCAGTGATTCTAGAAGTCCACGTGCAGAGTTGATGCGCAGGTTCGTCAAAGCCTGTCGCAAAAGGGCTACGGCTCGTTGCTCAGCTAAAGTAGGGGCATCGCCCGCTGGCACGTCCATCACTGTCAAGTGCTGGAGGCAGCATCCCAGCCATCCTTGTTGTGTCACGGCGACAAACGCCTGGCGAGATTCCTCTGTCAGCTTGATCTTCTTTTGATAGAAGTTGCGTCTAAATGAAATAAAGGATGTTCTGTGGGCCATCGCTCGTGAGGTTAGTCGAAGATTGCACTTGTCGTGTAACTCAAGGAAAGACACTAAGTCCTCCATTAACTCCAGTGGGAGAGTAACAAGAGCTGTATAGTTCATACTTGTGCCAGTCTAGTATATCACATAGTATGAATCTTTATGCTTGGTGAAGATGAGGCGATGATCGAGTAGATCTTTTCAACCAAAAGTGAAGATACAAGACGGGAGGGGTAACAAGGCATCCTCATAGGCGAACCAATTATCTTCATTGTGTGCTTGGGCTGCTTGTATCTGTTGGCTAAAGGAAGATGCCATCACTATGGACACCGCACGTGATAACGCCACTGTTGTTGTCTTTGGTGCGTCTCTGTGTTGTGTGGTGCAGAGTTATGTAGGTCACAATTCCAGCAGGATGGCAAGCATCTTAGCGTGCTAACTGGATGCCCAGCAATTTCCTGTGCTATTATACCTATTCCTTGGTCCATGTAAGGTCTTTTTAATACAGAATGGGCGGATATATGTGTCATCTTGATATTTCTCTACTGAGAGACCTTGGCATCGTTGCTGTATACCGGAAAGAGCTACTTTCCTGCAGCTAGCATTAGGCATCTCTAAGGGGAGCGTTCATTATCTCTTCTGCATTCACACACGGCACATCGATAGATATTCGGTAGAGAAAAAGGCACGTTCCTAAACCCTCAAGACTGGCTTGGTGAGTGGAAAGGAATATTGATGGAGTGAAGGACCAGACTCACCTCTACGCAGCAGAGTGGTACTACTAGGCGCATGATGTCCTACGTATAACATCCATGCTCAGTACATTCTCAGTATCTGGCGAGTTGAGATATCTGGATGAAGTGCATACACACAGTTTGCGACACGGCATTTACGGTCTACTGATACATCGTCTGAAGGAAAAGAGCGGGTACATTTTTATCACACACCTGTGATGGATGTTCTAGGGTGCTAACGAGATGATTCACCATCAATACTTTCCTGGAGAGTCCCTCCATTTTTAGAAAGTATGCTACAGGGAAATGTAGGTCTATGTAGGCTGTCATGTACTCTGCGAATATGGTCTAGAAGCGCCCTGGCATCCAGTTGGGGGCATATATTAAATTCCGTGCTCTTGCTGCGGCTCAAGGTAGTACGATGTCATTTTCAAATTGCCATGTAGCAGGGATAGCAACAAAGGATAAAACCTCTTCGCCATCAAATATGAATTTAATGAGGTTTAGTTGATAAGCATAGGTGTCATTCGAATACATGTTGAGCAGATGGGCCTCATCTGGATCATGTGAGAGGAACTTTCGTTCTTGGCTGAGAGACTATAACGTAAAGTGACCAAGCCTTAGTGCTCCATAAATTCCTTTCGGCTTTTTCTTTGTTTCTGTTTCATTTCACGTTTTATTTTTCCATCCACTTTTAGATTAAAGCGACCCATCGTACTGCGCCCACTCGTGCCCCATGTGGCTGTTTTTTTCAAGAGATTCAATACGAGTACGATTCTGGCATTTAGGTGGAGGCTTGTCTTGCCAGCCCTACCCAGACATCCAAGACATCGGAACCCAGCACCTTCTTGACAGCGTCATCTTATTGGGCTGCTCGTCTCTGAACAATAAGATTGCGGCTCAGCTTGCGTTGCCGTGATTACTGTACATGAAGCAAAATAATCCCTCCGCTGATGGCCCCCACACTAGAGAAGGGCGAACGGTGAGTTCAGCCTCAGTGACACAAATGTCAGTCAGTCCGAATTCCTATGTACGTAAATTTCTGATTGTCAAACGTCCTAAGTATTGCATAGCAAAAGAACAGTGTCAGAGGAGACGGTCCTATTTTTGCGGCGGGTTTAGCGGCCCAAATGGGAAGCGTGATGAGTTTGCTGAGACGCTATTGAGACGCTAGCCCTATAAATGTCGGTCTGTCTCTAGTCAGCTTCCCAGTGGCTTGGCTTGGGCTAACAGCAGCTCTGATTTGCCGGGATGATCCTTGAAGTATGTTTCGGGTTGTCATTTCAGTTTGATTAAACATGCAAGGGGGCTGGGAAAGTCACAATCATCATTCAGGTACAAACTTCACTGTAGGAAAGGGGTGGGAGAGAAAAAAGGCATCCAGCAGAGGTATCGAAAATCGAAAATAATAATGAACAAATCAAGATCATAAAACTCCTAGTAGTGAGTACAATCGGAGGTATAATGACTGCCGCCTAAAACCAGTGTAGAAGATCAGTTGCATAACTTCAAGATTATGCAGGCACAAAAGAAACAAACAAACAAACAAACAGAAGATGATGCGCAGGGTCTTTTGTTTGTGCAGACGTCATAATTTTGTCTCTGTCAGACATGTCACATGACGGGCGAAGACCTCGAGACATTTCTTGGAGCCAGTCTTCTTTCTCGAAGCTTTCTCAGCCACTTCGAACATCTGAATGTCAACGGCTGCCAAGAACCAGGAAATGAGAGACAGAGGCCTTTATGATGCTGCCTAAATCAACAAGTGGCAGTGCGACAAGGCACAGTCATCTCGAACAGCGACCATGGTGGATGACTCTGCGCTAAGGTGACATTCCGAGAGCGAATGCAACGGCGAAGAACCATTAAAACCACTGAAAAGTGCTGCCTAATCAGCCCTATTCGACTGCCGGAATCCGAAGAGGAAGATGATTGGCAGGGGATGCTCCACTAGAACTGCTGGAATGGAGACGCTGAATTCCACAGACTTCCGGTTGGTCCACGCCACATGTGGTACAATCCAAAGAATGGGGCCTCATCGCTGACCGTCAGTCATTATATTACTCCACGGCGGTATCCTTCTGTGCTGCCTTTTGGACGCCATTCCCTGTCTTTCCCTCCGTTTCCTATCCACTGCTACCACTATGAAGGTCGCCCTGCTCACCTTAGCAGCGGGCTTGGCCAATGCCGCCTCGATCGCCGTCACTCCACGCGCGTTCCCCAATGCTCCTAATGAATATGCTCCCGCCAATGTTTCCTGTCCGTCCACTCGCCCCAGTATCCGCAGTGCTGCTGCGCTGTCGACCAATGAGCGAGACTGGTTGCAAGTGCGTCGGAATGAGACCCTTCAGCCCATGAAGGATTTCCTCGGCCGGCTCAATCTGAGCTCCTTTGATGCCTCTGGGTACATTGATCGTCATAAAAGCAATGCATCAAACATTCCAAACGTAGCCATTGCCGTTTCGGGTGGTGGCTATCGCGCTTTGACCAACGGTGCCGGTGCTATCAAGGCATTCGATAGCCGTACCTCCAACTCCACAGCCCGTGGACAACTCGGAGGTCTACTACAGTCCGCCACGTATCTATCGGGCCTGAGTGGTGGCGGATGGCTTGTAGGCTCCGTGTACATCAATAACTTCACCACGATCGGGGACCTGCAGGCCAGCGACAAGGTCTGGGATTTCAAGAACTCGATCCTGGAAGGTCCTGATGTAAAACATTTCCAACTGATCAACACGGCCGCCTACTGGAAGGATCTGTACGATGCTGTGAAGGACAAGAAAAAGGCCGGCTTCAATACGTCGTTGACCGACTACTGGGGCCGCGCTCTGTCCTATCAGTTCATCAACGCGACCACCGACGATGGTGGTCCCAGTTATACATGGTCGTCGATTGCCCTGGCCGACGATTTCAAGAAGGGTAAGATGCCCATGCCTATCCTGGTCGCCGATGGCCGCAACCCGGGCGAAATAGTCATCGGTAGCAACTCAACCGTGTATGAATTCAATCCATGGGAATTTGGCTCTTTTGATCCGTCTGTATACGGCTTTGCCCCATTGGAGTATCTCGGATCAAATTTCGAGAACGGTGAACTCCCCAAGGGGGAAAAGTGCGTGCGCGGCTTTGACAATGCGGGTTTCGTTATGGGAACCAGCTCGTCCCTGTTCAACCAGTTCATCCTGCGTCTGAATGGCACTGATATCCCTGATTTCCTCAAGGAGGCTATTGCCGACGTCTTGGAGCATCTGGGTGAGAAGGATGACGATATTGCAGTCTATGCACCCAACCCCTTCTACAAATACCGCAACTCGACAGCGGCATATTCGTCGACCCCAGAGCTGGACGTGGTCGACGGAGGCGAAGATGGACAGAACGTGCCTCTCCACCCATTGATCCAGCCCACCCGCAACGTGGATGTGATCTTTGCCGTCGATTCATCCGCTGATACGGAGCATAGCTGGCCCAACGGGTCCTCTCTGATCTATACCTATGAACGTAGTTTGAATACAACGGGTATCGCCAACGGGACCTCCTTCCCTGCGGTGCCCGATGTCAACACATTCCTCAACCTCGGCTTGAACAAACGCCCAACCTTCTTCGGATGCGACTCGTCCAACACCAGCAGCCCGACCCCGTTGATCGTCTACCTGCCCAACGCCCCTTACACCGCGGAGTCCAACACCTCGACCTTCCAGCTGGCATATAAAGACCAACAACGCGACGATATCATCTTGAACGGCTACAACGTCGTGACCCAGGGCAATGCCAGTACCGACGCGAACTGGCCGTCATGCGTTGGGTGTGCCATTCTCCAGCGATCCACGGAACGTACGAACACTAAGCTTCCTGATATCTGCAATACCTGCTTCCAGAAATACTGCTGGGACGGCAAGACCAACTCCACCACGCCGGCGGCCTATGAACCGGAGCTGCTAATGGCGTCGTCAACTTCCGGGGCGTCGAAGGGTCAACTGAATCGCACAGCTGCAGTCATCGCGTTCGCGGTCATGTTCTTTATGACGATCTAAATGTCTGTGCCTTGTTCTGGGATACGTTATGCCGTGGCGTAGTATGCCTTATGAATGCTTCCACTGATTTATTATCTGCTATCGCAAAATTCTGAATATTCCCTCCTTGCATTGACTGTTTACTAGCGTATGTCGAATTGAGTGTACCTTAAATACAGAACTTGGCGATTTCTCTGTTGTTCATCCGAGAATATACCTCAAGTCATAATTATTTCTAACATAGTGTATACTATGTTACTCATGGTTGATTTATATCGGGTAATGTAATTACCGTCACCTCATCCGCAATTATAATGATGCGATACGGCACTAGGCCTGACCGGGAAAATGACAATACGGTCGGCTGTGGCCATAAAACCGGAGACAATATGGCATTAAACTTCATCTTTTCTCCAGTATCATTGATCGCAAAATAAGCACAGAGTTGCAGACCATGGCTACGAATACATCTTCATTTACTACCATCCCCGTATTGGATTACTCCCTCTCCACGTCGTCGACGAGCAAGTCGCAGTTCCTATCCGACCTTCGGAATGCACTGATCAATGTGGGGTTCTTCTATCTGATCAACGCACCCATTGCCCCTCGAGTCCAGCAGGATGTAGTGGATAAATGCAAGGAAATCTTCGACCTACCGTTAGAGAAGAAGGTCGAGATTGAAATGGTGAACAGTAAACATTTTCTGGGCTACTCTCGACTGGGAGCGGAGATCACTGCGCGCGAACAGGACTATCGGGAACAGTTCGATGTACGCTACCCTACGATATATATTCCGCTCCAAGATGCTAACGACACCACGAGTAGTTCGCCACAGAGCTACCAACTCCAGGGCCTGATGAGCCACTCTATCGAAACATTCGGGGCCCGAACCAGGTAACTACTATCAATACGCATTACTTATTCCTTTCAGACCACATGCTAACCATCACAGTGGCCCGATGAAAGCGCAATACCTGGCTTCCGCCAGGCCATCGAGGCCTATCTCGCGGAGATCAGCCCACTATCAGATGCATTTCGGGGACTCATTTCAGAGGCACTCGATCTGCCACCGACCGCGTTGGACCCGTACTTTGACGACCCGCAGCAACTGAAGTTGAAATTGGTCAAATATCCACCACCGCCCGTGTCCTCGACTGAGGCAGGGGTTCAAGGCGTTGGCCCTCATAAGGATTCGGAGTTCCTGACCTTTCTGCTCCAAGCATCGCCCCACTCCGGATTAGAAGTGCAGAATAAATCGGGCGATTGGATCTCGGCTGCGCCGGTGGAGCATTCCTTGGTGGTGAACATCGGGCGCGCGTTGGAAGCCATCACAGGGGGCGTGTGCACAGCGACCACCCATCGGGTCTCCCTGGCGCCCCGGAATTTTATCGATCAGACGGGCGCGTCTCTCGGGCCGCGGTTCTCCATCCCTGTGTTCCTGGGAATGGGCCTCGATCTCTCTGCCGAGAAAATTACCCTGCAGATACCACAGCATATCAGGGATCTGATACAGGATGACAAGGTACGATCGGATGCGGAGGCTACGTTTAATCGCATCTTCAGCGGCCGGACAGGCGAGGGAACGCTCCTTCACCGGGTGATCAGCCACCAGGATGTGGGTCGGAGATGGTATCCCGACCTCTTGGATTATGCTCTGAGACAATACGAGAAACAGTAGTGATCAGAAAATGTACACAAGACAGCATAAACCACTCCAGTGTGTGATGTCAGCGGTATTTATGTAGAGCACAACGGCAAACTGCCGCGTATCTGATTTCTAAAGGGCCTTGCAGCGTCTTGGCAGTCGCTGGCGACGATCGGCAAAACCACTCCAATCAGAATCCAGATGGCTGAGGATACCCCAGACATCAGGAGACCAAACGAGAGAGAGGTTGGTCGTTGCCTAGCGACTGAAAAAGCCCATGTGGGGTGATGATGGCGTTTGAAGCAATTGTTCTTACGATGACCCCCGGAGCGTCGCGGAAACCCGACGGGGCAGTTCCCGTGCGCATAAGCCCTCGTTCAGTCGCAATTACGGGCCGTCAAGACGATCGCTGACACTTGGGCATCGTTTGTCCGAGTGTTGTGACGTATACAAACCAACAGAAAGGGTCTCCCATGAGGTCCAAGTGGGTTCGTATCACTGGGAGAACGATGCAAGGCTGAGAATCAGGTCAGGCCCCTGCGGCTTACTACGCTGGTCATCCCGAAGCGAAGGGACTTCTGACAGGTTGAGATCCTCCGCGGATCTGCAGATGCCAGCATTGCCTCCCAACAATCACCAATCACGGGGGGTGATGCGTCCAAAAAACCCTTCACACCGACGGGGCCAAGACGCTTAGCCCTTCCCCCACCTGGCCCGGGTCTGGACGTGTGTGGCATCATACGTAGGTGCAAACGTAAGCTCTTGTGGCTGTTGTCTCTGAGCTGCAGAAGGTCCGGCTATAAGTAGCACATATGGTACCTTCACTTCCCGTTGCCCCAGATATCGATCACCCATAATTAATCTCTGCCTGAAAATTAGATCAGTCCTCCACAATGCAGATCAAGTCGTCCACCGTTCTCATCGCCCTTTTGGGCTCCTCCATGGCCCAGGCCGCCAACATCCAGCAGAGACAGGAGCAATCGACCGACTTGGGCGGTGCCACTCCCACTGATACCGGCTCAGCCTCTGCCACTGGTACCGCGGAGACTGGCTCAGTCACTCTCCCATACTTCACCGAGACCAGCCAGTCGGGTACTGCGACTGGATCTGAAACTGCCACCGGCACTGGATCTACCACTGGATCAGCGTCTCCTACCGGATCGTCCAGTGGATCCGAATCTACCTCGGGCTCGGCTACTCCCACGAACGGATCGTCGTCGGCCACCGAGTCCGGATCGACCACTTCGACTTCGACTTCTACCACCACCGAGGCCTCCACCACTAGGAGTGCAGGCGAGACCAGCAGCTCGAGGACCGGTTCCTCCACCTCATCATCGGCTTCGCCCTCCTCGACCGACTCGGGTGCATCCTCGACCTTGCCTCAGGGTTGGGCCACATGGATGCTCCCCTTCGTTTTGGGTGCTTTCCTGTGAGATCGATTCTTGATTGAATGGTGTGATATGCTTAATGAATATGAGAAGGGATTTGGATTTGGTATATGATCGGCCTGTGTTTTATCGGACGGTGAACGTCGTTCCCTGTCTACTTTCGCTCAACCATAATGATGCTTTCGTTGGCTATTTATCTCTACGGCTGTGCAGATAGTTAGATACACTACATCTAATCATGTGGACCTTTGCAATAGTGCGAGACGGTTTAATTGGTAATACTGCTATCTCCCCGCAGTTCTCCTCGTAAAAGGGCGAGCCCTGAGCGCGATCAAGCCTCCTGCCTGACCACAATCCAGTCGCGCGTTGACAAGAACACACGGGGTGCATATTATCTTTGTCTCAATACGGTGTTCGGCAAATCAGTCCAAATGTGGAGATTTTTCACTCCTTCGTGTGCTGGTGGAAATTGGCTGAAGACTCTTCTCCCTAAGAATAACCTCGTATTTTTCCGGCTGAGCCTCAGCCATGTCGTGTTCGAGCCAACCACAGCGTTTCCCTCCTAACGATCTTCCTCATTTAAGGTTCTGCTAACAGAGAGTAGGGCCTCAACACGATCACCGCCATGATCACCGGTCTGGGCGGATTGAATATCTGAGGCTATGTGCCCAAGCCTGGCACGGGATGGAAAGCATGGACTCAGCCTTGCAGACCGGCCGGTCCTTATTATCCTCTGAGCGCCCGGTAGGGTCGCAGGAAATCCACCAGTTCTTTCTGATTACCACCTCATTCACAAAATGGCACCGAGACGTGGCGGCGGTTCCTTCAGTGGGGGTAGCTCCAGCTCTTCCAGTTCTTCCAGCTCCAGCAAATGCAGTGGCTCCGCATTTAGTTCACAAGTAGCTCAAATCTCCATCGCGTTCCATGCGCTGTTCTTCCTCGTCTTCTGTGGGCTGTTTTGCGTCGCGGCCTTCAAACTGATCCGGAGCAAGCAGAAAGGAGTAGCCTTACGACGATGGTTCCCTCTCGGCCTCTCGATCACCTTCATGGTCGTGTGAGTCCTGACCCCTTAACCCCGATAGCAGACCAATCCCGACTAACGACATGAAGTGGTGTCGCCTTCTTAATCGTCCTCTTCACACTCCTTGAATGTGACATCGCATCGGTTACCGTGTACCAGCTCGTCGGCCTTGTGCCAAGTTGGCTTATACCTGTGGCACACTTCCTGCTCATTGCCGTGATCATGATCCCAATCTGCAAGCGCCTGGTGCAGGGCAACAGGAAAATCGCAAAGATGGTCACCACCGCCCATACAGGCTATATTGTCCTGCTTGGAATCGTCCTCCTCTGCTACCTAGCCATCTACACTCATCTCGTTGACGCAGCATATCGCACCGGTGCCCGGGCAGATGTCAGCGGGCTACGACTTCATCAGAGGAGACTAGCCACCGCATATTATGTCCTCGCAGTAATCGGAATGCTGATGGCGGCTGCGAATATGCTCTTCGCGCTAGCCCGCGGCCATCACCTGAGAAGAGGAGTACGTTACTTTGCCCAGTACACTTTCATACACAGATACCTAACATGGATATGCTATAGGTCCTACTCCCCGCCACCGTGGTTCTCATCCTATCATCATTGGGACTGACCACCCTCAACCTCGCCAACCACATCATCATCGACTACCTGCAGACACAGTACATGCGCAAGAGCGTCGGGGGATTTTACCAGTCGATGGAGGCCCAGACATTCCTGAAATATTTCTTCTACGCAGCGGCCTTCCTCGCGGCTCTTCTCGTCGCGTCGTCGAATCAACTCTCCGATAATGCCTCCACCGGGCCCGTGAAGCATCTCCCCAACCAGCCGAAGTATAACCCGCAGCAGCCATACCGGGCTTATCGGGCGCAGCCTCAGACGCAGCAGAGCTATAAGTAGTTTCTGTTGCATGGAGTTTGTTAGACTCTATGACCGAGAAGAGTGTTTGGGCGTGATGTTACTGTCTATTTGATGGGTGCATAGAGATGGCATGTGTGTGTTTGGAGCGGGATATATGATGATGATCTAATGTCTTTTCTTTTGTGGTCATAGTTCGCCAGATTTCGGATATACCCCAATACCCCCATACTACGTTTGAGATTAATATTTTTCTGAGGAATATATTGTTGGCTGTTATTTGCAGAACTGCTCGGGATATTGAGGTCTGACGTAGGTTGGCATGTGGACTGCAGGATAATATGTAAAATGAAAACAGACTTCGCTTGCATGGATATAAATAGAACACTGGCTGTGGAGCCATAAGTCGACCAGAAATTATACAGCTACTGCGAGTTCTACATTGGTTGATTGGATCGAGAGAGTGGATTGTGGAATCGAAAGGGTGAAAGAGTGGCGATGCAATCAATGGATCTGCGAGTTTAATTTTAGCCCCGATGGATTAGATCTGCATTCCAACTAATACCACTAATCGAGATCAGTCGATACGCACTAGTCTGTGGAATTCGACTCAGTCGAACTTCTTGCGCCAGCCAGGGAGAATTTGCATACAAAGAGTTCACATGAGGGCTTGCTGTTCCTATCTTTGATAAATAAAGTGTAGGACTCTGGACTGCAACCACGTTGTCATAGTACATACAACAACCACTGACATTATTCATGAGCAGCACTCGGGTGAAGATATCACTCAATCCTCATACACCTTCACAACCCTAGCATAAACACTCGGTTCACCCCTACGTGTCAACCCCCCTTCCCCCCCATATCCTGTACAATCCTCATATCCTCGGCGGTCGTGTTGACCAACTCAATATCAAACCGCCGTACATAATACGCAAGAGTCATGTAAATTCCGAGAAATGCGAGGCTGCAAACAAACATTAGTATCCATCCGTAACTCGGGTAATCTTTGCCTACTTCATGCCAACACATATCCGACTGCCTCGGGAGAAGGAGGTAATGTATTTGAAAAGATGCTCGTTCTTTCGGCCAGGGTAGATCCATCGCTCGGGAGAGAAATTCTCCGGCTTGGGAAAGATGCTTGGGTCTTTGTGGCCAAGGTAGCTTGAGGAGCTGACTGGCGTCTATGGGACTCTGTTAGTGCTGTCTTGTTGAGGTTGAGTCCAAGAGGGGTTGCTTACTTCTGGTGGGATGGTGTATTCTTTGTAAGTTAGGGTTTGGTCGGGTGCTATGCGAGGGGACCTGGCCGTAAGGAAGCCGCCGAGACGCAGGGATTCGTTCACGGTGCCAGTCTGGAGGTGTGTTAGTGGTGTTAAAGCTATTCTGATAAAACAGAGACAGCAAACGTTGGGACTTGAATGGGAGGAAGAGAGATTGGTCTGATTACTTACTAAATAAGGCAGCTTTTCCAGCTCGGACCAGGTAACCTGGCTGGTAGGGCTCGGCAGGACAGTCCTCCGCTCCTCTCTCAATCGGGTGCGCATCTGCTCGTCCGATGCGATATGGAAACAGGCAGCCGTCGACGCTCGGGCCGTCGTCTCTGTCCCAGGACTGATGAGCAGAAGGCCTTCATCCTGCAGACGCTGGAGGGACCGTTCTTCAGGCGGAATGCTGGGATCCGTCAGCTGGTCGTAGATTGTTTTATTTTACCATCGACATCATCGTGACCGAGTGTATATTTATCCTTATGAATTGCCTCAGCTAACTGCTCATATATCGCCTTCTGTATATCTGGTACCACTGATCTTCCGGGATGGATCGCACGCAACAACCGAAGTGGTAGCTTTTTGAGCGTGGCAATGAAAATCGGAAAAATGCGATTGAAATGAACGCTACAGCTGAGATCGTGAACGGTCTTGCGAACATCCGTGCGCAGATTCGCGTCCTCGAGATAGTCCCAACTTTTTCCATAGCAGTAATGCGTAATGACAGCAGAGGTCATAGCTGCGAAGGCATCGGCGACCCGGACTACTTCGTTAGTCTGGTGCAAGGCTTCGAAGCGCTGCATAAGCTTGTGGACCTTCTCTTCAACCAGGTGGGATAGCCCACGGATAGACTTCTTAGAGAAAAGACTGTTTACGAGACCCCGACGATAGCGGTGGAGGTCGTGGTCTATTGTCGAGGTGCTGGAGAGGGACATGCCAGTGAAGGAAACGTATTTTGCATCCTTATTGCGCCTCTGGGTGCCCGAGGCATAGATCTTGTCGTAATAGTGCGGGTCATTGATGTGGATCTCGCGAGGGTTGATGCGCACGATGGGCCCTGACTCTTGGTTAGTTGGGTATTATATGTACGGACAGTTGGCATTGGTGTTTACCGTATCTCTCATGCATTCGCTCGATCTCAAAGAGGTATCTCCCTCCCAGGCATAAATCATAGTACCACTCATACATGTGGGTGACCGCTGCTAATTTCGGACCAGGGATGTTTCTTAATGGGTGAAAGTAGAGTCGATAGATGCTATTGGCAATGAGATAGCTGATCAGTCCAGTGAGGGTAAGCCAGAGTCTTGGTAAGTCCATTTTGAAGCCCTAACATTATTCATATAGTCCGCACGGCAGGCCGCGCATCCTAGATGCCACGGCCATTCTTTATATATAGTACATGGAGCAACGGCGAGGATACGATGTAAATTTGGGGGACGCACTGCCACCCCGTCACAATTTTTTATTGTAAAGCGATTGAGGGATAAAGACCAGCTAATAGGATCGTTGCAAAGCTAGAGGAAGCTGTGCAGCCGGATTGTGGCCCCTGGTAGCAGGTTTGTGGTTCACCCATCTGGGATAATGACTCCCAGGGCTTGTCACTGGTGCAGCCCGATCCAGTTGGCAGGGTATTGACTGCCACTCATACAATGGATGTGGCGTCTTAATACTTAAATGAGAGTAAGTTAATCAGCAGGTGTGTCTTTTACTTGGTAGACCGGTCACCAACCATCATCTGAAGCGTGACGTAGTTTTGGGGCCTCTTGAAACTGGGATCTGGTCCCTGCACGCCATAATACTTGGAACTCATAGCCTTGACCTGCTTGTCCATTGTTCCATATAGCTTCTAGAACTATGCCACAAACACGTATGCTTTATCAAAGCAGTCGTCCCATCCTGTTTGGCCCGAAGCCCAAAACCTGTGGAACACAGCGCCCGCTAATGTAGGCGTCGGACACCCCATGATTTTGCTCAACTCCGATAATTGATCATCGACGATATGACGAATGTGAGGACTCGCATCAACGGCCTGCATCCCCGCCACGACGAGTGGCCATATCGCGAAATGTTTGATACGGGGGCGACGGGTAACTTTTGGAAAAAGATTATATAGAAGAGTCCCATGTACAGTCCTCATCGTATTATAATACTTACTGGAGGAAATGATGGAGAGGCTTTGGAGAGATGAGATACAGTACAGTGCTATGGAGGACCGGTACATGCGTCCCAGGAGCAACCAGTCCTCCCGTGCGTCGGGGTGGGTGCCGGTCCAGTCTTCCGGAGAGAAGGCCTCAATGTGCTCAAGAATCTCGTGCGCTGTCGCTCGTGTGGAGTCAGTTATTGGGGAGCATGTCGTTTGGAAGCGGAGATTGTTGATCTTGATGACGTCCATAAGGAGGTACGGAGGGCATAGAAGGATCGGATATATGCCATCTCCATACAGGTCTGTCATGACGTCGATCAGCTCGAGTTGCGATGTGGTTGGAATATGTTGTGACGGAGGAGTGGTCGTGTTAGCCATCACTCCCAGACTAGGCACTGCAATTTAGTACCTTCAGAGGCGAGAAAGTGTGGGGAATAAGCGAGAAGATGTAAAGTTCTTACATGAGAAGATGAAGTATCAATGGCTTCAGATACTCGGAGGAATGCGCAAGACTTGCCAGACCACCACGCAGCGTAATCAATTCCATGGCGGCAGCGAAGTGGTGCTGCCAGTCGGCCGACGGTAGTTGTCTGGCCTTCAAGGTCACCATTGCCTTTAGCCCTGACCCATTTTGAGAAGAAATGATAACACGGGCTTACATCGACAAACAAGAATAACAATATGCTTCCAATGGTAAGATCGATCGACGTTTGATTGCTCAGGCTCCCAAGTAGCTCCGTCAAGGATCGAAGTGCTAGTCCTCTATGTTGATAAAGGCTCGGTCGCAAACGCGCCACCGCGCGACGATGATCCCCTGAGTATACGCGATGGATGCGGTGGCCAAGGGCAAGATATACTAATGTGTGACATATCGACATGGGCATTTGGTGCAGTGCATCTAGGGGGAACTGGCCCAGGTAAGGGTTTGGCGCTAACTCGTGCATCGCGCGAAAGTCAGGGTAAACATAATCGTTGACTAGGAGGAACTATGAAAATCAGTTGCATTTGGCAGCTCGAGGCTACATACAGTACCACACGGCCTCAACCATCGTGCATGTGTCGCTTTTCAACTCTCGCCGTGGGATTGGCATTCGCAGTAGTTCACTTCCCACCCGGGTTTGCGGAGCGTTCTTCTTGTCAGCTGCCTCATCGCTTCGAGCTGTACCGTCCATACCAGAAGGCCAACGTCGCTTTTGAGCGCGCGATGTCACTTTTCCAGGGGCTAGCCATCGGAGTGGTTTCTTCTCGTCATATCCGGGGCAATCAACACCGGCTGATCGGCATTTGTTACAAGTGGGTCGCTCGAAATCGCATACAAGCCGACGGCGCATACACTCCCAGCAATGTCGTTGGCGCATCGTGGTATTCAGTTGCGCTCGGGGCTCCATTTCACTCTATGGAGTATATTTCTGAGCGGAATTTTGAGGCAGTCAGATCGTAGCATGATGGCTGGGCGTTGGATATTCGGCCTTGCTGACTTGGCAAAGCTTTGGACCCATCCAGCTGAGGGAGGGCTTGGCGTCGATCCTGCCTTAGGACAGGGTCAAGTCTAGACATATCGGGTCATGGGCTGTACAGACCATGATTCTTGGCGCTAGTAGCTGGCTACAGTAAGAGCTCGGAATACGTTTTCTGTCGCAATGATTGTTGGTCAGGTGACATTGATGATCAATGCCATCGTAAATTGGGAATACCAAGTCTCCTTCCGTAAAACTTCGAGGCACCCTTCTACGAAAGACTTGGTCCCTCGGCTGCAATAGATGGTGAGACTGATGATGTACCAAGATTACTACATTTTCTCAATGCCTATTCGACAATGAGTGAATTTTAGGCCATCCATGAGTGAAGCTCTCAACTCATGAAACGGGCTATTAGCATCTCCGAACCCGACATAGGCCTGTCGTGTGAAACATAAGACTTCAACAGATGTGGGGTATATTTCCGTAACAACGCGTTTGACCTAAAGAACGGCTAAAGCCAATGTCGTCGAAGCATGGCAACGACAATACCCAAGGGTTCATACGATCGCTCGCCTTCGCCTGATGGATGCATTGCCTTGACATTTGAAAGAGGGTGCTATCATTGTAACCGTTTCTTCATCAAGAGAAGTTTGAGACCAAGCGAATTCCGAACTTCGCAGAGAGGTCTTCACATCCCCCGCCTGGGAAAAGAGAGGCTCCAAAATGAGGCGGACTCTTTACGATTCATCCGATGCATGACGGACACTCCTGTTCCAACTGTGTATGGCGCATTCGAGTTGGATGAGTCTTTCTTTCTGATCACAGAATATATTCGAGGCGCACCCATGTCCCAGCTGTTTGAGAATCAGAAGAAAATTGTTAGCGGCGAACTCCGTCAGCACTTGGCTACCCGGTTGGGGTATATGAAATCATCCAAGTAAAAATGTATTTTAATTTAAACTTATTTCCTTAAACCAAGGCAGATAAGTGTCTCTCGCCTAAGCTGTAAGCTGACGCATACCTAGAATGACAGCATAGATCGCTAAATAGCTCTGCGTCGTCTCGAACTGACGATCCGTCCACAACTTTGTCTTCCCATCCTCATATGTAGAAAGCACTAGGAAGCATCGATGACCCTGGATGACGATGCCTGGTAGAACGCCGAGTGCTGATAGAATTGCGAGTTGATTTGCATTAAACTCTTCTTGTTCTTCGTTTGTTTGAGGCATCTCCATGCCGTGCTCAGCTCATTGTCAGATCATCTTTTGACGGACTGCCCATCGGAGGAAGGTCCATTGTGCCGGGTACCAATCTGCAATTGTGCTGTGTCCCAATGTACGCCAGCCTTCTTAGTTTTGATACTCAACAGAAGTGGAAGTTTGAGATAGGTTCATGATCAGCGGAGAATATCCATCCTTGTCCAAGGCGTTGTCAGGGAGATGCAAAAGACACAGTGAATCATTCTATTTGTGATTTAGTTTTCAAGTACCCTGTAGGTAGATTTAGGGAACTATCTAGTACTTACCTCAGTGTTGGTACATAGTGTAGCTTTCAAGTAAATGGCAAAGTCGGTGTGGTTCACAGTTAGCGTTGGGGAGATTGTGAATCCAAGCAAGAATAGATTCTAGCAACCGTGCAAGAAGGGAAGGAATCAGTCCGGAAATCAGGTGATTCTTCCGCGTGTTGGTCTGCCTCACCTCAACTGTTCGTTACTATATACTGGTTTACTTATACTCTAGGGTAGCTCCCAAGGTCCTTCCACCAACCACCAACTGCAAGATACCGTTTTCGTAGGTGCATGAGCCGCCAGATACTCGAGGTATTTCTGCTAAAATAGACTTATACCCAGATCTACAGGCGGGAGATACTTGATCAAATTCTTCGAATCATTTAATCATTATTTATACGATCTATTCCCTAGCATTTATCCTCTATTGTCGAATGTTTTATCAAGAGCGCTTTTTGCCCTTTCCGCGCCCCTCGAAACTCCAATCGATCTGGGTGGCCATCCGCACCTTCACGTTGAGCTCGTTCGCAAAAGCACGAACTAAGCCTGGGTTCTGTTGGAACCACCGTCCGGCTTGGACAGCATCAATGCCAGACTGGACCACTTCCTCGGCCAGCGCTCCTGTTTTAATACCGCCCACAGCGGAGATCAGCAATTTATCGCCGACAGCCTTCTTAATCTTTTGAGCAAAATGCACCTGATAAGCAGGGGTTGGCTTGATGGCGATGGCAGATTTGGCGTGAACACCACCGGAGCTGACATCCACTAAATCGACACCGTGATCAGCCAGGAGGGGGGCGAGCTGTACGGATTGATCAACAGTCCAGCTCTCAGGAAACTCGTCCTCGAGGCCAAACTCGAACCAGTCAGTCGCACTGATCCGAACAAGGAGAGGCATTGTTTCTGGGATAACAGCCCGAATCTCATCCACAATCTCCAGTACCAGTCTAACTCGGTTTTCAAAACTGCCTCCATATTCGTCGGTTCTTTTGTTGCTCACGGGGCTCAAAAACTGGTGCAACAGATACCCATGGGCAGCGTGGATCTCAATAGCGTCAAAATTAGCGTCAACAGCTCTTCTCGCAGCTGCTGCGAAGTCTTTTTTTAGCACTTCGATATCTGCCTTAGTCAGAGCCTTAGGGACGGTGTTGATACCCTCCTCCTGGGGAATTGCCGATGGGGCCACAATCTCATCGGGCCACCCGCCAACTTCTTTAACGGCCATCGCGTTTCCACTCAACCAAGGAGCAACGGCACTACCTTTCCGGCCGGAGTGAGCTAATTGAATCGCAATTTTCTGGCTTTGGCTATGGGCAAACTCCGTAATACGCTTCAATGGCTCGATCTGACCGTCTTCATAGAGGCCAAGATCCTGTGGGGTGATCCGACCCACTTTCTGGACGGCGGTTGCCTCCATGATTGCCAACCCTGGGCCGCGCTGGATGATCCCGCCCAGGTGCGTTAAGTGCCAATCCGTGGCGTAGCCATCCTTCGCGGAATATTGACAGAGCGGTGCCAGGAACAAGCGGTTGGGAAACGTCACTCCGCGGATGGTGATAGGGCTGAATAACTTGACTGATCCCTCGAGTTGCGTGCCTGCAGGAGGATCCTGGGCCGGCGTGTAGTAAGATACGCCTTTGGCCGCGATATTATCGATTATTTCGTACGTCATGGTTTGTGATTTAGACTCTTAGCTGGGTGCGAGGGAATTGATGGGCGCTGCCTAGCATCACGAGGTAAGAACCTTAAGTATTCTGTATACAGAATGCCTTGGGGCTGATGACAAATCAAAGGATTATTAATGTGATGTCGTACCGTGGAGTATCATGAAGTGGCTTATGGAGTAATAGTATCATGCACTATCATGGCCATATTGCCTCATCATCCTTGTCGAGCACATACCTGTGTGCCCCGGATTTCAGCCCATGATTGGCTTTCGCATGGCCACTTACCCCAATCTCCCCCGAGACCTACTCCGATTTACATAAATGGTCCGAGTATTGGCGGCAAGCTAGGCAGGGATCCGTTCGGGGTGGCCGTAAGAACCGGACCTTTTTCTTGACTATCGCCCCATGCATATGGGCCTGTACGAGTCTGGGCTGTAGCTTTACGGGTTTCTTTGTCTCAACCCCAAATTGTCGCTTCTTGTCTCCTCATCTGTTCTCCTCTCCACTCCTTGTCTTAACTGTCTATGTGTCCTCGCTATCTGACGTCACGTCCTCGAATTCAACTGCCCTCGAGGAATTTTTGGGTCACTCTCCCCGTGAACAGAGGCGACAGAAACCGACCATTATTATCATCTGTAAAAACCAGCATGTCGTGGGAGACCATCAGCAAGGAAGCTCAGGCGAGGGTGCTGGAGTCTATCCCCGCGCGATGGAGGCTGGATCCCCAGAAATATCGGTCGCTGAAGGATGTGACGAGCGTGCCGTACACCAGCGGCATCCTGACAGATGACCAGCTCAAGATTACTGAGCTCACCGTTGTCGAGATTGTGAAGCGTCTCGAGTCTCGTGAATTGAAGGCCGTCCAAGTTCTCGAAGCCTTTGCCGCTCGGGCTGCCATTGCGCATCAACTGGCACGTCAATGAAATCCCGGAAAATTGTATTGTTAGGCTAACAGGACCAATAGGTGAACTGTCTGACCGATTGGTTCTATGAAGATGGGCTTCAGCAGGCAAAAGAGCTCGATCTGGTCCTGGACAACGGGGGCAAGTTGCAAGGGCCGTTACACGGAGTTCCGATCGCGTTAAAGGTAGCCATAGAGTTGAGTACGCCCATCTTGACCATAGGAGGCTAATAGACTAGCCAAACAGGATTCCCATGAACTCAAAGGCCATGCTGTAACAATGGGCTACGTCTCACGGAGGGATAATATCGCCAAGGAGGATTCTAACATGGTGAGGACGTTGCGCAATGCCGGTGCGGTCTTTTTTTGCAAGACCACCATGCCTCAGTCTGGAATGGCTTTGGAGACGGTCAGTAACCTCTGGGGCCGCACGGTAAACCCATTCAATAGAGATTTGGGCGCCGGTGGAAGTTCTGGTGGAGATGCGACGCTGGTGGCCTTACGAGGTAGCCCCATAGCTCCTTCAACGGATATGGGAGGATCTATCCGCATACCCGCCGCTTTCAACGGACTATATGCAATTCGGCCTACATCAGATCGCATTCCAAAGGGTGGGATGACCAACACGAACACCGGCAATCTCACAATTAAGTTGTCTTGCGGACCTGTCTGCCACTCTCTCGACGACCTCGAGTTATTTACTCGGATCATCAACGCCCATCCGCTCAACCAGTACGATTCCACTGCCGTGCCTGTACCCTGGAGAAAACTGGATGCTCTTGATCGTAAACTCACCATCGGAGTATTGAAGTGGGATGGTGTGGTAATGCCTCACCCACCGGTACTTCGAGCATTAGAGCATACCAAGCAGACACTTGAGAAAGCCGGGCACGAAGGTGAATTGCCGTCTTGAGTCTTATTTTGATTAAACCTTTTATCAAAACGAAGGAACACTGACCTGATTCAAAGTCATTACGTTTGATATGCCTTTTGATTGTTGGGATATTAAGAAAACCACGGTAAGCGTCCTGTTGGGTTCACAAGACCGTCGCATTAACGTGAAAGTCAGTTCGATATCTACTACCAGTCAGGCTCTGCTGGCACAATGTCCACACTAGCAGCCTCGGGCGAGCCTACTATACCAGCATTTGCAGACCTGCTCAGAGTCTTCAACACCCAAGAGCACTCTGCTGCTGAGGCATTGAGGGTACGGAGATATTTCTTTTCCCTCCAGTGAACACGATCTTTGAGGACTACACTGACACGCCGGACAGTTCAATCTCAAAGCGAGATCCCTCAAGGAGCAATTTGCAGATGTATGGAACAAGACGGCCAATCGCACAAGCTCAGGTCGTGCAATTGATGCGCTGATATTACCCCCAGCCCCCGCGGTGGGCTACCCGCATGATTTTAACATCTACTGGGGATATACATCGCTGTTCAATCTTCTCGACTACCCTTCTGTGATTTTGCCGGTTGCCAACTTCAAGGTGGATCCACAGCTAGACCCCGTGGATTCTAATTACCGACCAGTAGAAACAAATCCCTATGATAAGCCCAATCATGAATTGTGTAAGTCGGCCGAACTAGTCCCCTAGTGATCCGATTTCTAAGAAGTCTTCATGCACAGATGACCCGAACCTGTTCGTGAAACAACCATCAACTATCCAGATTGTTGGGCGTCCTTTTGAGGATGAAGAAACTATACAGGTAGCCTCGGTTCTAGACGCGCTGTTTAAGGCTCCATAGATTAGATGAACTTAGCGATGATAGACGTCACGTTCGGCAAATTCGAACTCATTCATGCTAAGGAACCGATTTGGATATCAGGCATGGACACCTAGCTAGATACAGTGTTGATTTAGTTAACAATATTATCTCGCATGGAACACCAGGACTTTATCTATATCCTATACCGAAAGTGCTTGTTCTCTTTATCAGTCATATCTTGATAACCCTCCAATAAGTCCTCCTGGACTGCCACTAGAGAAGCACGGCCGGGACGCCTGTTCTCCACCCAGCACCACACAGTATACATCGATTGGAAAAGGATGACCGCGCAGTAAGTTCCCAGTAAGCCCTTGATAGCGGTAGGGTATCGCGGCACCTCTTTCGATAAGAACATATGAGGACCGACGATATTTCCCACCACAAAGCAAACAAAGTAGATGCTCAGCGTAGTAGTGCGCTTGGTGTGACCAGCCACATTTACACCAGCGAGCGTCCAATTCAATATTATAGGAGCGCCGACGAAGTTCTGCATCCAACACATGGCCAAGAGGGCATACCGATGGTCAATTGGTATGGTTAACAGGCCAATCAGCCCAACCATGCCGGGCAGACAGCCCAAAATAACCGAGATTCCAAGCATGTTCCGATACTGAGAGACATAGCCCAGCGACAAGCAGCCCACGATCTCGAACGCTCCTCCGGGCGCTTGCATCAAGGATGTCCGCAATGGGTCGAAATTTAATCCTTTGATGATGGCCGACATGAAGTTGGTGACTCCACTGTTTAGTATTCCGATGCCCATTCCCGCCATGTAAAGGAGATAGCATCTGCCATCGAGAAGCGCCTCTTTGATTTGATAAGACTTGATCGTGGGGTTCTTGATTCCCATCTGATTGTGCGATACTCGCCAGACTGCGACAATGCGCTCGTATTCGGAGAGCATCTTCGCGTTATGAGGGCCGTCCGGTAGATAGGTCAGTATGACGAAACCCCACAGGAGAGTCAGAGCGCCGACGATCTGAAGAAGTATGAATGCGTAATTAGCAATCAGAGTGATGAACGGATATTACCTACCGCACTCACCAGGAAAATTAGCTTCCAATTTGCAATCGCGAGTCCTTCCGCCGTGCCCGTCCCATAAGCAAGCAGAGACCCTAGAATGCTCGCAAGGCCGTTTGTGCAAAGCCAGAAGGAACTTCTGAGTGATTGTTCTTCGCGTGTCCAGAGCATGGAAGTGAGAAGCACCCAAGATGGCGAGATACATGCCTCGAATAGACCGAGAAAGAAGCGAACTGCGAAGAATCCACCGGTGTTGAAGACTGCAGCCTGCAGCATGCAGATCGCTCCCCAGACAATCAGCATTGTGCCGACCGTCTTTGCTATCGGCAGACGTTGCAATAACATGTTCCAGGGCCATGCACCACCTCATAGTAAGTCAATAGCCTTTCTTTACTCGGGTTGAGGGCCCTAGTAACGTACATAACCAACCAAAGTAGAGAGCGCTGACGACCCAGGAGTAATCATCTCCAGTCATGTGGGTGTCGGTCTGGAGGCCGTATGCATTCGAATAGTTAAGACTAATTGTCATATTACGAATATGTTTTGTTTATCGATGTTTCGCTCTCTCACTTACGTCTGTTTGTCCAAAAATGATAGCATATATGTTATCATCATCTAGAAAGTTATTAGCACGCTGAACGCTCAGAAGCAGTGCGCCTATAGTCTAACCATTGGCAGAACTAGAAAGTCCAGTTTTCGTCTAACTCTGACAGAGTCCTCTTCTAGCTGAGCGCGGTCAAACTGCAGTGATCGTTGCAGCATCTCTTGTCCCAGCTCATTAGGACCACTTCGAGCGTTCAACCGCTGGAAGAACGATTGTTCAACACGCACGGAAGAGACTTCGATTGGAGCATCGTGTTCCTTGATCGTGCAAGAATCATCTATCTTGGTGTCGATAGTTTCACTCTCCATGTTATCGGGGAGCTTGGGTGAATACTTTGGTGGGCGTGTTGTCGAAGGTAACAGTGGCATACCATCATGGTGCTATACCAGCTGGGCTGAGGCTTATAGACAACATCCCCGTTTCGCAAAAGGTGGGGGTATTCCTACAAAGACTGGTGGAACCTCTTAGGGCTTGAACAGTTTAGAAAGTGTCAGAAGACTGTCCCCGATGTTTGAGGCTCCGTGGCTAGCCATCTCCGCGCCGCCCAAGGGAGGAACATGGATTTACACTGTTAACCAGCTGAATGTGCACTGCAGGCAGTGAGGACTTCCGCCGATGTACGAAGCTATCTGTCCGAACCGGAACAATGTGTGTTAGGGTTTCAGAAGACAGGACTCTCGAAACCTTTACTCCACATCGTAATCTTCCGAGCGGGTTCCGAGCAACTGACAAGCAAACTACATGACCGATCATCCAATGGAAGAGTGTGATTACCAATGGCAGAGAACGGAGAATTACTTAGCCATTGGTTTGAATTCAATAATATGTGTACTGCTTTCTCTCCTTTTCTTTTTCTTTGCATTGGCAGTATTCCCCCCTCTGAAGTTCCCTTACTGTTGTTGTCTTGAGCAACAGACTCCCCTACCACAGTATGGTGCTGCCACTTGAACTCCTACTTTCCCCATGGATTGCTCTTATTGGACCTATATTTGTGGCTCTATATTATCTCGTTCCTTATTTCTGGACACTTAATCACTTGAGGGATATTCCCGGGCCCCTTGCAGGTCAGCTCTCGAACTTCTGGCTTTTGCTTGCTTGTCGAGCAGGCAAGCGTTACAAATATGTAGATGAAGCTCACAAGCGATATGGCCCTATTGTCCGCATACAGCCTAATCATATCAGCATTGCCGATGAGGAGGTCATTCAGACCATATACGGACATGGGAGCGGTCTTCTAAAATCGTGAGCAAGTATCAAACGCGTGAAATATACTTAGCATTGCTGAAGACTCGTTAGGTCCTATTATGACGCTTCCCTCATCACCACTCGCAGCATCTTTACTTCCAGGGACCGCGCCGAGCATTCTCGAAAAAGAAAAGTGGTGTCCCACAGCTTTGCGCCACAGGCAATGCGAAACTTCGAGCCGTTCATTCATTCATGGTTGAAGATCTTCATCCAGAAGTGGGACGATATCGCCCAGAAGGAAGCCCAACCTGACGGTTACGCAGATGTGGAGGGCCGCGTGTGGCTCAAGTAAGTTTCGTCATCACAGCATCGACTGAATCATATATTGACGGGATAGTTACCTGGTCCTGGACATCATCGGCGACCTTGCATTCGGTGCACCCTTTGGTGTGCTCGAAGCTGCTTCAGAAGATATAACGATTCGCCTCAGCAAGGAGAAGTCCATCTCTCTCCCGGTTATCACGAGCCTCACTACCAGGAGCGAAATCGCTGCCACTGTAGGAGCACTCCCCGAACTCCGGCCCTACTTAAAATGGATCCCCGACCCCTTCTTCCACGCGGGCGTCACCGGAATGAACAACTTGCGCAGCCTCGGCACAGCTCGCATTCTCGATCGCCTGAATAACCCACCCAGCGCAGACCGCCACAAGGACTTGCTTGAGCGCGTGCGAGAGGGGCGTGACGACAACGGCCAGCCCTTTGGGGTAGGAGAGCTCACCGCTGAATCTTTGACCGTGCTCATTGCGGGCACGGACACCACGAGTAGCACGTTTGCGGCATTGATGTACCACGTCGTTAGAACCCCTGGCGTTTTGAAGAAGCTACAAGCAGAACTCGACTCGGCACTTCCGGCAGACACAGTGATTCCCTCATATGACCAGGTGAAAACGCTTCCGTATCTAGGCGCTATCATCAATGAATCGCTGCGGCACCATTCCTCTATCAGTCTAGGCCTCCCGCGTGAAATCCCACGAGGCACCCCAGGCCTCACCATAAGGGGACGTTACTACCCCCCGGGTACTGTTTTGAGTGTTCCAATCTACACGGTGCACCACCTGAAGGAGGTCTGGGGCCCCGACGTGGATGAGTTCAGGCCCGAAAGGTGGGAGAACCTCACGCCACGCCAAAAGAAGGCCTTCATCCCATTCAGTTACGGCCCGCGAGCATGCCTCGGACGCAACCTTGCTGAGATGGAATTGAGACTGATCACCGCAACGTGGGCCAGGAGATATGATTTTGTCTTGAGAAAGGATGAAATGGAAGTGTGTGAGGGATTGGCCAGGAAACCAATTGCTGTTAACGTCGGACTGAAGCGGCGAGAGATTGCAGTCTGAGGAAATATGTATAGAGACATCGGTAGAACGAATTGTGGTAGAGTTGGCTACGGTATATTAGATCGACTCTCACGACAAAATTAAATCGGTTTTGGAATATGTTGTTTAGTATTACGCTCAATTGGCATGCTAGTTGGGATATTGAGATTTTTTTTAACATCAGTGGTTGGCAAAGCTTTGATAATTTCCTAAAAGATGGCAAGCCTATTATTGTCTGTCCTTATTTGTCTTTGTTTCTCTCTCTCTTTCTTTTACACTTTGTATTTTTGCGCAGAACACTCTTACAGAGAAATCTAGATCTTTTCAATCTAACCCGCCCAACGTTGTGATAGTGATTTAGTGCTGATTCTAGACACCCACGACGAGATACCCAGTAAGTCTGATTTTGGAGATTACCCCAAATATGGCTTCCACAACGTAATTCTCAGACACCTTATTCCTAACCTTTCTCCGCACTTTAATGTTCCGAGTGGGGTCCCGATGTCGAGATATCTATGGCCGTTACTCCGAGTGGGACTCCGAGGCCATATGCTCCGAGTGGCAGCGTCGGTAGTTGCTGGTACGTAATTGCTCCGATGGAAACAAGAAACAAGAAACAGCAATATGCAGGGATCAAACATGACTTCGCTCTATGGGATGCTGAATAGCCCCCTGGAATTAATTAATAGGGCCTGTATGTCGGCATATTCCACATGGATGGTAATTACTGTGTAGGAGGAAGATATAAAGAATGACTTGCCTGATCTAAATCATGAGGGATTCTGGACTTCCTATGGTAGTAGACTGATGCCAACCGACGATATTGCTCACACACCTTGAAGCCGATTCATCAGTAGCTTGGGCTCTGCTCGTATCATACCCACTCCTTTGGTCAGCAATTCGACCTAGTTTCACTTGCCAAGTCGGTAGGCGTAGATGGGTCTCTACGCCAAGTCGGACATTGCTAGCCATAACCAGTAGACAGTCAAAAAGCAATAGGGAGCGTCAAATGAAACTGAACAATGATAGAGATAGATATAGATATTAGGGTCACGCCCAATTGACAAATTCCCAGACTGGCAATTACCGTAGCTACTATGCGTCCTATAGCCTGCTGGTTATCTTGTTTGCCCAAGCTTCTCTCCATAAGCTTGGTGAGCTTCCTCCCGTTGACGACAGCTCTCCTGACTCCCTTGCCACTTGAGTTCCAGGATACCACTGCGCAATGGGCGTATTTATCCTACGAAAACCCCTCGTTTGCCGTACTTGCAGGTGAATTCAACCGGTCTGCCTTCGTCGCGCAAACCAAAAGCGTGACATCTGATCCCGAAGTAACCAAAGCGTAGGTTCAATCTCCGTTTCCCTATCTAGTTTGTGCGATTGTTAACGCCAATCAACAGCTTGGAATATCTCAACTCCACAGACTTCGTCGCGTACGACGAACGATTCTTCGATTTGATCGGTCCCGAGGCAAGCATTCGCCGGTTACACGATCTCCCGTTCCAGACTCATGAGGCGCCGTGCTATAACCCGTCGACCAAGGAGCTCTTCTTCATCGAATGGGGCCCTCCGGGGGGCGACGACGGTTCTCACGATTGGCAGTACCTCCTGAACACGGAGACTAATGAGCTGCGCAAGATCTCTACCAACCCACCCATTCACAACGTGCACGGATGCGCATTCCACAATGGATTGTACTATGTCGTGACGGATGGGAGCCACAATCAGACTGCGTCGCTGAATAGAATCAATCCAGACACTCTGGAGGTGACTACGTTGCTTAATAACTACTACGGGTTGCCATTTCAGGGATTCAACGACCTTGACATCGACTCCGACGGCAATTTCTGGATCACCGATGATCATTATGGCTGGGTTCGTTCAATGCCGCTGTATACGCACTCATATCCCCACTAACCGAATGTGTAGGGACGAGGAGTCGTACCTTTCACACCACCTGTCCTCTCTACCGTCTATTTCGTCAACGGCACCACGCTCCGTCCGAGACCCTTCCACGTCACCGAGAACCAGGCCAACGGTATTGCGTTCTCCCAGGGCCGCGACGGCAAGGCGACCATCTTTATTTCCCACACGGGCGCCGTGTCCCCGGACAAGAGCCACAGAGAATACCCTTTCCGACCCCGGACTCTGGAAGCGTATGATGTGTCGTACCCGGGTGCATGGACGAGCGGCCATCGGCTCGTCAGCGTTCCTATCTCTTTTGTCTACGACGGTATCAGAACCACCAGGGGTGGCTGGGTCCTCGCCGGTGCGGGAGAGGGCGTAGATATACTCGACCCTCAGACCGGGCTGGCGTTGGGGACTATTCGCGTGGGCGGGGGGGACTATGTAGCGGTCAATACGGCCTTGGGAGAGAAAGAGCTGTGGATTGTTGGCGCTGGGGGTGTGTGGCATGTAACTGGCTTTCGTGAGACCCTCACAAGGGGCTTTTAGATGGCCTCCACAAGGACAGAGTGCTGGCTTCAGTTGGGATATTTTTTAGAGAGCAATGGGGCTGGTGACTTATCAGATATTTTTATGTGTGACCTAACAAAAGCTTGTAACTGACCCCTACACTATTAGACCTGAATAGGACACTACTATCTGATGCTGCTTGAAATGAGTAGATGTGTAATATGAATATTCACACCCTCTGTCTATGGTATACCTCAACATTTTTGTCAATTAACATAGTATGGGAGCGGGAATAGCCTAATGGAATGTGATCCTAATTTCCTTATAGATTCACTTGCGAGTTGTGATCCATAAGTGCGAGGAGTGCAGCATCAGAGCGCGACTTCCACTCAGCCCACGAAACCCAAAATCCAGAGCGACAATCAATCATTTTCTTTTGTGGTGAGTATATAGGGCTAGGAACATGTAAACAATTATCCCTGGGAATTCTTCCGATCAACCATCTATATATCTTTTTATCGACAGCGCCCATACATGTCTATATTTTAATCCACCATCCTCTCTTTGTCTTTCGCTGTCGAGTCAGTCTCGCCGCGAAGATAAACGCCGCTCCAAGCAGAAAACTAGTGCCCATGAGTATTTCAGCTCCAAGGTACCTGCCCCCTGTAGATGAAATAATCGCACCAGCGATCGGGTTCCCCGTGAGCGTTGCAAAACTGACAATGGTGAAGTTCATCCCGATGCGGGCGCCGCGCTTCGACAAGTCGGTCGTCAGACTCGACAGCCCTGCCGGAAACAGGCTCAAAATACCACCGGCAACGATGCCGTACACAACCGTCCACGCGTAGAGTTGACCGGGTGTGTGCACGGCGATCCACGAGTACAGCGCGATGCCGGCAATCACACACGTCGGGATCATCATATTGAGCGGCCCCACCCTGTCGGCGAAATGGTTTGGTATCATGCGGCCTACTACACCCACACCATTCAGGATCAAAAGGATGTTGAGGGAGTCGGTATAAGAGAAGTGAGGAGTTATGATGTCGCGGCTGTACGAAGCGACGTAGTAAAAGCCGAAGAACACCGCCCAGAAGTTCTGAGAACATTTCGTTAGTCGCCCCGTTTAATCAGCGAGCCAGGTGTCGGGGGTCAGGTACTTACAAAGAACATGCCAGCGGTGAAGAAGGTATACTCCAGCTCTTTGAATGCAACCCATTCCACGAGTCTGCCTGCCTTGCGTGGCGGCAATCGTGACCTCATGAAGGTAGTGACAAAGAGCAAGGTGGCCACCTGCACAAAGCCGATGCCTCGCAATGCCCAACCAATCCCACTAGAGGGTATAAGCTGTCTGGCCATCGCAGAAAAGACAAGGCCCCCTGTTACAGAGCCACATGTCGCAAAACCGATGGCGAGAGATCGTTTCTTCTCAAAATATGTAGAAACTACAGATACCGCTGGTGTGACCAGACAACCACTGCCGAGGCCACAGCAAATACCTTGCGACAGAACAAAGTGCCAATATTGCGTAGAGACTGAGGCAGTGAAGATACCGAGCGTGACCATGGCCGTGCCACAGACCAGAACATGGCGTAAATACCCACCATCTGTGAAGCGGCCGATGAAGGCGCCAACGAAAAAGCTCAGAAATACTTGAATCGAGCCGATCCATGAGATATCTGAAGGCGGCTTGTCCAGAAGTGTAGTGTAATATGTCTGAAAGACACCAAAGCTGTTAATGAAACCCCACGTATTCATGAAGAGAAAATGGCCGCAAAGTGCTGCAACGCACGATTAGCCAAACAGCATTTCTGTAGGATACCTAGAGAAAAGAAGCCACGCACCGCATAGCCATGCCTTCCAGCCTCCGTCCGGCGGTGGACCGGGTTCGTCATCGCTGTTCCTGGCAAGATGGTTTACAGTAGGATTTGCAGCAATGGAATTGGGGGGTTCCTCTGTGGCCAATTTTTCAGGGTCCAGTGATAAGGTCCAGTGTTCTTCACTGCTTGAGGAGCTGACCCCAGCGGAATCGTCTTCCTTCCCGTGTCTGGGTGACATCGCCAGCCTTCCTTGGAGATGCCTGATGCGTCCTAGGAGTAAACAAGTAGCAGAGAATGACTGAGTCCTAAATCAGGGCTTGTACCCAAAATGAACGATCACTTATTATTGTTGAAAAGCATCACTTGCCGCATACAATTTTTAAATTGCCCTGCTTTGGTTGGCTCGCACAGTTTCGGAGTTCCTGGTGAGAGCTATCCTCCGGCCTTATCCTCCGGAACCACAGGCTTATATTCGGCCCTTTCAGGAGGGACTTTATTATTATTGTTGTGATTATTCAACATTATCAGACATCGGCGACCAGTGGATGCGCTCCTTAATAAATACGGATTTTCAAGTTGACTGCGTACCATTGACACTTTTCACGCACCTTTCCATCCAGGAGAAATTGAGACTAAAATGCGAGTTGTAGCAAGCTTACAATGAGCTTTTTTTCCATTTCTCATTTAGCCATGATACTTACGTAGAACTAGGAAGGCTGACTCCCTATCTAATGGGACCCTCTACAATTAGCTAGCAATCGGTGGGAGTATCTAGTCAATGGAGGGCAGCGCTGGAGATCTTATAATCCCGATGATTCTCCTAGCCGCACCAATGCCGAAATTAACGCTTCAACTCCCTGTCGAGTAGTTAAACGGTTACATGCGATTCGAACACACTCTCCCGTCGAGTTATACGGAGCATAGTCGATCTTCCATCCGTGCTCTGTGAGATGCTCATACAAAACACGAGTGTTGTGGCTGTTGATGGCGGCCGTGCGAGCCACATCCGATGCTCCATTCTCTTCTCCTTTCGGTCTCCAATAGAAACAAACTTGAGCGAATACCTTCTCAATATCTCCTATCAACTCCAGTCGCGGATGAGCCTTGACGAGGGCGGCCAGGTGCCGTGCGCTGTCAACAGCCTGCTCAACTTCGCGGGCTATGCCTCTAGTTCCATAATAAATCCAATGTAGAAACAGCTTTGTTGCGTCGGACCGCCGAGAGCACTGTACCGTTAGAGAAGCCAAATCCCGGATATCAACCGCATCGGGAGCTTCTTCCACGAGCTTGGAGTTTCTCCAATCGTATTCGTTGTTGTTTCTATTTGTTCCATTTTCGGATATTTCAGATTCTTCAGCCGTTTTATCATGGAACAAGTATCCCGCGTTCAGTTTGTTGGCCAACCAAAAAGTCCGCAGATCGTTTGTTAGCAGGAAGGCACAAACAAGAGGCACACCCAGCATCTTGTGGGGGTTGAAGGCAATACTATCGGCCAGTTCAGTTCCTTTGATCAGATGTCTCAGGTTATCAGAGAATGCAACCGCCCCTCCCCAGCAGGCATCAACATGAAACCACGCGTTCGCCTTGCGTGCGATTTGCCCTATTTTGTCGATAGAATCAAAGGCGCCATTCACGGTATTACCTGCTGTGGCGTTGATGAAGAGCGGCTTTTTACCCCTTTGAATGGCATCGTCTACTGCGGCTTCGAGAGCCTCGACGTCCATTGTCCCGTCGTCCAATGCCGGCACACTGATAACCGAGTCGCTGCCGAGCCCCACGATCTGTGCCGCATTGGACACTGAATAATGGGCTGCGTCTGAGACAAAGATCACATATTTCCCAGGCGTGACACCCTGCTGCTTAGACTCCGGTGACACGATGTTGCGAGCAACTAGCAGGGCGAGCATGTTTCCCGCAGCTCCCCCCGGCACCGTAACGCCGCCAGCGTGTAGGCCCTCCAGGCCGAACAGTTTAGCCAACTCTCTGCTGACATGTTTTTCGACCGTCGTGAGAGCCGGTGATGCACGCCACACATGGCCATTGTTGTTGAAAATCGACAAGAACAGATCGGCGGCTGTTCCAGGCGGGGATGGCGCGGAGACCAACTTTCCCAGGAACCCGGGCGATGAGTTATTCACTGAATTCTTGCTGAGCAACGAGACTGCATTGCTGAATCCTTCCGAGCCAAGTCCTTCGTCTGAGCATTCGCGGAGAAGCTGTTCCAACTCCTCAGGCAGCTTTCTTAGGTCCTGCCCTTTCACAGGGCTAGGTTCTGACGCGCCTTCGGGAGTATGGAGTTTTGGCGACGTGATACTCTGAACGAGCTGCAGAAGCTATTTTTCTGACTGTTAGATTCTTGATTTACATGTTGAAGATGCATACTTACGTCTGCCAATTGCTTTTCTCGAGATGAACCAAGTTCGGTGTTTTTGTGGGCTGTCATCGTGTACGGATAACGCTTAAGGAGGAATTCAATGTGCAGAGGATTTTTTTGGTTGTATGTGACGATGTGGATCAAATCCGGAGCAATCTCACGATTATATTTATAATTATTATGCTAAAGTTACAAAGGTAAAGAGATACTTAAGAAGTTTTATATGTATAGATTATAGGGTATAGCATCAATCTCTACGGACCCCAAGTATCTTGACAGGCGAGAAGAAATCCAAGGAGACATGCAGTGGTCCAACAACGGAGTCATTAAACAGTAAAACGCAGCTTGTATTTGCTTTCACATTATTCCGAGTGGAATCTACAATAGGTTTTAGCATAACAGTGCTGCACCGCCGCCATTCCATCTGTTAGAGTGAGAAATGGACCGAGCGAATCAATAATGGTTCTCGGAGAGATTTAAACCCCCACTTTCGGAGGATAAATCTGTGAGATGAACGAATTAACTAGCGGCGATCAGTTAATTGTCCATAATTACATGCCATGCCGATCGTTTCTGCATTATTATCCCGATGCACGCTTACAGTGCCCACTTGGGCCAGACCTTTTGTTAACATTTCAATGCAGGAGGTGGAGTCAATTGACCTTGGCTTGTTCCTTCAGACATGCCCCTCATGTTCTCTCTCGTGAACATCATTCATGGACTCGTCAAATAGTGATTGATCACCCTCCCGGGCATGGTCCCTACAGTGACCGAATGATTACTTTCCACAAAACCGGAAGTCATCTTCTATCATAATGGCACCTGAGAATTGGCATCGCGGGGACTATCTCGTCTCGACAGACCCGGACCTGCTCCAGGTCGATGCCGTGAATGCCGCTCTAGGCTCTGAGATGGTATGGTGGGCTGGTGATCTGCCAGCCGCGGCACTTCAGGAAGCGCTGCACAGTTCACTCTGTTTTGGCCTCTACCAAAAGACACCGATAGAGACATCAAATGGGACAAAGACCTCTTCAACTTCAAATGGAGTCGAACAGTCTTCGAGTAAGTGGATTCCTAGAAACAACAAGCCTGCCATTTCTGGCTAAGACTGTTGCAATAGTCGACAAGACTCCCGCCGCTCTGAAGCAGATCGGGCTCGTGAGAGTCATCACGGATAACGTTACGTTCGCTTACCTGACTGATGTCTATATTCTGGACGGGCATCGGGGCGCCGGTCTTGGGCGCTGGGTACTCGAGATCTTGAATGAGAAGCTACGCAGTTGGCCGCATCTTCGCCGCGTGATGCTTTTGACGACGGACAAGATGCATCTTTTTAGCCGGAACTTGGGTATGAAAGACTACAGGGAGTTTGATGGCATGAAGGGGGTTTCTATCGCGATGGTTGAAGGTCCGGGTGCGCAGCATTGAGTAGTTTGAGTCTTCGTGTGTGCGATTGAGCATTTGTATATCCGTTTTAGATAGTAGCTAGGAAGATTCTACATTCAGGGTCATAAACCGTCATTTTTGTTTACAGAGTAATCGCTATTCAAACAGGAAGTAATATTTACAACTAGGTTAACAGCCTGAAAGGGAGGTCCACAACTGGGGTCGCGCACTTGATGGGAGCGTGATTGAGCTCGCTTGGCCATCATAGGATATGAGCATTAGAGCTTGAGCTATATCATTTTGATTCGTTGTAGCGTAGCAGTTGAAATCCACACACTACGCCAAATCCCAGCCTAAAGCCCATTGGGCACGCGTAAGACTTCGATCCCTACATTGCCTCATCGCTACGATGTCCTCTCGGGATTGCCGATTCCAATTACGTCCACGCTGATCCTAGACTAGATCAACTCCGGCTCTAAGCCCTCAAACTAAGTGATCCATTCAGAACGGAGAAATACCTCTGGATTACTGGCTACGATGAACTACTGTTAATAACTCAAACCACAAGTGGACAAGTTGATCTTACGTGGCTGGCGGCTGGCCGAGGTTCGGGGATACATCGAAAATGAGCGTAGTATCCCGCAGTGTGAAACAAATCGGAACCTCCTCTATTCCTATGGCCATCCTTTCATCCGACACCGGTTGGGATTTCTTCACGGAAGCAGAATCTCCGGTTACGATCGTCTCCCCGATGACAGGAAATCCTTGGCTACAAGCTCCGGAGGCCACCTAGCTGAAAAGGTGCTCAGCTGAAGAAATTCCAGCCTCGGTCGGCCAGAAACCGGACAAAGGTTTGAAGTCTATTGCTCCTAGTGGCGTGATTCAGATCATTGTATGAGAATCTAGACTTTTTTCGCAAGTGAGATCAACCACATTTCAAAGGATATAAGGGCGCTCCTGTTTGGTAAAGAAGAATCATTCTCGAGCATTACAAGCATCGGAAGCACTCGCAGTATCAGAATCCCTCTCATCAACCTTTTTTGCTCTTTATCTCCCTTCAGAATGACCGTTAGCCGTCCAGCTGAATATAAGGATGTCCGCACTGCGGACCTCTCCACTATCCAGTTCTCCAACCTTTTCGACAAGGACGAGGCGGAGCTGAAGAAGCTTCTCAAGGCTTGTGAGAAAGACGGTTTCTTCTATCTCGATCTCCAGAGCGAAGGCTCTGAGAAGTTCTGGAAAGACCTATACGAAATTGACAGCATCACCAAAGAATGGTTTTCTCAGCCAGCCGATGTGAAGTTGAAGACCCCCACCGTATCTCTCTCTCATGGGTGAGTTTTAGGACCTTACAACTGATCTTGACTGGACAATAAACTAAAGAAGCTTGGGAATCAGTTTCAAGGCCGTTGGTAACCAGTCGGGAGCTGTTGAATCGCTCAAAGACGGCTTCGAGGCCCTTAAGGTATGTCACTACTTTCTTCCGCATTATCAGACCCATCTGTAACAAAACTAGATTGGAAAATTCGAGCTGGATGGCCGATGGGCGCTTCCTTCCGTTGCACAGGACAACCTGGTCTTGTTCGACCAATTCACTGCCGCTTGCCATTTCATCTCGAAGCTGTTGCTCGACTGCATTTCCGATGAGCTAGGCCTCAAAGGAGACGCTCGCCTGGAGACCTACCACCGTGACGACTGCCGCTCCAAGAGCACCCTTTACTTCCTTCACTACCCTCACGGTGCTCAGGACCCGAGCCAGGTTGGCCAGAATATGCACACTGACATCGGTTCCCTCACCATCCTTTACGCGCCGCAGTGGGGCCTCCAAGTCTTCTCGCCCAATGACGGAGCCTGGGAATACGTCGAACCGCGACCAGGCCATGCTATCGTCAACGTCGGCGATACCCTGCGGTTCCTTTCGAACAAACGCCTTCGCTCCGCACTGCATCGCGTCTTGCCTCTGGGCGGAATCCAAAAAGAAGACCGCTACTCTATCTCGTACTTTTTGCGGGCGTCGGACTCCACCGAGTTCAAAGACAGCGACGGCGATGAGTCTAGCGCTAAACACTGGTACCTGAAGAAATACGAGATGTATGAGCTGCCCCATGCGATCCAAAAGGAAAAGACGACACTTTCTGGAGGAATGGCCCAGGAACTACTTGCCTCGTTCTAGATGTTCTGCCGTGGAATAAATCGATTTAGTGCTGTTCTTCTTGTTTCCCCCCAGTTTCTATCAAGCCGTTCCCTTTCCACTCAAAAAATTCTCCGTTATTAGTTAGCATAGCTTTTGAATCTACTTGATTTGCAACCAGATTCATGCATCAAGGCATGGCCCAGTGTAACGCAATCTTAATACGAGACAAAAAAAGGAATGATTTTCTCACCGACCAAATAGAGTTGATTGGCGAATCCCAAAGCCCTAGGCAGCCGCGGGTTCAGGGTCCCAAGGAATCACTGCAGCAATAATTCGTACATTAGTATGAACTATAAATTAGGATTTTTGTTAGTAGAAATGTAAACGGCGTCGACGAAATTGAAATATGCAACCAATAACGTATGTGAATGATTTTAACATATACATTTAGGTGTTTCTCTATGACAATATTGCTAAATTAGTATCGAAGCCGAATCCGAGATTTATTTTGACAACATCAACCGAGAAAATATACAACCCGCGGGGCAATACAAGAAAGATAATGACTAAAGGTGAGACTGTTACAATTTATATTTACTATATTCTATGCAAAATAGTAGTGTCGTTGCGTAGTATTCCTGTCTTGTACTGTATCACCATAACGGTACGACCATGCCTTGCCATGAAGTTGCTGAAATCACGACACTAGTAGGAAGCAACAGTTACATTGTGACAGCCTGAGGCATGCTCTGTGGTTTGCACCGTTTGCCTGTAGCTGGGTCTTTCCCTCTCACGGGCCTCGCGTCCCCACCTTCTTTCTTCCCCCTCATTATTACAATTCTGCATACGATAGCGCCATTATAATCAGTATTGAAAAGGCCGTCACAGAAATATGCTTACGGTTTGTGAGAACAAGGGTATACACTGCGAGCCGAGTCAGTCATGGAAATACTGATTGCTACTCAAGTAATTCTATTCTCGTCATTTTATCTTTCAATGCTTCTATAACCCCCAAGGTCTTGGTATCATCCGTTTCTTCCAAGCATGATCCTTTCAGCGCTGCCAAGATCGACTCCCCCTGTTTCCCACCGAGGAGCCCTGGTCTCCGGGAAACGCTATCGCAATTTGGCTCCTCTGAGACGCAGCAATCCGGAGGAAGCCCCAATGCAAACTCAATGGGTCGTATTTTAAGCTGCATGAGTTGTACAAATAACCGACCAAAAACATTCTTTGGAGATGGGACGACGAATCCCCCCAGCGAAATATTTGGCGTGGAAGTCAGAATGAAATCTCGCACCACGGGGTTGCTGGAGGCCTGGTCGAGGACGTAGGAAAAGATGCAATCGTATATCAGGACGAGCTGCAGATAACAAGACATAGCAGTTAACGAATAGGAGACGTTCATTTCCTGTTGGAATCCGGGTGTTCTGCCCCCCTCTTGGTGGGTCAGCCTACTTCTTACGATACTGAGCAGCTGCTCAAACTCGGAGATGACCTCGAATGTGCTGGAGAGCGGGTTGAATTCTCGGCTTCCGTCGCCTGCCTGTCGTTGGCAACTGCATGGGCTGCAATCCAGCTTCATAACCGTTGTGATGTCCCATGACACTGACCGGAGCAGAAATAGTTGTTTTGAGAGCTGCTGTTGCAGTCGTGGTAGTTGGAATCCAGGGTCGTAGGTTTGGTCCAGCAAGTGAAACGATGAGCATCGACTCAACGCACTTGAGTCGCTTGATGAGCCCCATAGAAAAGGAAAGTCAGTCGCTGGGTCGGGGTACTTAAGTCGTGAGTCTGCAAAATCTTGGATATACATCGGGGGGGAGACGGGCGAGAAGAGCGTAGCAGGGTCACTTCCGCCGCCATCCAAAGAGGTGGAAGCCATCCCAAAGAGATCTTCCGGTAGGATTGATCCATTCCCTGCGACAAATCCGGATTCGATTGCCCTACCGCTGTCCAAGCTTTTGGTTCGAGACTCTTGAGGCTCCCGGGTGGAACAGTGCTGGCTTGAAGGATTATTGCGCCCTGCTGGGCGGCCCGGTGTCTTTCGCAGACTGACAATGCACTCCGCCTGAGCTTGTAGGCATCTTACACAAGGCTCGAAATTATTCTCGTCCCTCCGAATACATTTGAGTTTCTGGTCCCGGCAGCGCTCGCAGGCCAAACGTCGCTTCGACATGTGCCCTGATGGATCTGAGTGGTCTGTCGCCAGCATCGGATCGACCAGTATGATCGGAAAAGAAAAACAAAAAAAAAGGTAAAATTTTGTATCTTCGACTCAGAATATTGGAAGGGGCTTGCGCCCAGGATTGATAAATCCGAATGAGACGTCGACATACCCATGAATCGCAATTGACGCGGTCCGATTTCCCAGCATCTTTATAGTATTGGCCCTGCCTAACGATTGAGTCAGGGTCTGCACGCCATACAGCCCATGTATTCCATTATTGCGTACGACCTACGAGAAGTGGCAATGGTTCAACAGTTGCTTACGCGCTTCGTGAGCACTAACCGAAGGGGGAAAAGATTGTGAATGAAAAAAAGGAGCGATCCTACCTAAAACAGCCGAATCGACTGCAGCTCGTATCCCCGTGCGGAGTTGCAGTGGAAGCAGTAATATGGCGCGTCTGACGGCGCCAATGTGACCCCAGAAAACACAGGGCCCCATGGCTGCATGTGGTTGGATTCTGCAATAAAAAGTGTCATCAAATGTCGAACCGAATACGATTGGCAGGCCGTTCCCATATCCTGGTCATTACCAATCTAAGCTAAGCGCTAGTTCTCTCGCAGATGATCTGCCTAGATTGACTTTGGCAGCTTGTGCCTTCGCCCATTCTTGGCCCGGGGTCCAGATGAGTCCATCGACCATTCCCTGCTAGGTCCCGAGGCGGCTACTCACAACAGGTAGCTATAGGCGAGATACCCAAAACAATTGATTGCCTGCAAGAAAGTACGACTATGTGGTAGGCCCACAACAGCGACTTTTTATACTTAGTCGCTCGGATCCGGAAGACCAGCGGCAACCAGCGAGCCAACGGGCGAAGGATCCGGCTGCGAGCCGGCCCGGGATCCACTTATCCAGTGGTGGCGTATTCTAGGGCTTCAACAGGACGTACTACCTGCCATATGTTGGTTTGGAGCTGAAACCTGAAACCTGAAAAGAATGGAATTCATGTCTTCAAGCCTAGCCAGTTTTGGAACGATGGAATCTCCAACTCGGCATCCACTGCGAATCTGGGAGGGCCTGAGCGTATTCGCACGGCTCTTGGCGAAGATGATCAATGATCGTCAGAGAAGACTTTGTGGGAATGTGAGTGGGCAAGTGGATGTAATTGGGGAGAGCGATTTGGGGCTAGTTTTAGATTCTATATCGAAGGATTCATTGATCTTCCGCCTTGCGTGTGCGCCTCCAATATGGTGTGCTAGGTAAGACGCCCGCGTTTGGAGTAACCTCCTCCTCGTCCACAAAAGTCCACGGCCAACGGCCCCGCCGGTCCACGTGCATCTATTGACCGCTCTCATGCCGATTTCCCCTTTGGGGCAAGCGAATGAAGGTCTGCCTAGGCTGAAGAAAATTGCGATGTGCCGTTAGCCGAGTCGACCTCAACATCTTCCTTCAAGACACAGTCCGTCGGCTCAGAAGGTATGCGGTATACCGTATCTCTTGGTGCCAATGCAGGGCCTATTCTAATTGTGTATCTGCACTATTACTGCCTGGATAAGGGCCGGACTTGTGCAACAGCAGTAGTGTAATATTGCACATTTTTGCAAGGCATAACTCTGTGATTATATATTTATGTCCTTGGGGTGTTACCCTGTGCCCAATGTCACAGTGGGGTTGCTCTCTGCCCTGCCCGGGCTTAGAATGTATTCAAAGCCTCTATTCAATTGGTTATATCTTATACATAAAGCAAGTATGTTATACATTAACAAATAGACTATTGAATCTTCATTGCTGTTGAGATATTTGATTTTGGCTATTTTATATGGAATATAGAGGTGGGATGCTCGCTGGTGAAATACGCTATCACGAATATAGTAGCTACTAGATAGTACATGCTCTTAACATTCGAGCAGTGAAGCGTATCACCGAGTCGTACCTTACTTTACTGATGTGTTTTCTACAGTTCAGTGGATTTGTAGGGTATCTCTATACTTTATTCTCCGTCATCGATGAGAATATTCAGGGCAATGGGTGTGTACTGTGCACTGAGCACTGTATGATTCTGTCTAATATTGTACCCAAAGTACCCACAACTGTAGAGTTTTCGAGAACAAGGCTTCGATAATTTACAACTTGAAGATGATAGTCAATGGAATGGACGCTGTCACGTTGTACAGGCTTAGTTACTCTTAGTGGGTGCTGTAAAATAAGAATTAATAGCTAAAATACCATTAATAATACTCTTCTTTCCAGTCAAAACTCGATATCCACAAGGTACAGGGTCTACCCTCTATTTTTATACTTTTTTGAATGCCATTTAACTTTATCTTCTTTTTTTTTTTTTTTTTTTTTTTTTTTTGAATACTCCTATATTAATCCCCTTGCCATCCCAGGACAAGAAAGAATTGTTCTTACTGTCCCTTGAAATATCCTAGAGCGCTGCATCGCCACAAGATGATCTTTGGATGCACTCGGGGCCCTCCGAATGCCATGTTTATCTCCCATCTTAAAAAACAGAGACGAAGCGATGGTGTGTTGGTGTGGATGGACGGTTCAACTGACTCGGGAATGACAGCTGCTAAGCCAAGCACCTTCTATCGGTCAACAGAGTAAGGCACAAAGAGCAAGTAGGAAAATTAGGGTCAATATTATGAAAAGGTACAACGTAACACCAAGCAAAAAGCAAAGAAGTATGGTCTAGCGTTTCTGTGCCAATGTATAGGTTTGATATGTACGGCGCGTCTGCACCGCCGGGGAATCGGGATTGTACCAAACGAAGCCATTCATATCACTTCTGCTCTTAATAAAGACACGTTGCCTTTTAAGAGTCCGATAATATCGGCTGCATTAAGAAGTCATCGTGTGCCAGCTCCTCCGCACTTGGTCGCTCTTCAGGTAACCAACGAAATATCCTCCGGAGGAAATTCAGAAAGAGCTTTCGATCTATATCAGAGAATTCTCGTTCTCTCATCTCCAACGATTGGTCAGGTATTAGAATCGACCCCGTCCAATTGCCTATGACGGAGTAGAATTTTTAACGTTATGTAATGAGGTAAAAGTAAAGGGGATGTCGGAACAAGTCATACCTTGCTCGTCCCAGAACTGGCTAGATCTCTTACTTCTTCTGAGGAACTCCGGGGGTGGAGGTCCCATAAGAGATACCATTTCTGCTAGGTGCTGCTCATCATTGAGCTGGCCTTCCCTTTTTGCGAAGAAAAGGTGGGTATCCTGCACCAAATCCCAGATCTAGGTTCTCACTCAGCATTATACTTCAACTTTCTTAGAATATTAACAACTCACCATCGGTCCAGTAGACCAAATATCGACCTTACAGTCCCAGTCCATATCCAGAATCACTTCTGGTGCCCGATAGATTCCCGGCATAATATCACCTCTATGTTTATGTTTCCCCATCCTAGCTTCGCCGAGGTCGGAAATAACTGGTGAACTAGTACATACAGGTATGGGGCGGGAGGAATATATATGACGATCATCTAACACTTTCCTGGCAATCGGTCGCATCATCTCGTCCTCTTCAATCTGAGAGAGAATTTTACTGTCCATAATCCCTTGGAGTATATTATTAGATGAGACATCTGCGGCTTCGTAAGCTTTTCGTGCATTTGAATTTCCTGAGATGTAATATTAACTTGCCAGTATGGACCACCCAGTTATCATGCATAAATGCTAGTGAGATTAAAAAAAGTTGGATACTTCTCTGTGCAAGATCTTTCGGAAATTTGTTCCCGGGGAGTAAATCTCGGAATTCGGTAAAACTCATTCCAAGTGATTGATAAACCAAGCAGAAGTGCTTTCCATAAGGACCGGTAATTTCAAATGAATCGAGAACTAAACGGACTAGACTTTTCTCAGGGTGGCTATCAGCATTCTTTAAATGCTGCGAGGTAGCTAATTCGCGCTCGGGGCATTGTCCACGAACACAAACTTTCACGGTGAAGAAACCATCCCCTCTGCAATTGTTAAGCTGGGCAAATATAATACCGAGTAGGGATATCTTACTGAAGATCACGGCAAAGCCAGACTGTGGAAGATGTGCCATATCCAAGCTTTGAAACAACCTGGTATCGAGATGCTAATACTTCGCCAATATACACAGGATAAAAGTTACGTCGATCATACAGGGGAACCTGTTCTTCTTCTACTTCTTCTTTAGAGTCCAGTTGCACAAAACCAGACTTGGGGAACCGTCGCGGGGAATTCGAAGGGATGCAGGCTATGGTTCTCATCGACATGCAATGAAATGGAGCTATGGTCGATTTTCGAGATGTATTCATACAAGCGAGACATATTACTCTGAGGCTTGCACGATGTAGACACATGGTAGTTATGTTCTGTTCTCAGATTAATCATGGAATATCTTTGCTTTGAAAGAAGGCCAGCTGCGGCTCTCACGCTCAAGGTAACAAGGTAAACATTCAACTGGAATGTCACGCTAGTCCAGAAGAGGTGTAGGCTTCTGATCCTGAATGAGTTTTAGTCATACCCCAGGTTTTGGATCTGGATGCATTATTCTCCAAGTAGCAATGAAGAGAAAAAGTATTTTGAAAACTCTGTAGTAAGAGGACAATTCTTGTATTTAGAAGGGTAAACGTATTTATAATATAAAATATCGATAGATTATAACTTTTCCGGAGTCCCAGCATCAGGGATCCACAACATCACCCTTATTCTAAAAATTGATGGCTCCACCACGCCCTGCCAGAGGATGCACGGGGGTACCAACACTCATATTACGGTTGGGGTATCGCTATGAAATAGACTAGGAAAGAGTTACTCGAGCCCAAGGAACTTATGTGCCTGGTCTTCGTAAAATGTATACCCTGGTTTATTGAATAACGTAGTTTGCACCGACAGGGGTGTTCTAGACTATCTAGAACAAATGTCATAAGGTTGAGCAGCTAGATAGATCAAGTACAAGTATTCCCCTGAAGCCTAAGCTATTCTTCTCTGAGTCATAGCATTGTCGTCGGCAGTATCACCGATATTCCCTCCTTCAGTTTTCTGCACTGTTCAGATCAGACTCCCATCTGCCGCTTTAGGCTTTGGTGGTATCGCAGCAGCACTTCTGGGCGAACATATAGCAACCGTCATCGGTCATATGGGAGAACTTGTAAGGCGCGCAGTACTGCTCGCATTTGCCAGCCCAGAACTTGCTGCAGGAGCTGGGCTTGTGGCAGGTGCCGGATCGGGCCGCCAGGTTGTTCTCGAGATTCGCCTCGGGATGGGCGAGCACACCGGCGGCGACGGTGGCGAGGACGAGGAGGAAGTTGGTCTTCATCGTGATCTGAGATGAATGGAAGGAAGGATATGTATGATCGTTTAAGATGATGTTGTGGATTATTGTTGGTGATAGTTCGAGTAGAGCTTAAACTGGACTTGATAGTGGGAAGGGAAAGGAGGTCAGATTTATACCCGAGGTGAATAGGTCATTTACAATCGAGTCTTGCTTCCACCCCCATTTTCAGGATTCAAATTTACGAGAGATGCCCATAATTGTTGGGGAAATTTCCCGCGAGCCCTTTAAATCTTCCGCTTTATGACTATCATGATGCGTATCTAGTGATCGGCGTGTCAATTCGGCCTACCATGAGTAGACAGAATACTCACCCGCGGTCCTCCTCTCCACAAGCGAAGACATAGCATGACTAGTCAGGAACCTAGGGGTATCTTTTTCCTGAAACGGTGCAGTAACTGTGGGGGGCCAAGCGATGCCTTTTCGTATCGACGGATGAAAAAGTGGACGCGACCCACAATCTTGTCAATCAGTTCGTGTTCACAGAGTCAGTGTAGTTCAATTAAGACTAAGCCACATTTCTTGCTTCGGCTAGGCTATATGAACTTTCCCAGATATCTGAGCGTCAGATTGTCTAGGTGCCAAGGCACGCTTGCGCAAGGAAGGCTCAGGTGGTCGTCAGGGTGGTTTTAAGGCAGTGGGAAATTGAATTACGTTTGACCGAGGGTTTAAACGCACAAGATCGTGAACGTAGAAGATGCACTGGATCCCAATTAGCTTTCAATAGACTGTGCAGTTGGCATGGCAGGGTAGCTATCCGTCTCGATGGAATGGGAAGAACCCTATATGGATTAGGCGACCTTCGGCGGGCATGCCAGCGGATGGGCATGGAAAGATCGGCTCATGCGGCACAAGTGGAGTCCAATCCAGTAAAAACCTTCACTAACTTCCCCTTTGCATGTACAAGTATGGATGAGTACAGCCAAGCTGCCACACTTGTAACCTCGGTGGATTTGCCTTGGGTTTCCGTGATTCGATGACAGACAAATATCTGGACTGGTATCTTTCCTGACATCTGGGTCTCTCAATCGCTCTCGCTCCCTGGCTCTCTCTTTGTGTTTCTTACGATCGCCTGTTAAATTAGCATCGTGTACCTTTCGTTGACATAGCAGGGATCCCAGCAGATAAATCGCATTTTCTTGACCGACTAATCAGACTTTCAGACGATTTAGATATCTAGTGCGAGTGAGATAAGGGTATATTGCAGCATTGACCTATGCCAAAGGTTGATTAATCCAGTTGAGTAACCGACCACATTTCTGAACAACAGTGCAAAATCCAATACAAAGATAATATAACGGGAAGATGATGAAGCTACTGAGAGGTATGCAGATATCAAAATGCCGAAATACTTCTGAGGTCAAAAGATAAAGCAGCCAACCCCGTGCTGGCAGAGCTTCCCTTAGCCAATGCTCATGCAATCGGAATAACATGTGTCGCAATCTGAAACTCGATGAGCCAGAGATACACTGCAGTGATGAGAGTCATGGTTTCCCATTTTTCTCCCAAGACGCCGGTAAGCCCGCTACCCACAAAAGCAAACTTGAATCCTTTCGACAGACTCAACGATGCATTGTGGGCGATGACAGCCACAATCTCCTTCCCATCACTGGAACACCCCATCGCTCGCTGGGAGCGACTCCCGCCTGTCTCACTCACCGTTTCCGACAGTCGCACCAGCTTCCAACCCGTTGTGTGGCCGGCGAGCTCCTTGATTTCTTTACCATGGCTTGAGCGCCACTGAAATTGTTCACAGGAGGCGTCTTTGCCGCTGCCGCCAACCGCGATCGAGAATGTCGGGCTCATGCGTTTGTATGGCTTGACACCCTCTAATGGTTCTACAATAGAGTTTTCTTGAAGCTCGCCATGCGATGCAAAGGTCACCGAGATTGGCTTTTCTCGGAGATATGGGTCACTCTGCAGTGATGCCAGAGGTGGATGCTTATCGGTCGGCCCGTCGTGAAGGATCATCGTCTGTATGCTCTTACGGTGCTGAACATCTATCGACATAAAGTACAGCTTCTCTGATGCCGATGGCCCCAAATGCAACTCCGGAGTGAATTTCATTGGCATGTAGCCATTCATGGCCGGTGGGAATTTGCTAGTTGCAGCTTGCAATCTTGTTGAGTCACTGGTCGAGCTATTGAAATGGGGGGCCTCATATTGCGGGGCCTGCTCTGTAGATACCGTGCTGTGATCATGTTCTGAGTAGGGGGGAGGCAAAGAGTCGTAGACAGCCGGACCCAATGATGGGGTGTTATGCTTGCTCATTGTGTAAGTAGCAGAAATTTGTGGTTACTGGAAGGATAAGCAGGGGAGGACGATGTGCTGTTAGTCGAAACCTGATGGATATCTTGATTCTCGTATAAATTCGTGCCCTAACCCGATTTGGATGCATGTAGCGCCAGCCAGCCTGACGATGGCATATCGTGGCAGTGCTGCCCAAACAGCCTCCTGTTTCCTTCCAGCTGAAGATAGCTTGGCCATCGCTCCATCCCTTTCTGGTTTAGCGCCCACTGCTGGTCTCTACTGTCTGATTGGTCGAATGGAAGTGCATCCCTTCGGACGAGATTCCAGGGTCAATCTTGGGAGAAGATAGGACGCTTCAGCCCTATATGATTGAGGCGTTCGAAAATCTTATCGCACAGCCTGAGCTATTCTTATGGGCCCTGGGAGCCATTAAGTGTCGGGCATCCTGTCTATATAATACTTTCTTGGGTCCCCCTGCACTCTCTGGTTCATCATACTCCTCAGACATAACTGCTTCGACTTGGTTGCAAGAAAAAGACTCTGTGACAATGGCTGGTAAGCAAGTTTGTATCCTTTTGCAAATAATCTTGTGTCATTAAAAACGCACTAGCGGAGGAGAGCATCTACATCTACGTACCCAACAAGATAGCGCCTATTATATTCGCCATAGCATTCGCTGCCTCGCTTGCTCTACACTTCTGGCAGTGCATGTAAGTGACTAAAGTCTCGGGATCCTCGCATTCGTTGGTATGGAATTGCTAACAGTCTAATGATAGCCATTACAAATGTTTCAAACTCATGAGTCTGCACCTCGTGTGCTGCTTGATGTTTACAATTGGGTTTTCGTTGCGTGAATATGGTGCCTTTCACCATTCATTCAGCAAGGCAGATCTATATACCTACATTGCTAGCACATGTTTGATTTATATATCCCCGTAAGACTACCTCTTATCATAAAAGGTATTAATTTCGAGCTAACATACATGGGAAGACCGCTCCTGGAGCTAGCCAATTACCAGGTCCTCGGTCGTATTCTTTACTATGTTCCTTATCACTCGCCGATCCACCCCGGTCGGGTCTTGACTACCTTCGGCATGCTATCCACCGTCGTGGAGGTCTTGAACGCTCTGGGCGTATCCTACATTGCGAATCCAGAGCTGCCAGAATCTACCACGAAGCTCGGCCATATTCTCATGAAAATATCACTCATAGCCCAAGTCCTGGTCATTACAGCGTTCTGTTTCTTAGCAGCAACCTTCCAGCGACGCTGCTACAGATCGGGCATTCGCACTCGCCGCATCTCCACGCCTCTCGTCACCCTATATATCAGTACCTTCCTTATTTTGATACGATGTGTTTACCGTATCGTCGAGCACTTTGGTGCCTCAAAGGTCCACGCTTCTTCATCGGGAGAACTTGAAGATCTCAGTCCTATTCTGCGACATGAATGGTTTTTCTACGTCTTCGAGGCGAGCCTCATGCTTGTCAACACCCTCATGTGGAACTGGCGGCACCCGAGAAGATTCCTCCCGGCGAGATCCAACATCTATCTTGCACAAGACGGCGAGACAGAGCTCAAGGGACCCGGCTGGAAGGACCATCGCCCGTTCCTGGTGACGCTGTGTGACCCGTTCGGTTGGTTTGACTCGAACCAGAAAAAGGAGCGGCCTTTTTGGGAGAGCAATGGGTATACACTTGTCAATAGTGCAGCATGATATATTTGGAGGGTTCTATGCTCAGAGTTGGCGTTCCTGGTGTCGATCTAGTGAGTTATTTTTAGGTCCTGCTTTTCGTGGGTTAGTTAATATGCGTGCGCGTGATTAACATCAACCAACAAGGATTTAGAGGCTAGGGGAACACAGGGTTTTATAGATATTGGGACCAGTTCATTTTAGCTGAAATGCATTTGACTGCCTAATGCTATCAAATCTGATTGCATGAAAATATCTTCCTCTTTGGTTTTCTTTTCTAAGTTGAATTGACAAGTTTTCTTTTACGTCTGTCCGGTCCTATAAACATACCAAGCCAAATACAAGACAGGGTTTGGTAGTTTTTGCTGACTTATATTGTGCAGGGATGTCTGTGAGACTCTATGCCTAAATACTCCGAAAAAATCCTTTCCTTTAGGGTTGTTAAGGGAAATGGATTGCTCTTAATGGGTGCACTGTTCCCTTCTACTCGACGGCCGCAATGAATCGAATGTTAGATGGAAACTCCGTCACTATTTCTTGCGAGATATTTCGGTGAATAGTGGCAATGAAATCACCTAGAATCAAGTATTTAAAACCGGACGAGGGGCAATACTATAATCGTACGCATGAGGTTTCACGAAGATAGGCCTGAGGAACACCGTCCGATCACCTTCACCGCATAGGTATCCTTTGAGCGTCCGGGCTTCACAACTAATACCCCCGTTGAACTACGCACTCTTTCCGCGATGTACGATATAATGGTGGTCCTGACCTTTCTCGTGGTCTTGATTGCAGGCGTATTCGGCTTTGTGCCTGAAAAGGGTGGCTTGCAATACGAACGCCTGGTAAGCAATGGTTGTCATATTGAACGTTCAACGGTGCTAACTATCCTACTTTCACAGACTAACCCGATCCCACTAACTCATGACCTCAGAGATTCGCAAGCTGTCAATCGGGCAGCAACCAATTCGTGGTGGTCATCATCCTTCGTCCACGCATCAGACGACCATGAATACTTGATCGTTGCCCACGTCGTTTTGCGGGATCTGAATGTCTCGACAGCGCTACTGCGTGCCTCTACCCTAGACATCAATGACACAGAATATTACCGACAGGTCAGTTGGCTATACAACGGATCTAGTAGGCCTCTTCACGCACACAATGAGCCTCCTGGCGTGGCTACGAAATATTTCGGATTTGTGTCTGTGGATCCAGACAATCCTCTGGACAGAATGCGTATTTGGTGTATCACTGAGCGCGTTGAGTTGAACCTCACCTTTCAGTTGTCTGCTCCTGTCATCTTGAATGGAGGTACTGGGACATTTCCGTTTGGCGATGAGGCTACGTTTCAATGGTCAATGCCTGCCGGGATTACCGATGGTCATTTTACTGTCAATAGAAAGTTTCTCACTATTGACTCTGCTCGCTCTTTGACCTGGTACGATCGTCAACTCATGTGGCCGACGAGTGGACCGTCGAAATCGAACTGGACGTGGTTTGAAATACACCTCAGTGAGCAGACAATGTCTATCTGGGCTTGGGATACCGTTGATGGACAGCGCGTCCGGTTTGCAACGGTCAGGGGTGAGCCAGGAATACACCAAGTGCTTGCCGTCACTGAGTTCACACCGTCAAGCCGCCAGTGGACTTCCCCCTGTTCTAAGGCTAGCTATTCTCTTGATTGGGTTGTGGCTCTGGCTGATGGAACAACGCTGGAACTATCCAGTGTTCGCGATGACCAAGAGTTGTGCGACGAGGAAGGAACTATTGCAACGTATGAAGGATACCTTAACGTGGCCGGCACCCGGGGTGGCCACCCTATTTCCGCGTACGGGTTGGTTGAGATAGTGCCAGCAGGCATGATAAAGAAGCCAAGTTGACTTTCAACACCATAAGGCTTTCGGAGCTCAAGATTTTGACCAGTTGACTTTTCAAACATTCAAGACTTGCCAGGGAATATTCGACTTTCGTTTCAAGAGAAGTACTTTCACGCCATGGTCCATCGCGTATTATCAGTGCGGACAGCTGGGATAGGAACCTACGAGCCTCTCAGAGTTAGATACTGCAGTTCTACATATTCTCATGAGATTGATTTTATTTAAAACATACATACCACGTGGAATTACAGTATCTTAACCAGTAGAAGAGGTGATGCCGCCATCCACAACAATCTTCTGCCCGGTAATGTAGCGAGCTGAATCCGAGAGCAAAAAGGCAGCGCAGTTGGCAACATCGAAAGAGTCGCCCATGCGACCCATTGGAACTGCCTTGTTTCTTTTCGCAATGAACCCTTCCAAGTCCCCACCTGCATACTTGTCTGCAAGGTAGCTGACCAATGGTGTGTGCATCAGCCCTGGTACAACCACATTGAGACGGATGTTGCGATTGGCGTAGATTACAGCCGTAGCTTTGGTGAACTGGATGACAGCGGACTTGGTGGCGGAATATGCAACCTGGGGCTTTCCAATATACCGAATTCCGGCAACCGAGGCAACATTGACGATGGCACCGCCGCCTTGCTTTTCCATGATCGGGAGAACTTCGTGGCAGCAAAGATAGACCGACTTGAGGTTAATATCAGTCTGGGCGTCCCTATACCCCAGAGAGCATTAGACCCACAATATTCCTTCTCACAATCTTTCTGTATATACTTACCAGACTTGCTCTGTCATCTCAGCCGGACCACCTGGCTCCGAACGCCCAACATTGTTGATCAGGATATCGATGCGCCCGAACTTTGCAACACATTCCTCGACCATCCGTTTCACATCTTCAGAGGATGTAACATTTGCTGTCGTTACCTCACACACGCCGCCCTCGGCCTCGATACGCTGTTTGGTGTGCAAGGCAGGCTCGAGGTGTAGATCGCAGCCAAAGATTTTGGCACCGTTACGACTCAAGACTCGTGCTGTTGCGGCACCATTTCCCCACATCTGGGGGTCCCCCATTTGGCCAATGCCAGTGACAAGGGCAACCTTGCCCTTGAGTTCGGGGAACGTACCGATGTGGTCCGTCATGACTGGACTGGTTATATCTGTTTTGATCAAGAGGAATATTGAGGTATATCAACGGACGGGGCGGGGCATTATATAGAGCCATTTCCTATATGAGGAGGGAAGACGATCTTGGCCTAATAGAAAGATCTACAGGCATGTATATGTCACAAATCATACTTGTGGCAGGTAAAATCCATCTTCTCCGCCAACTCGGAGTTCCAAGATTTCTCGGAATTTCCACCAAAAGTTCCGCGGAAATGATAATTCAGTCCCCACCATCACTATATGCATTCTTCACTCTGAGACCACAATTTTGACAGCTGGATACTGCTACGGAGTATGATTCCGCGGGCATTCAATGGGATTCTAAGAGATTTAACCAGAGTTTGACCGTATGGTAAGCATCATCTGTTCGCTGTTCGCATCTTCCAAATACACGCTCATTTGGGAAGAAAACAACTACGCAGGTAGACAGAGTGAAATATTCTGAACGATATCAGCTTTTCTAGAGCAGATGACTTTGCAAATGTTGCTAGTTGCAAAAATGTAGCATGCACAAATCCTGGCTAATGTGAAAGCTTGTTAACACTTGAAGTCACACTTCAACTATCCAAGATTAACCAGCAATTTAAAGCTTGTAATGAAAAAAAAGAAGATATTTTTATCTGTATTTCAATTGGCTAATACTATGAAGATATTCTGTTTGAATATATTCTATGTGGATATCCATAATTATTTCCTCATACGGAGGATCCCTTGACCAGAATGTCGTTTGGATCAGTTATGCCTTGCCAGAAGATCTGAAAAGATCCATGACACGCTGCACAGACTTGGCATAAACATTAACGGCCTGGACCTTGAGCACTGTCAATTCCAATTTCTCAGCATTCTCAGCGACAAACTTCGTATAATCATCGCGCACTGTTCGGTTGACGTTGATCTTCGAAACTCCACAGTCAATTGCCTTGAGGAAGAGTTCATCCGTAACAGGGTGCGTGCCATGCAGTACAAGTGGCTGTTCGACACTTTTCGAAATCTTACGGAGACTTGTATAATAAAAGGTTAAGGTCAGAGCAAATTCACCCACAATACTAGCGAGACTGGCTTACAGAGATGTATCCCACGACTTTTCGGCACCACCAGGTCCGTAGCCTCCATGAATGTTGCCGAAGCTTGGGGCAAGGAAGTCGGCACCAGTCTCTTCCATGAACTGTCTAGCATCCTCGGGGTTTGTAAAGACGGTCCCTAGGTCCACCTTAGGGAGGCCATCTTCCCCGCCGTCTATCCGTCCCATCTCGACCTCAATGGATATCCCGAGCTCGTGGGCCCGTTTGATATTCCGTGCACAGATTGCGATATTCTCCGCCTCTTCCATTGTGGAACCGTCAATCATGATCGAATCGAATGGAAGAGTTAGGGCAAATTCCACGTCCTCGGGCTTGATGCAATGATCAAGATGCACTGCAATGGGGACCGAGGCAGCATGAGCAGAGCTGACTACATAACGGACAAACTCAGGGCCTTGGAAATGCAAGGTCCAGGGGAAAAGCTGAATAATGGCCGGTGACCTTTTGGCCTCTGCAGCGCGAATGACGGCCATCACACCGTCACAATTATAGCTGCGTAGGGTTCGACAGTATCAGCATACGCGGATTTCAGGCTAGTATTAACTTGCAGAATATGACGTGCATACCAGTTGTACGCGCCAACAGCATATTTGCCCTCCTTGGCGGCGTGTAGAATGGAACGGGTACGGTTGCTTGCAATTGATGGGTTGGCCATGGTATGAGACCGCGTATGAGCGGAAAGTCGGGATAGAAAGTGAATTGGGATATACGTTGGCAACTTAGCGACTGATTACGGCTATTGAGGCGAAGGTGATTAAATAGAACGCTGTGAGACGTGACTGAGGTACATGTTACCCCAGGTTTAAGACTTCCTTCAAGTTTCTCCAATACGCGGAGAATCCTGGACGGAGCGGAAATTAAACCGGAAATCGAACGGTTCTTAGGCCCACCCACAGCTGGAGTGATTGAGTTATGAGGTGGATTAAGACTATCAGAAGGTAAAAGCAAATTTAGGTAGATGAATTACCAAGACTGTCATCCAAATAATCGGTGAGGTTCCCAGATACCAGTAGCCATGGTGACTTTCCCTTATCACCGACACTCTGGATACCTTGTTAATATGTTAATATACTCAGTGAAATGCTCTGCCTCGAGGGCGTGAAACGCTAGAGTTAAGCTTAGAATATGCTGCAGCGGAATTGCCAAATCTGAACATAGTCTTCCGGGTATTGTAGTAGTATGTTGTTGTGCCTTGCGAGCCATTAGTTAGTCGCCACAGCTCTAGAGTGATTCTTCGCTTGGCCGTAGGCCAAGAGACACTACGCCTACCATTTTTCCATTTTATATGTAATAAGGAGAACATCCAGAAGGATGTGCGAATCATCAATTAAGCATAGGTAGCACGCAATATTACTGTTCAATAGTTGTAAAAGGAAGGAGAAAGCCAACATTTATCTACAAAGGTTCCTCGTGTTATCCAGATTGGTATCCCATAGTTCCGGTTGTGAATCAGAGCTTATCAAAGAAGGAAGTTGCCATTAGTTTTGGCAACCTGCTCATCATAGTACGGTTGAAATGCCAGCCAGCCCTTCTCGGGGCCACCCACCTGGAGTGCTGCATAAGCAGCCTCATCGTCATCGATGATGATTTTCTTGTAACCAGCTGCAGAGGCTGCATCTGCTAATAGCTGCGCATGGCACGTCTTGTCCAGGCTCATGAACCAGAATGCTGCCTCATCAACACTCTGACCTACGGTAAGTAAGCCATGGTTCTGAAGAATAGCAGCTTTGCCCTGGCCCAGGGCCTTGGCTATGCGCTGTCCCTCTTCTCGGTCTAGAATGACGCCTCTAAAGTCGCGGTAAACACCGTGACTCTTGTAGAAACGAAGTGCATCCTGCGTTATCATATCGAGCTCCCGACCGAAAGCCGCAAATGCCTTGCCAGCAACGCTGTGGGCGTGGCAGGCTGCATGGACGTCAGGGCGAGCCTTGTGGATCTCGGAGTGAATAGCAAATGCTGGGGCATTAATGGGCTCGTCGCCTTCAACCACTAGGCCATCTTCATCTACCAATATCAGATCAGACACCTTGATCAGGGCAAAGTGAGCCGAGAGGGGGTTAATCCCTAGAGTGGTTGTTAGTAACTATGTCAAGAGTTTGCCGATTCCAATATATCATATTAACTCACAAAAGTGGTCGGTGAGAATAGGGTCTCGAACCGAAATGTGCCCCGCGACGCCCTCATCGAAGCCACGGTCTGCAAAGACCCGGAAGGCTGCAGCCAAGTGTTGCTTGCGGTATAATCTTTCTTCCTCCAGCGTGTCAAACTTGGGATAGCTTCTGATCTTCAGATCTCTACCATCCTTGGTTTTTCCAAGAACTTGTAGCTGGGACGGAGTTGCTCTTTTGCTATCGGGCGTGGCAGATGGGGTCTTCTGTTGGATGGGGTCATTTCCAACCACCGACGGCGACATGGCGGACGATGCTCTTTCTAGTTATGACCCAAGAAGATAGACAAATTAAGTACTATTAGACTAGCAGGCTCCAGCTCGGATGATCGAACGAGGGTGTCGAAGTCGGAGAACCACTCGATACGCATGGAATTTTATAAAGTCCGGGGTAAATGCAAGCCGAGACCCCGCTCTTTGATCTACGTAGCCCGCTTGAGCAGGTATCGCACGACATCCTCGGCGATCAATGGAGAGTTGCCGAGCATCTCCAGTCTCCAGTGCCGGAATAAATTCTCCGCGGAAGTTGGTGAAGATGCGGGGGCTTTTCCGCGCACATGACACGTCTCTACTTGGACATCAATGCCTTTTTTCCGGTGCGAGCATTCTCAGAGACCAAGTCGCCGCCTTTTCCGTTTCCTGTTCAGATTATCCAAAGATATATTCCCACTCATTCTACTTCCTGTAAACATGGCAGGTGGCACGGAATCCCCGGGGAGCGGAAATCTCCCCAGCCGGGCACAGAAGGCACCCAAAAAGTATGTGACTCGTGCTTGTGATGAATGCAAGAGGAGAAAATGCAAATGCGACGGTTTAGAGGTACCGAATCTTGTCTCAGCCTCACTAGTGGGGGATACTAATCCCCTTTGTAGCCCTGCTATCGTTGCGTATCTATGGGACTCGGTACGTTCCGTGTGCATGAGAAAATGCGCTTAGATGCTGTGGGTGGGAACGCTAAGAAATGTCAATCTCCAATGGGTAGACTGTACATATCATAGCTCATATAATCGCGTTCAGAAGCTAAAAAGAAATGTGAGTGTTCCTGCGCGCACGGCTGCCATTACCACCTGTCTTGGCTTGCCAATAGCTCTTCTTGAGTAGGAAAGAAGTTTGTCTCCGAGAGAAAGACCGCAGACATTACGTACTGCTGGCGCGCGTCCGCAGGGAACAGAAGGACAACAGCAGACGGAGGACGACGATAAAGGTAAGTTCTTTCTAGTCCATGAGCTCCTCCTCTCACTCATCTCTCTTTCTCATTTGACTACACAGGGGATGCGAGCACACACACATTCCTGAGTCGGGTATACAGTCACCTTAAATCTGTGGGCCAATCCTTACCACGGAATCTGTCCCGGCCGGCCGAGGAGGTTCTCAACGAATATGCTTTGAGCGCCTCTCTAATTCCCCTGGACCGACGACTAGCAGAGGAGTATATCGATTGTTTTCATGGTCACTCATGTGCGACTTATCGCTATATTCCCCGAAGTCAGAGCAAGGAATTTCTCCACAAGCTCTATTCCGAGGATGAAAGTTTCTTGCAAGATGATGCCAGTATGGCGGTTATTTTGCTGATCCTTGCCGTTGGGTGAGCTATTGTCAGCCCATGTTTAGGTTGTAGCGGAGTTGATTGATGAGTTCAGGTGCATTTGGTACCCTTCTTTGCGCAATCGCGACATATTCGAGTATAAGACCAAAGCGTACTCTTCTCTTCCTGATTTATTACATCTAACAGTGCTAACACCCGCAAAGTTCGCGGCTCTACGAAGCCGCACAATCAAGGCTGGAGAAGGCAACATCCGTATTTCCGCCATCGATTCTAGTGATGCAAGCGCACTGCCTTAAAGTGAGTGTGTCACAATCTGTCATGACGCCTGGTCAGCTAACTCTTAACGGCATGCAGTGCCAATTCCTTTTAGCAGTCAATATTTTCAACGGCGCTTGGCTGGCAGTAGGGACTGCTGTCCGCCTTGGTCAGATAGTTGGTTTCCATAAAGCCAAAGCTACGGCTTCCACTAGTCTAGATGAGTTCACCCGCAGGGGTGTGTTTTGGTCATTGTATATTATGGACCGGTAAGGCATGCCGAAAGATTTTTAAGCACATACAGGCTAATAGAAGTATTGAGATATCTCTCTGCCGCTCTTGGACGCCCAATGATGATAACTGACGACGACATCACGATACCATACCCAGAGGCTGCGCTGTCATCCTCGGATGGAATAGACGATCCTCATGAAGCCAAGACCGTCCCCGGAATCGTTGCACACATAAAGTCAGCACCTCCCTGTTATCACGTCAGAGTAAAGTGACTTATATTAACCTCGATATACAGACTTGCTCGGATCACAACGCAAGTACTTAGGAAGCTGTATGGCTCGAAGAAGCACGATAAGGTCGCCCGGAATGAGTCGGTTTCTCAAATCGAAGCACAGCTCAGCCAGTGGTTAGATGAAACCCCGGGATTCTTCAACCCGCAAGAACAATTCGGCCAGAAGGAAAGCGAAGTCTTTTATGATGTCCCCTGGATATTCAAGAGGTATTTAAATGGTGGAAAGTGTCTCGAAAAGCTTCTTAATAATCACATACAGGCAACAACGCACTATTCGTGCTGCTTTCTCCTTTACGTGCATGCAACTATACCGAGGGTACTTGTTGGACGAGTTTCTTCAGGCAAATTTTCATGATCGGCCCGCCTTGACCCCAGAGCCACCGGTACGGAAATGCATACAGGCTGCGTTGCAAATGGCGTTGTTTGCTGCAGAGATCAAAGAAGATGCTACATACAACTCAGTCTTTTGGGTATATCGTCTTCCTTTCTTTTAATTGTTGGTTTTGCTCTCCAATTAGCATCTCACTGACTTATTTGACTATTTTCCAAGACAACATCTTACTTTACCTTCTGCGCTATCTCCATCTTAACAGTATATCTTACATTATACCCGGAGATCGAAAACCGTGCCGCTATTGAGAGCGTCCTGGAGGAGGCAATGGAGGGCCATCGAAAGCTTGACAATAGCATGAATAAACATTCTCAAAAATTACTAGAAGTAAGTTCCCTGAGGCTCAGAAACATGGCCAGATCATCTTTTACCATCAGCTATTGACATAACCTTGGCACTGTTTGTGAAGAATACCAGGGCTATTGCGCAGCGGGCATTCAGATCATCTAGAACCAGGCTAAGCTCTTCGGCTGCCAATGATAGAACAACTATTGTACCCAGTGATGCAAATGCATCTGTTACTGGGGAACAACAAAATCTTCCATCAGGCTCTGTCTACCCACGGTTAGAGCCACGGGAAGAATGGGAGGATACCCAAGGCGCAGTAAATAACATTGAAGGTCCGGTCTCTGATGTGGTAAGTCTTCCCTCATCGACAATTTCACAATGGACTCTAAGTGGCCCTTCTGGCCAGTTTGAGCTTGCAGACATCGTCAATGGTGATGACCTAGATTTCATCATGGATATTGGCTTTGATGCCTCACCATTCAACCATATCGACCCACTTCAATATTTTGTTGCCGATAAGCTTTCAAGGCCAGGGCCGCAGACGTGAATCTCGCCTAGGGCGGAAGTTCTTTATTCATAGTTACAACAGTAGCCACCGGGCAATACATACTGGCTTGATCTAAATCACCTTGCACGTACAACGGTAATTTTACATACCCCAATTCCATTTGATGATCCGGCCTTTAGAATATAGCAACTGCATTCGGAGGGCTGGCCACGCCACCGGGTACCTTCAGTGGCACACTCGAGAGGAAAAAGGTATATCTCCCGGTTGCCCTACAATGCTGGGAGAGCCGTTCGAGGTCAAATAATTCTCCAATAGGACAGCCCCAGCCGGCAAGCACCCATTCGTGCAGGTTGTACCGAGGATCAGCATGAGGACCGCGAATCGGTGCCCGCTCGAAGCTGGGCGCATCCCCCGCCACTGCTCCAAACTGGTACTTCCAGAGCCATCGTAGTGTTTTCTCGGTTGCTTCCACTCCAATAAAATCCGGAGACGGTCGCTGTGCCAGGTTTATTCTTTCCTGCTCATTCAGTTCATTATACGCGGCGGTGAATCCACTGCGAATGAGTAAGATATCCCCTGGGTGAATCTGGATTTGAAAATCTTTAACCATGGCCTCGAGACTTTCGACCGTGATTGGGGTCGATGATAAAGACTGGATCTGGAGATTCTTGCTAGCCGCCCACTGAGCGTAGTCAAGGAGCACGCCACGTCCAGTTATTCCTCCTGCCTCCGCGACAGCTGATTATTACGAACGTCAGTTCGTTATGTCGGGCAAACAGGCGAGCTTCTGTTGAATAACTTACTGTGCAGGCCGATTACATCAGAAGACTCTATCTCTGCTTGAGTTACATTGTTATAGAATCGACGAGACTTCTGATGAGCTGTGGCCAGGAATCAGCATCTAAATACAGTGAATCGAAGCAATTCATTCGTACCGTAGTGCCTAAAACCATCCCACTGGCTAGAGCTCTGTGTATTGAAAGTCAAGATGTCGTCGTTGATACAATTCGGGCTCCTATGCACAATCTCCTGGTGAAAGCCCTTTCTGCCGAAACTCGGATGTGATGGCATACTTAGAAGCCAGTCGAGCGATATGCGCACGCCAGTCTGGATCTCCTTTGCTGCGCGGACAATTGTGTCGGGCGTGATCAGGTTCAGTGTGCCCAGTTCATCCTGATCTCCGAATCTGCCCCAAGCATTTCCTGGTGGTCCTTCCGGGTCCAATGGGAGATCTTCAAAAGCAGGCGTCATTACACCCAAGTCAACCAAAACAGAAATTCCTAGTGGGGAAGTTTGTAAAGACAAGGGATTAAATAGGTGCTTCAGATTCAGACATCCGTCGGAAATCCCGATTTTAAATGGCGGGGTTCGGGTAACTTTTTTTCCACGGAAATGGGAACGGAGATATGTATCACGCCAAATGGAAAGTCCGTATGTTCCGCACACATTCTCCGCTAGTTAATGCTGGAGAAGAAAAGAGCTACCAGTCAGGATCTAGGAAATGGCGTACGGTGACCCCTGTAAGGCCCCTGGGTCTCCATAGAGCAGAATACCCCATGGGGTGACTATGTCAGCGGTGGAGTATACGCATCCAGGCTTCTGGCTGGCAGAAACTTGACTGCATAAAGAGACACTTAATCCTTATCACTTCTTTGTTCGGGTGTGAAAAGCTACTATCCCAGGAACAATATGAATAAAGAAGATCGTCAAGCTTCGTCCCGGCTCTCCAAGACATCTAAACCTGGCAAGGAGAGTCAAGCAGTTCTCAAGATCTCAAACCTGAGGATCGAGCCATTGAAACGCGTCTAGTTCGTCGTATAGATTTTCTTATCTTGCCATTGGCGATCCTGGTCTATTTGTTGAATTATGTGAATAGGTAGGAGTGGCATTCTTGCCTCATTCTTGTCTCATCCTATACATTGTAGACATTGACTGGGAGGCTAAATACTAACAACTATGCCTCAGCAAGACTCCAAGGCCTCGAGACCGACCGCGGCCTTAGAGGGGTCCAGTACAAAATTGGCCTTTCGGTTATGTATATCAGCTACTTCCTTGCTCAAGTTCCTAGACGGTCCGCCGCCATTGCGGTCATGAATGGATTGGGCAATTCAGCTTCAATCTGGACACCCTTCACATATTCTACCAATGAGCTCCCTATTACCGGACGGTGTTTGGCATAAGTGCTGGCCTTTAAATCAATGCCGCAGGGCTTGCGTTGTTGCGATTCCTTCTCACCCGCGAGAACAAGTTGTTGACGAGGTTTGAATATGGGAACACTCCATTGTACGAGACTGAAATGGAAAGGTTGCGTCGTCCGGCCACTATTGAGGGCGTTAATATCGAAACTGCACGACAACTCCGAAGGGGATTCCTCTTTATGGTTTAAAAAGCGATTTGCTGCGAATCAATTGTAGGAATTGCTTCAAGGCAGAGTCTGTCTATATATATTTATTCCATGCGTCCTAGCGGGGAAAATATATATTCACAGGACCGTCGAAAAGTTGTCTTCTTGCTCTATCCAGCGAATAATACTTATGCAAATAGTTAACAGTCCGTGGAATATTTGCAAAATCGGTCAACTATATTCTTTATATCCACAAAGTCGTCGATAGGAAGTGGTCGTTTAGTCCTTGCAGTGATGGTGGTGACTTTTTTGCGTGACTGCATTATGCTTTGATTGATATTGTCAAGTAAGATTAGATCTTTCAACAACATCCGATGTGGTGTAATGGCTAACATCGCTGTCTCTCACACAGCAGCTCGGGGTTCGATTCCCCGCATCGGAATAACTTTTTGATTTTTCGTCTTTTTGTTTCCTTTTTGTGGATCCCTCGTTGCCCAGCACCTCTAGAACGACCGTGGTGATCCTGACGTACGTTCATTTTTCCTTCTACCCGGCGCACATCTATGAGACTACCAAATAATTCTTGTACCACGCTCCACTTGCACACAATTCATCTCTATATTCTATTGTAGCTGTCTATCGCCGGAGGCAATAGAGGAGTGGAGCCATCGAGACAGCTGATATTTTCCAAATCAGGCCCTCCGCACTGTAACCTACATATGCCCCTGCGGGTAGGAAATATTCTCTTCCACAACCAGAAGAGTTGCCTTGATCCCTGCGAGTCACTGTATGGCTTCACATGTTGATTTCCATATCACATACCTGCTCTGAAACTATTCCCCAACCATGTAACAAAAGGTACTCGGACTTTTTCATCCAAGTCAGTGTGGCCGAGTGGTTAAGGCGACAGACTAGAAATCTGTTGGGTTCGCCCGCACAGGTTCAAATCCTGTCGCTGACGTTGAAATTCGAAAGCTTGCTTTCCTTTCTTTTTTGCTCTCCCTCCTTTGTGAGACCCATTTTGTAGGATGGGTCCCAATTGTGGTGTACGATTAAGGCGTCCATGCAGACACCTCATGAGATCCGCCTCACATGGTTCCATCTGGGCCGCTATGCCCTTTCGCCACAACGTCAAGCCTACCGGGAACAGCAAATATACCCTTTCACGTGGGGTAAGACTTGCATATGCAATCAAAGTACCTCTTCCTAAAAGGAGGTGAGACACCAAGCACCAAGACCGATGCAAGAGCTAGTTAGGGCTCAGTGCTCCACAGAATGACCGGAAGTAAGGTGCTGACGCTGACAAGCAACTTGCTAGGGATGACGTACAGGAGCGGAGAGTTCTTTGTGCTGCAATATCCGCTAGCTCCTTGCGCAAGAGCATGCAGAGTCTCCATAGGACTCCATTGTTATTCGTCTCTGTCGCTCATTGTCGTCTGGAATGTCCGGGATGTCGGGAGGTCACGAGGGACAAGTTCCCGCATTACCCGCAAAGGCCTTCAACTTTACCACTCTTTCCGATATCCATCCTAAAATTCGAATATCGCCGGTATCAGTGAGTGAGGAGCACGGATGCTGCGGTACAATGCATGGGGTAGATACTACGTGTGTCTCAACCATGACCGGGAAGTGGGTTGAGGAGTATGCATTTAAATCGAGGCGCCCTTCTTACTTTGCGCTGGATGTGTATGTCCTGAATAACATATTGCTTTGTACTATACGAGAGAAACGCGGTTCACAATGGCTCCCGGAGTCCTCACCAATGGTTTCCATGACCATAATACACCATCGTCGACCCTTCCCACGCGCCGACGCCCGTATCCCCACGAAGGCCTCCGGTTCGATCCCAAACTTAAACCCAAATCGTATCGCATGACTGGCACCTCACCGAACTCAAAGATACTCTTCCTGGATGTGAACATTCTCGACTCGACTGGGAATGACCCATATCGTGGCGATGTGCTGATCCATGGGGAGCGCATTGTCTCGGTTGGGTCAGTCCCCGACGTTGAAGCGCTTCGCCATGATCCAAAGGTCCGTGTCATCCAGGGTCGTGGACGCACTCTCATGTCTGGTCTCGGGGATGCACACACACATTGGACATGGAACAATATCGCTCTGGAGCTGCTGGGTGACATTGGCGTAGAGGAGCACACTCTGATCACAGCACGCTCGGCGCTTTGTTATCTGGACTCCGGCTACACCATGTGCTATGGCGCCGCATCTGCCAAAGATCGCCTGGACTGCGTCGTCCGAGATGCTATCAATCGCGGTACTTTGCCTGGACCGAGACTTCTGGCAAACGGCAGAGAGATCGCCAAGCGAGAGGGTGAGCTTGCGGCCGGAATTACTGCCTTTGCTGATGGCCCGTTGGAAATGCGAGAGGTGATCAGGCATCATGCTAAGATCGGTGTTGATCAAATCAAATTGAGTATGTCGGGCGAAGCGATCACCGAAACTGTATCGGCCGAGGAATGTTTCTTCACCGATGAGGAAACCGCCGCTTGTGTGGATGAGGCCCATCGCAATGGGATTAGGGTTTGTTCCCATGCACGGGCCCGAGACTCGGTGATCCAATGCGCCAGACACGGCGTCGACGTCATTTACCATGCCTCATATACCGATGAAGAGGGCATGCAGATGCTTGAAAAGGTTAAAGACCGGGTTGTCGTTGCTCCCGCACTCAACTGGCTCT